TGGCAGGAAATGAGACATATTTCATTGAGCTTGCCTAAGTATCTCATATCATAACACACCTGGCAGGAAACAGATAACTGTGCAGGCATTTGCTTAAGGTTTATCATATAAGGTGGTAGGGACTAGTGCAGAAGCAGCGATTATCCGCGCTATCGAGGGCATGAGAATGACTTGGGTGGTCTGATCGTTTATGGCCTCATCTTCACACAGAGTAGTCAAGGATGAGGAGCTGTCAATCACCCGAGAGGCACTGTCACCCTCGAAAGCTGCAAGATTTCGCGCTAATGAGGATTCCAGGGTGGTTTGGCTGGATAGATCATTGATTGGCTCGTCTTCGCACCGTTGAGGGCTTGTTTGCGAGAGGGAGTTCCGGCTTTCGAAATCCTGACATTGGCAGTTCTTTGTGCAACTGCCTTGGGCATAGCTCATGTTGGTTGGGAGAGATTGATTCTTCGATGTCGTCTGGATTATCGAAGGCTGAGAACCATTGTTTGACGTAGCCGAAGTGTTACCCTCGAAAGCAGCGGGTGATCGCGCTATCGTGGGTATGGAGGACGTGGAGCCGTTGCTCTCGAAAGCAGCGGGTATTCGTGCTATCGAGGGAGTGGGAGCATCGTGCAAGGCATGGTCAACGGTTTTCTCACCTTTGTTAGGTTTTGGGTTTGCTTGGGAAACGGAAGGTCTGGAAACTGTCATGAGTTGACAGGATCTGTTGATCAGACTTGCCTTATGTAGTTTCTCTGAGCTTCTGCACTCAGGGACTTCATCTTGATGAAGTCCACGGTGCCCCCACCATTGTGAAACCAAAGGGCGAATCAGGACTTCTCAACGAAGGCGTGAGTGTGAGATAGCGGCGGAGAATATCCGGGGTACGCGAGAGAGAGAAAGTAACATGGTGCCGCAAGGTGTCACCACGTTGAGATTATCCTGTGACCCAGGAACTGGGGCACGGTCACCCGGCGCAGGACTCTTGTATCCTGGAGGGGAGGCATAAGGCTGCCTAGCTGTACAGAAAAGGGGTGACTCCATTCACATGTAATATATGATGTGGTTGCAAAGTGAGTTTATTATTATGTACCTGGAGCTACATATGCAGAGTAAACATGGGTAAATATGATGGTCCTAGGTTACACAAGAAGGGAAGTAGAATATACTAGCATGCCGTTACTAGTGTTCGCAGGTCCAGTTAAGTCCAGTTTTTTACCTCAAAACGATGCAACCGCAACCGGTCTAGACCGATCCAAATATTGAGGGACCGCAACCGGACCGCTTTGGACCGGTCCTAATCGGTCCACAACACAAAAAAAACTGGTCCAGACCGGTTGCGACCGGTCTTTTGTTAAAAAATTTATTGTGCCAGATATATTAAATGTTATCTCACGTATATAGCATGCGTAGATAGATAATTTAATTTTCCGTAAGCTGGCCAAGATTTGAAGCGATTCGGTCAAGATTTGACTGAGATATGGTGAAAACGGAGAGAACATACATTCAAATTGCGTATAAAAATGTTTTTGGCCATATCTCAACCAATTCTTGACCATTTTTGATGATTCAGGGACCGAAAATTAAGTAAAATGTGCATGAGTAAGGTACAATATGTGATGAGACGAAAGACCGGTTGCAACCGGTCTAAACCGGTCTTTTTCGGTTTTTATATATTTACAAAAACATGGCAACTGGCAACTGGACTGACCAGAAATGTGGGCAACTGGCAACTGGAAAAGACCAGACCGTGGTTCAGTCCAGTTCAGTCCTATGTATATTTTCAGTCCTGTAGACTGGACCTGCGAACACTAGCCGTTACAGTGAGAGTTGATATGGCTGTAAAGGATTATTTGGTGAAGCAGGACATGCTATGTAACTACCATAAATCTGTTGTGGCTGCATAGATCAAGGTGCCAGGAGTGTGAAAAAGTGTGAACAATGTGGCTGCAAAAAATTCTGGATAAACTGTATAAATTAATGGTGAAAGGCCCACATTTTGGTTGTATCTTTTAGCATCCTTAGATGTGAATCCTGCAAATCAAGAGAGGATACACCTAGGTTGAAGAGGATTCCTGCTACGTTAGTAGTGGGTCTTGTGGTGGGCCAAAGGGTGGGAAAAAAAACACGTGGTACTGAGACATCATGTTTTTTCACATGGTCACACGCAATCTCACTCTGGAACTGCACATTAAATCATGTCGTGAGCAAGTGATTAGCATAGGCATCAATGCTACCAAGCACGCCACTGCTCAGAAGGCAACTAAAAAAATTACAGCACAAAAGGCGTCAACCTCTAATCAACGAGCAACCACTAAAGGGAAAGAGAAGGCCTCTATGACCCCCTTGTTGGCGTCCACGTCTGGCATGGCCGATACAGATGACTTGGCCAATGAAGACCAAGTCATGGCAGATGTGGATGATGCCTGACTTTAAAGTACCTAACATCTTTATCAGACAACATTTGAATTCAGAATATATACTAAATAACTCAAGCAAAAGGACAATTTCATTACATACATAGGACATGTAAACTGGTAGTAACTTCGCCGTATTGTGGACTCGAACTTTCAACAATATGGACATCATTCAGCCCAAGCAATGACAAGAACACTTACACCAAGTGTGAACAGATCATGTGCAATAGTGGTTGCATGATTAAAAGGCTTTGACAACTCAGATATATTCTGAAACTGGAAAATATCATTTTTGGTGCTACAATGTTACCCTATGGAAACCAATTTCATTCATTTATAAACTGAGAGCAGATAGCATGCGAGTACTGAGTGATTGTTCTGATCATATGCAATTACAGATCAATCTCTGTTTGCACAATTAAAAAGCTACAATAAGTCAGATATATATTCTGAAACCGGAAAATATTATTTTGGGTGCTACAATGTTACCATGTGCAAACCAATTCTATTCATTTATAAACTGAGAGCAGATAGAGCCCGAGTGCTGAGTGACTTGTTCCAATCACATGCAATTACAGATCAATATTTGTCTGTGCGATTAAAAAGCTGCAATAAGTCAGATATATATTCTGAAGCTGGGAAATATTAGTTTGGATGCTACAGTCATCCACCCACTAATGATACACCACCATCATTTGATACACTTTTGACCAACTAATATCTCACTCAATACCACATCAATTTTTGTGAAATAAATTGTAATGTGCACCAAAAGTTCACATCTACTGTGGCACAGACTTTGGGCAAATTGAAGCAGTATTGGTGCTGCTGTGAAGTTTTCAAAAGAGACTGTTTTTGGAAATTGCTGCAATATGGTCACACTACCCAATGATACACCCATAATTTTGATTTTTCTTCCCGATATGTGGTTCAAGCATTCTGAAATTTGGTAGGGTTATAGAATGTGATTTATCTCAAATATCTATGTAGTTTTAATAGCTGAATGTTGTGCTTCAAATTATTGGATACAATTTCTCAGTTTCAGCATATCATTAGCAGGTGGATGAATGTATAATTCGAACAATTTTTTTTCAATTCATTCTATTCCCTTGGGGCGAAGCCCTATGCCAGAATTTACATACATAGACTATCTATGTGTGAGTCCAAACTATAAGTGGGGGTCTACTAATCCAAGAGAGTGGGTCTGCAAATGTGATGTGCAATGTGTAGTATGGCAGTGGTGGCCTGTAATGTAGTTTAGATGTAGGTAAGATATGATGGGCGGTTTGATGTAGTGTGAATATATATAGTAAAATGTAAATGTAAAAAGAGGGAGTGAAAAGAAAGAAAAGAAAGAGAAAGAAAAAGTTAAAAGAAAGGGAGGGAAGCAGAAGGGAGGGGTGGAGGGGTGAGTGGGGAGGAAAAGGGGAGCAGAAAGGGGGGAAGGTAGGAACTGAGCTTTAGTCATCTTTGGGGTCTTTATATGTGAGGTTGCCGTATTGTTCTTCAAAGCACTTTGTGCTCGTAATGAACTCAAAGAGATGGGGTAGCATCTTTGGGTTGGATAATGTTTTCATGATACTGTACTAATCCAATCAATTCATCGGTCATGCGTCACAGGGGGTCCGAAATCGATGAAATTCTAAGGGGTCACAGGTCACAGGGGCCAGTGACGAAACCACCAAATCAGTCGGAAAAGGAGCAAAATTGGGGTTCTCTTTCATTAGAAACCAATTTTTTTCCCCTCTGCGTCTCTCTAGCAAAGTTTTCTGAACTGTCCTAAATTATCTATAGACAGATGGCCACTCCTACATCTCGACAAAAATTTCAGGCATGTCACACCTTCCCTGGTGATGCGACAAAAACAAAATTTTGTCATGTCGGTCACAGGTCACAGGGTGTGACGAATTGATTGGATTAGTACAGTAGAGTCCATCTCCTGGTGTGCTGCTGCCTGGAATTTGTCGTGTTGAGGTCCATATGCAGGGCATTCCTGTAGATAATGTTCAACCGTCTCATTTGCCTGTTCACAGGCCTCACAAAGAGGTGATTCCGCACATTTGAACCAATAGAGGTATTGCTTTAGTGGTATGTGGCAGGTTCTGAGTTGTATGAGTATGCTTGCATGCCAATGTGATAGCTTTGCTGTCATTCAGTGGAATTCCTTTGATGGTGTTGTGCTGTCTATGCACGTAGCCCTTTGATATCTGGGGCTACCCTTGAATCTGTCGACTACCTGTAGCTTGACCTTCGCTCTATATGCTTGCCATAATGCATAATTCGAACAATAATGAATGATAAAGTAAAATACTATAAATGTGATGATTATTAATTGTAATCCTGCTGAGCAAACTCAATTGAACTCCTAGAATGACAAGAATATATGGTGTTAAATTATCTACATAGTCTGTACAAAAAAATGCAAATGGTAAAGAGTCGGGGAATGCTTAACCAATGAAATGATGAAGATGGTTTTAAGTAATGTACAATGGGGTCCAAAATGAACCGTAGCGGGCCATGCGGCTTGCCGTGCTGCGTTATTGGAAGAGGTGTATGAGAGCGGATTGAAGTGTCACGTGTCACTACTATGATGCAATAATGCCTTCCATATATGGTAATTAGTTCCCATGGGTTGGGTTAGTTGGAGTTGACAGGCTCTCAAGCCAAGTGTTGTGATTTCGGAGTTCGAATCACACCCAAATCACGCTCGCCCGCACCAACACTTGTCCCGCAAATCACACCAAATCACACTTTTTGCAGCGCCTCCCATGCCAAATCACACTTTTTTCCAGGACAAGTCACAAAACGGACCTGCCAAATCACAGTTTGGATCACACTTTTTGGCGGGTGGGAGACTTGACTTGTCCTGGAATCACACCTCCCCAACACTTGTCCTGGACCCTGAGTGTTTTCTCGTGCGCTAATTCCCTTTCCGTTCAAGCCGCCGCTCGTACTTACATAGCTGTCCTCTCCCTTTACCTTGTAAAATAGACTACCAGGTAGAAGCCTCGTAAATCAAATACATGAACTGCACCTCCATTCAGCTCCACATGCACAAGCTATTTTCGGCATCAAGGTTTGGCAAGTCCACCCACAAGAAATGGATTTACTCCGTGAGTTCTGGCTCGAATTTCATGATCTTGGGCTTTACTTGATGGTGACTACTACAGGAAGCGCCTCCCGAGCTTACGAAATGGAACGCCGATCCATTCAATTTTGGCATTCGGTTTTGTGGTGAAAGGATGCCCACAAACAGAAATTGAGCTAGAAAAGTAAGTTCTTGCTCGTATTCTGCGCCCCCGGGCTTTATTTGACCGAAATCGCTTCAGGAACCACCTCCCAAGTTTTGGGAATATGGCACCCAGCCGTTCGAAGTCGGCGTGCGGTTTTGTGGAAAATAAGGTCTATTGCCAGAAATTGAGGCCTACAGGTAGGTTCTTGCTCGATTTTTACATTCTTGGGTTCTACTGAACCGAAATTGCTTTAGGAACAACCCCCCGAGTTTGCGAAACGTACCGCGTAACCGTTCAAAGTCGGCGCTCGGTTTTTCGGAGAAATGAGGTCTATTACTAGAAATTGGGGCTTGCAGGTAAGTTCTTATTCAAATTTCACGTTCTTGGGCTCTACTTGACCGAAATTGCTTCAGGAACGACCTCCCGAGTTTGCAAAACATAGCGCCTAACCGTTCAAAGTCGGTGCTTGGTTTTGCAGAGGATTAAGGCCTCTTACTCCAGAAATTAAGGTCACAGGTAAGTTCTTGGTCAATTTTTACGTTCTTGGGTTTTATTTGACCGCAATTGCTTTAGGAACAACCTCCCAAGTTTTCGAAACATGCAGCCCAACCGTTCAAAGTCGGTGTTCAGTTTTGCGGGGAAATGAGGTCCATTACTAGAAATTGAGGCTTGCAGGTAATTTCTTACTCAAATTTTACGTTCTTGGGCTTTAATTGACCGAAATTGCTCCAGGACAAGGGGTATGTAGTTATTCGTTCAGAGACATGACCTTCCCTGTGGGAAGTCGGAGATCCAAGTGTGCGAAAAAATCCAACCCCCAATTTATTTTTATTTTGTGGAGGTGTCGGGGTGTGGACAACAACTTTCAAAATTTTCTTTCGGTGTTGAGTGCCCCTCCCTCCCCCCAAAATTTCCTTTTTAGGCCAACTTTCCCACGGGAAGGTCATGTCTCTGAACAAATAACTACATACCCCTTGCTCCAGGAACAACCTCCCAAGTTTGCGAAACATGACACCCAACCGTTCAAACTCGGTGTTTGGTTCTGCAGGGCAATAAGGTCTCTTACCCTAGAAATTGAGGCTCACAAGTAAGTTCTTGCTCAATTTTTACGTTCTTGGATTTCACTTGGAAATTGCTTTAGGAACAACCTCCCGAGTTTTCGAAACATAGCATCCAACCGTTCAAATTTGGTGTTCGGTTTTGCGGGGAAATGAGGGCTATCACCAGAAATTGAGGCTTGCAGGTAAGTTCTTACTCAAATTTTGCATTCTTGGGCTTTACTTAACCGAAATTGCTTCAGGAACAACCTCCCGAGTTTGAAAAACAATAGTGCCTGACCGTTTAAAGTCAGTGTTTGGTTCTGCAGGGCAGTAAGGTCTCTTACCCTAGAAATTGAGGCTCACAGGTAAGTTCTTGCTCAATTTTTACGTTCTTGGATTTCACTTGACCGAAATTGCTTTAGGAACAACCTCCTGAGTTTTCGAAACATAGCGTCTAACCGTTCAAAGTCGGCGCTCGGTTCTGCGGAGAAATGAGATCTATTACCAGAAATTGAGCTAACAAAGTAAGTTTTTACCCATATTTTATGTTCTTGGAATCTACTTAACCGAAATTTCTTCAGGAACAACAGCCCGAGTTTGTGAAACATAGCGTCTAACCGTTCAAACTCGGCGTTTAATTCTGCGAAGGAATAAGGTCTCTTAGCAGAAATTGAGGCTAACAGGTATGTTCTTCCTCGATTTCTACGTTCTAAGGGTCTACTTGACGGAAATCGCTTTAGGCATGACCTCCCAAATTCGCAAAACATAGCGGCCAACTGTTCAAACTCAGCGTTCGATTCTGCGGATGAATGAGGGCTATTACCCCAGAAGTTGAGGCTAACGGGTAAGTTCTTGTTCGATTTTTACGTTCTTGGGCTCTACTTGACGGAAATTGCATCAGAAACGACCTCCTGATTTTACAGAACATGGCACCCAGCCATTCAAACCAGGTGTTTGTTTTTGTGGTGCAGTAAGGTATTTTGACCATTTTTCGTGGTACTGAGAATTGTTACACCAGTCATGTATACCTATAAAGGCCCAACAATAAGATTGATTTTAGAGTACCATACATATCTACATGATGGGGATTATTTTAGGAAAGTAGCATATATACTTGTATGAATGTCAACCCCATCACTAGGCCAATATGAACAAGAGAGGCAAGGCCGACTAGTACCCACTGAGGTCAATGGCATTTGTTGTCATTGCTGGAAGACGTTTCCGGTCACTCTGTGATGTGAGGGTGTGATTGAGTGGGTTAGGATGCTAAGCGTTCACGGCTGTAGAGACATTGGGCACTCACCACAGGTGGTCATCTGTCGTTCGTTAGTTGTTCGTCACGTTTGTCTTCATGGGTTCATTGTCCATCGGAGTTGTCTTCGCATTGTGGTGGTGGTGGTCCATCGTGGTCGTCTTCGCATCACCGTTGTCCGTCGTGGTCGCATCGTGGTGGTCCGACATTGTGGTCATCGTGTGGTCATGGTCACGTCGTGGTTGTTGTGGTCATGTTGTGGTTGTTGTGTTCATGTCGTGGTTGCCCTGTTCGTGTTATGGTGGTCCGTCCCCTTGCTGAGTATGGCAGGCAAGTTTCTTGCTGAGTATGGGAGGCAAGCTGCCATGACTTGGGGTCTCGGCTGCTATTGTTAGTCTTGATGTCATGAGGCAGGAGAGATACAATACAGGAGGGGACTTACCAATGGGACGATGTGGCGGGAAGGAAGAAGTCCGAAGAACCAGGTGGTGACCCTTTGGGAAGGTACAGCTACGACGCCGATTTTTGACGTACAGACTCCTGGAAAAGCGCTGGATCAGTGCTAAAGTCGTCCACTTGCTGAGGGGTGTCGTTGTCTGGAATGCAGAATGAGGCACGCTCATAAGCGAGTATGATACGACGACGACGAGGAGTGAATACCAACAATTATTGAATTATTTGATATTTACCATGTATGTACAATGCTAAGTCAGCGCGAAGACTTGGCCTGGTGTTTTCCAGACCCTAATCCAAGTCACAATTTGATTGTGATCTGCCAGCGAAATCACACACCCGAATTGTGATCTAGGGCCAAGTACTTCGCTTAGGGTTCTTTGCTCTTATCTGAAAATTCGAGGACATCTGGGATATGGAAATTCCGGCCGTCCGGCGGACTGGCGGATCCGGCACGCCAAACTCTATCATCTCCACTCTTTCTGTGCACGTAGATGGTCATTTTACATGTACAGTGATTCAATACTACTATTATGTATATGTATAGTATACAAGAAGACTGAGTGTCTACAGGTGGAAGCGGCGGTTATCAACTGGCAGTCCCCAAGGTGGTTAGCGTCGCTTTGCCGCTGTCGACCTGTATGCAAACGTGCTTATAAGCCTGAGGTCTCCGTGATACATTTGTTTCCGCTTCCTCTCTTTCTCCCACTTCACGTCCTCGCCAGATTCTCCTTCTCCCACACCTTCAAATGCTCCTTACGTGCCTCCCAAACGAGCCTCCCAGCAACCTCCACTAGTCTCCATCATCGGGGATTTCCAATACCAGTCTTCAGGTTCGACAACGTGAGCTTCTCGGGGGACTTTGAATGGCGTTAGGAGGAAGGGCGTGTAGCACAGATTGCATCGCCATTTCTGGGGACTTGTATGTGGAAGATCCGAAGGATGGGCTATAAGATATCGTATCTACATAGTATCAAAATGTATCGTGCTGCGATTCAAATAAAACTCACAGGGCTATTCCGAAAGGTGTGAAGGGTATCGTCCAATCGGTGTGAAAGCGAGAGATGGTGTCGACGGCCAGACACGCGCTCACAGCGGCGGTGTTTGGCTTTTGCGCTTTGGTATTAACCGCAAAGGCGGAGGGCGGCCTTCGTCTGGTTTGTGTAACTGTGCAGCGTAGAATACATTGGAGATGTCGTGGTTGGCGTCCTCGTCGATGTTGCAGACTTCCTCAATATCGAAGTGGTTCCCTCGTCCCGTTGTCGTTAGCGCTACAGTGTGGTCTGCATCGTCACGAATCATTTTCCCTTGTCGTGGTCGTCAGGCAGTTGTACAGCTACCAGTGTAGTTGTAGATCTTTTTCCCTGTTCAGTCTCACTATAACTATAGCCGTAAACTTACCAAGTGTCAGTGTCGCGGTTGTCCATCAGGCCAATGTCAACGTTAGAGTCGCGTTCATTCACGCCATGTAGAGAGTTCTTGACGAATGGGCAGCAGAGGAACTTGCGGTTGAAGTCAAGATCGGAATTTGCCGCATGGCTGACAAATACATTTGCCGGACGCCGGACACGCGGAAATTCCAAATCCGAGATTCTTTGGAAAATTCGACCTCACTTTTGGGTTTAAAATCCTGAAACCCCCTTGTGTATGACCCTCTGCACAGTCTTTGCGGTTCATTTATAATTTCTCCAGCCAGTTTGACTCAAAGAACCAATAAAGAATTGTCAAGTTCAAGTTCGGAGGCAACAAAACAAACTTACTATTACTGGGCCACCTGATTGGTCTCAACGCGAAATACCGGCATTGCTGTCTGTGTTGTAGCCATGAATTTCCCATGTCCAGGGGACAGCTCCATCTCCATGAACATCAAAAAATTGCATCGGGAATGTACAGTGTGGCAGCGTAAGGGCCCGGGGTAACTCGAGCAGTTGAGGATTCCATTCAGATGTTCGTGGTCTGGCTGACTTACAAAGCCCAGCCGTTTTTCCGAATTGGTTGAACTGAAACAGAGTCAGATTTAGACCTTCTGACAATATATAGTGACTGATTTTTAGTAGTATGTTTTGAAGTGGGCGCCGAATACCCCTGCATTTCGAGCCAATTGTCTTAGTAGCATGGAGACAGCCCACCATCCAAGGTCATATTCACAGTTTTCTGCAGAAGACGAAAAAAAATACGGTCACGGTATGCCACCCACTCGTCCACGAAATCCCCCGGAGGCCCACCCCATCGGTTCCCCCATTTCGCACTGGCGATGTAATACGGAGTTAGCCTGAATAAAAATATTACTTTGCAGTCCCAAAGATACGTGATGTACAACATGGACAAAAAAAGAGCTTCGAGTAACAGATCTTACATTTTGAGAGAATCCATTGTCGTCGGGGACTATGGTGGCGGGTCTAATGCAAACTGCACTAAAGCTATTTCGGCGGCGGCCCGTTTGGCGTTATTCTTGCTTGAGGCAGTCCCGCGACCGTACTCTATGTCGTTGACTATAAGGCGTCATTTATCAGTCCGATAAATAAAAAAAAGCAAAATAAGACGTACCTGTTACTACAACAGTCCAGTCCTCGGCGTGTGCGGGACCAGATCGTGCCACCTCATAATGAGGAGGATACAACCCCGAATGTTGACATAAATCATTTAAAGTTCGAACTGGATCTGATGAATGAAGGTAGGAGGTTCAAAGATGAGGCAAAAAAAGGTAGACGCTCCTTACCTGATAAAACATCAGGTGAAGGTGAATCGATGCCCTCCTGATTAAACACCCTGCTTGAAGAGCCCTTGCCCCGAACTAGCAGATAAGGGTCGAAGACGTTTGTCTCTCCACCCTGCACGTTGCCCTGCTGATTAAACACCCTGCTTGAAGGCTGAGGTTGTGTGCCTCGATCTAGCAGATAAGGGTTGACAACGTTTGTCTCTGGTTTTTTGCCTCGATCTACATCCTGCACGTCTGCATCGTTATCACTTGGTTCTCCTATTCGGTTCTCTCGGGCTCGGGGTCTTGGTGCTCTTCGTGCACGCCCAGTATCACTGGCATCGGGGAAGGTCCCTTGAGCGGATCCAGGATATCTCGGAGTAGTATCTGGAGAAGAGAACTGCTGTTTTGGATTTGCTTCAGGAGCATGCTGGGAGAGGTAGACTGTTCCTGTATAGTAAAATGTCTAAGCAAATTAAATTTCACGTGAACTTCAAAAAGCGTACCTTCGTCATCGAATTGAAACAGAAACGTTTGTCGTATGCGACCAAGGAGTTCAAAGGCGTCTGGCATTGCGATTTCGTCCTACGTGTGCCTCAGACTTAACTTAAGTTTGCCAACTCAGCTGGAAGCCAACCTCTCTGATGACAGCACACCAGTCATTATCGTGGCTGATGGCTACCTTCGCGCTGGGAAACTGGGCCGAGATGAACGTGAAAAACGCGAGCAGCATTGCGCCATTCACTCACTTGCCTCAAAAGCATTTTATTGATGAGCGTTGCCGGATGCATCTGAAATGCCTTATTGGGGGGTGGAAATGAACAACAAAGAAGGGCGCCCACCGTTAACTTTTCTCCACCTAAACTATCATTCGCGACGTTGGCAGACCCTTCTCGATTTTCTACAAATCAATCATCCCAGTCTTATCAATGGCTTGCTCAAAGTAACTCACCAAGGCCTAACAACATCGATATGATGGAATCAAAATAACTCCGAGGTTGACGAAAATTCAGGATGTGGTTGTCTGATGAATCTGGAACAAGAGTTGATACCATGCTCTCCCACACATCATCGGGCAATGATACGGTAAACGAACGAAGGAACGTGCACTGATTTCGGGTATCCCGAGGATATTCTTGATTGCCTGCATCATCCAAAAGTTCTTCAAGTCTGGGCCCTGCCTTAGCTTCAACACGTCCCTCGTAATCCCATGTATACTCAACGGGTGATTGGGCTGTATTGGCAGCTAGGGTTATGGCCCCCGGTGGAAAATCAGAATATGTAGCGATCCCCCATAAGTTGGTCTTATCGCAGCCTGTAACAAGTCGGAGTTCCCCATTTTTGATTGCCCTACCACAAGTTCCGATGGTAAATTTGTACCAATTCTCAGCATTTTTTACTGCAATCCTCTGGAATTTGTGCAAATTGAGCAAATCCTCGTGATATGCCCCGTTGGGCATTACCAGGATGGACCCTTCAGGTCCGTTGCACCTGAAGCTCAAGCCTCTAAAAGCCACATCAGAATTAATTGTCGGGAAGCATTACTCCCGTAGACCTACCTCAATTTTTCGGTTGTGGAAGTTAAAAGGCAGCTTCCCAAATCGTGTTGGCGCAACTCCGAGACATCGGTAGGTAACAGATAAACTGGCGAGAAGTTGGTCGGCAGAAAAGTCGGATTGCTGGCGTGACCACGGGGTAGGCAAATGTTGAACAAAAAATCAAAGTAACCATCCTTTGTGATAACGCCAACGTCGCCAATACTGACACCTTTCCGACGATAAGATAGAGGTAACCGAGAATGCGGCTGAGGTGCCCAGAGCGGGAAGCCGTGATGTTCGACCAGTAGATGGCGCTCATACCGAGCGTTTGGAGCCTCTCTTTCATCAGTCGAAGGGGCTTCGGGAGTAACAGACTATAAGATAGCAATGAGTGTTAGAGTGGTCGAAATTGCTGTCATCGACGATTAGCTATACATGGTGTGGTTGCGCGCCTTTGGGAATAATCTCTTCGTCAGTTGGGCACCTTGTCATACGGTGTTAGAAACACCCACCTGTTCCCGAATTGCCCGACGTTACCAATAGGTCCAATTGGCTGCCGCCGGCCAATGGCTTGGAGAGAAAATCATTTAGGTCAATGTCTCCCATGACAAGGACCTTCTACTGACCAATTCGTTGCCTGGGTTTATCTGCCCTCCTTGATCTGTCAAATTAAGATTTCAATCAGCGCTGCATCGTTGTAGTGCTTGGAAGGTCATACATATATTGACGACGAGTCCATTATGGTCTCCTGCAGAATTGTTGAACTCTCCCCCGGCTATCGTTGTCGATTGAGACTGACAGAAAAAAGATGGCGAGCTGGCCACGCTGTTACTAGAGCGTTTAGTCAAGCGTCAAGTTTTGCTCACCTCGAGGACCCGCTAACATTCGCCATAACTCCAATGATCAACAATGCCCACTGACCGAAATTTCAACTCGTTGTTGATAGGCGGATAAGAACTTAAGTCATGGATAGGCGCTGCCAGTGAACAGCATCTATGAGCATGAGATAGGCGCTGAACAGCATTCATGAACATGAGTTGGCCATGATGATGCATGATGCATGGCGGAGATCACTCAAAAAAGAAGGAAAAAAAAAACATATTTCTTTGACCTCAACTCCTTCTCCCTCTTCGTATGCTCACCTCCTCAAGCCGACTCTGCGTCTCCTCAAGCTCAAGCCCATGCTCCGAAAGTTTATGCTGCAACGTCCGTTCAGCTTCCACACACTTCCTATTCAAATTTGGTTCAAATCCACATTCGCCCTTTGCAACGCGTCGAGTCTATCCAAAGTCTCCAACGACGCCGTCGAGCTCGTCGCCGAGCAGTCCATCACCAAACCACTCTCCAAAACTCCTCCTCATCAACGAATCAAACGGTCCACCGGTGTAACCTCCAACTCCACAATCTCCGCACTATACTCCCCAAACGCCATATTCGCTACCTCAGTCATCACCTCAGCCCCATACCCCTTCCCTCGCCTCCTCCAACGTCATCACAATTCCGAGATCCACGTACTTCACCCCGTTGTTGATGAGCAACCCGTTACGCCACCCATAACTATGACGGGATATTGAAGTGGCTTGTTGTTCTCGTCTCGGAGGGGCGCTGTGGGGTCTGTCGGCGTGACGAACGCCAACTGGGGCAGCATGTTCGCCTTTATTTGCGAAAGCTATGAATGCTTTTCTGGGTTCTTCGCATCCGTTGATGATGCGTAGGTGATCACTTGCCTTTACGGGCTCGTACGCGAAATTTGGGGATTCGAACAGAGAGCGACGCATAAAGGTGCATCGGAAACTCATGGAGTGCGGAGGACCAGACGACGAATTACTTTATACACCAGGTCCGATATGCGGACTTGTTGGAAAGGAGGTGAGGCATCGGGGAAGGGGACGAGCATGCTCTTCCAGGGATCTGTATTCCGAGCTGGACTGGGAGCCAACAGCTTACGCTGGCTTACTTCCAGCGGCAAATCCACCTCGGATGGCGTGCTTTGGGCCAAGAACGACAATGATGGCTTTAATGGATATTCGATATTGGGACTCCATAACGCGACCATGCCCCCGCTAACGTCGATAGCGACACCAGCTGCAATACCATTTTGATCTGCATAATACGCAACAACCCACTTCGCATCCTGGAACTCGCTGATACCAGCGTCGGACACTCGTTCCAAGGGCTGCCCATCAGGTATTGAAGCTGTGCGAGCCCCCAGTGTCTTGAATGGGCTTCGCTGTGTCTTTTATCCTCCGTCGCTCCAGGGACCTTAACAAGCTGGTCCTTTGAATTCCGACATGATGGCTATGGAGACAAGAAATTAGTCAAACGGCGCGGTTGGGCGTCAATGCCGAATTTCACTGCATTCGAGTGGCTTCGGGGTGCTTCACCTTCGTCGAGTCGTCGACTACCTTCCTCTTCCCCTTACTCTTTCTTCATCTGCATCACTCTGGAAAAGCCAAAAACGAACGGTTTGTACGTGGACAGCGATCGACCTCGTATGTTAGCCGGAGAGGCGTTTCCTCCTGCAACCAACTGTGTACGGTATGTCGAGGCTGGTACCCACATTTTCGGAACGAAGAGAGGTCAAGGACGAACATGTATTATTCTCCAACAGGGCTTCTCAACCGCAAGAACATGAGACTACGAAACCCAAAATGGAAAGAGAAGACGGAAAACACTGACTACGCTCCACCATTCTCACCTCCAACACACTGGATCCTGTTTGGATGCTGCGTAGCCCGTCGTCTGCTCGTCACCTTCGTCAAGGTCGCTTCCAGTCCGCCTTGGACGACCCCCAATCGTCGTCTTCCTTTTCTTTCTCGAACCCACTTCCAATAGTCGAAAGAGTCCTCATGAAAATGGGGTGGGCCACATATAGCCTCGACACCTTGCTCACCAGCAGGATCCACAGAAGGAACAGTCGAAGTCAACGCAATAGCCTCAGAAAAGTCTCCAGCCGTCCTCGACGAGGCCTTTGCAGGATTCCTCCAGCCCGAACGTCCATCTCATGCTCGTTTCAAATCCTGATCAACAGAAGTAACGTTGATGACCTCTGCATACTCGACGGAATGGTCGCCCTGGTCCCAGCTGGAAGCGCGCCGCGCAGCTGTGAGCCTCCCATCGTCGTCAATGGCTGTCCTGTTCAGGGCTTCCTCGTGACGTGATCAGTCTGGGTACCTGCGCTGACTGTCCCCGAATTCGTCGTCATAAGAGCTGGAAGGCGGAAGTTGCTCGACGAAGGATGGGCAATGCCCACCAGAGAAGGTCTATGTGGGCTTGAAGAATACTGGTTGGACCGCCAATGTGGAATGGGGTGAGAGAACCAGCGAAACGAGCTTGCAGGAGTTCAGCAATCGTTGGGCTTGATCTGGGGGATGATACGCTGCTTCGTCGTAGTTTTTAACGCCTCCAGGGCTATAGTCCCTCAGCTTCAATTTTGATGACGATTTGCTGGTGGTGTCCGACGATGCCTTCCTGTCGTGTTTGGTCATTTTCTAGTGAGCGCGCCATTCGCCCCCATAGGGCCCAGGAAATGGTTCATGCTCATGCTAAGAAGGGCCGGCTTTATTCCAGGCATTATGCAACCCATTTCGGAGAACTCAAACAGCGGTCGTCAACACGTGCATAGCTGAAGGGGTCGCGAACGCTCTACCTAGGTCACGAAACGCAGCTATGAGCGCTGCATCTTGTTGGTTGTGCCCTAAAAGTGGTGTAATGTCTGGTGGGTTCTTTTCTAGCCTTTGCTGTATCCATATTTCGACATTGTCTGACGAAAAGTTACAACGATAGAAGTTTGCCACTCAAGACGGGAAGAACTCTGAGATTGAGGATATACACCGTCCGAAGGGGAGAAACGTTCGGAGGGTTTATGTGAGCCCAGATATCTTCTGATTGACCTGGTGGTTGTCGTTTCATGGGACTGTATGTGGGTTCAGATGCCTTTTCAATGAAATTCTTGACTCAATAATTTATAATTATAGGTTTCTGGGTGGAGGCTCACGCGCCAGGATTAAAGCACTCATTACGACGATGAAGATGTACAACGGGCTACAGGACTACTAGCATACCATGCCTCCCAACACTCCAACATCGAATTCGGTCGAAGAAAAAGTCCAAAACCACATATTCAACACCGTAAACGACCTCTGGGGAATCAGCCAACTCTCCAAAACCAACCTCCCCCTCCCCATCTCCCACATCCACTTCATCGCCCACCCAAACGAGGACAACTTGGGTAGCGACGGGCAACAACCCACCAATCACTGGACCATGTACCTCGAGACATCACCAACTTCTTCAGTCCACGTTGACGTCGCTCCGGACGATACCGATGTCGCGATGGTCATGCTTGACACGGAACAGGTCAATTTTGACGCCTACAATGTCTTTCACAAGTCGCTTCCTGTGACTGGTGAGGACTGTAGTGTGGCGACGGTTCTGGATGTCTTGATTACGAAGAAAAGGGATGTGTATAGGTTCGCTCCGGTGGGTGAAGGATGTCGCTACTGGCTCTCCATCGTTGTACTGGATCTGGTGGATGCTGGATTGGTGGATCAGGGAGACGTTCAAGATGCCATTGATTGGCTTGGGATGTATTGGTGTTTTCCTCCTGGCACTGGCTCGTTCGCCCGAGAAATTGCACGGGGTTCTTTCTAGTAGTTTTTTTCCGGTGATGAATGTACTTCAAAAGCTCGCAACGAGGAACCTAACTTTCGAACGTGTGCGCATATGCATATGACAGAAATCAAATTAGACGCACCCTCATATCATATCAAAGTCGAAGATACGTGATCCCAAACCTCTTCCGATTCAACGCCTGCAACCGAGCGCAATCCTCCGTATGACATGCGTTAGCGAAAAACCCAATGACCGCCATCTTCAATTGCTTGACAGGGCAATCCTCGGCCGATAACCACCTCGACTCAACCATATCCGCCACTCTCCCGTCCTGGGCAGAAATGCATCCCCACAGCTTGATGGTGCTGAGATTCGGACAGAGCGTCTCAGTAACGGTCTCCTCCGCCGGCGAATCGTCCCCACTATGCAGAACCCTTTCTGCAGAGGTGGTATACGTCAACCGCCTCAACGCCTCCTCCGTCACGCATAGATGCTTTTGATGATCTTCCGTGATAGACAGCGAATCCAACCATGTTGATATTTGTGGATGTGCAAGGCACTCCAGCATCTCCTCCGCGGAGATATCGCATTCTTGTATGATAAAGTGTTTGACGGTGCACACAGAACGAAGGAGGAATGCAAGGAACTGGGATTGTGGCCAGTGAATGATGTGTACGGGGGTAATGTTGGGAAAGGACCCGTGGACCTCAGAGAGCGAGAGATCATTCAGAGCTGGTAGCGTGAGCTTGTCAAAGAGGATTCCGAGGTCGCCTGCTGTGCTTAGATGGAGACGTTGCAGATTGTTGTGAACAATTGGGTCAGAGCCGTTTGTGAATGTAACTTGGACAGGAAGAATGAGTGTCAGCTCTAAAGATGTGAGCTGAGGGCAGGATGTGATGATGCGGAGACCCTCAGTCATCGATATGATGTGGCCCAGCCAGAAGTGCGTGAGCTGTGCCCAGGGAAAGGTGAGCATCGTGAATGGCTTCTGGCTCAGCCAACTGACGGAATGAAGTCGTGGTGCGGAGAGCATCGTTGATGTGATGCGATCCACGTCGTCTTGTTCCAGCCAGTAACTTTTCTCCAAGTATAGTTCTTCGAGCAAGGGAAAAGAGGTGTCCTTGGGCAGTGAAGCGAACCCGGTTTTCTCGGACCATGCGTCTTTGTATCTTATACGGACTTTCTGCCATCGGGAGTGATGGGGGATGAAGACCTCGAACATGGACAAAACTACTGAATCGGTGGGATCCTCGGATTCTGGTTCGGCGGTAGGTGCGGTGGGAAGAGTGTAGTCAAACCCAGCGCGACTGCTGCGGAGGAATGGATCTCGTTCTTCGATGGAGATTGAAAGAGGACAGGAACCAGAGTGCTCCAACCATGCTTCGACGACTCTTTTGTCAGGATAACACACTCCCTTTGAATCTCGACTGAAATCGAAGACCATAACTCGGGTGTGCCCAGTGCGATGTTCTTCCAGGCTATACAAACACTGGTAAGAACATTCGGAGACACATAGGTTGCTGTTCGACGGCGAGGTCTGTCGACATCCCAGAAGAGGAATATGAGGCGAATGATCTGTGGAGGAACCTTGCGTATCGGCGAGAGTTGGTCCCGGTGGAGATCCAACTGCTTTGAGACGTTTTTATAATCATCCGAAAGCCGCCGCAGTTCTCGTCGGTTTTGCTCGATTTCACGTTTGTCATCGTCGGAAGGTTCATAGTTACCAGGATATGTGACGTCCTGGCACTCCAATCCACCTAGGAAATAGAGTTCGCCTTCTACATGCACCATTCGTTCGTCAATATCTTCAAGGAGAGCCTCTTCATGTTTTATGACTTGGGGCAGCGAACCTTTGTCCACAGTGGTGCTCAAGGAAGCCAACCACGCGTGTGCCTCGTTTCGCTGCTTCGTCAGAGTTTTCAACGCCTCCAGAGCTATGGCTGCCTCAGCTTCAATTTCGACGACAATCTGCTGGTGGTGTGCGATGATGCCTTCTAGTTGTGCTCGGCCTTCTTCGGTGAGAGCACCATTCACCCCCATGGGACCCAGGAAATGGTTCACGTTCATGCTCGGCAGCGCAGCTTTCAATTGGTAAATGAAATAAAACGAGGGAGAAATCTAATCACCTTGCTTGTCAAGGTCTCCCAGGGTCATAAATACCAAACAGGTACAAACAAACTACCCAGCGGCCATGGGGGTCTTTTCTTGCATATCGCGCACGCGAGCGAGCAAGCATGAACAAACAAACTTTCCAGGGGCCATGGGGCTCTTTTCTTGCATATCGCGCACGCGAGCGGGCAAGCATGTACAAACTTTCTATGGATGCATATGGCGCACGCGAGCGAGCAAACCAGTGCAAACAATTGGTCTTTTCAAAACATGATATTGTCGTCTCTTTCTTAGTGCCAGCTCTAATGTTTATATACATAACTATGTAGCACTATAGCTCTTGAACACTGTTTCCTTTGTTACGAAAAAAAAGTCGCATCGTATTGGTGCAAAGCAGTGTATTTGTCAGCAAGCAAGGTGCCTGCTGCCGCTGCTAAGTGTCAGCCTCTAGTTGACAGTTATTACGTAATAGATCATGTAAGCAGCCTCTTTGTCTTTTACTGAGCCGCGTCAGCGGCGTTTCCCGGGAATGTCACACGCTGTGACCACAACTACAGAACCCAAAACATTGTGTTGCTAGCTTCCAACCACATTCTGTAATGGTAAAATTTTGTATAGTGCTGCATTATTTTTTTGTGAGTGGTTCTGTGGTCACACCTCTCTGAGCAGCCTCAATTTCGCTTTTTCTGTACTATTTTTTACCCCTCACTTCCCTATATCCATTGTCAGTGTATTTTTCTCCTACTTTGAGATCTATGCAGATTAAATTTCAGGTGGATTTCAGTTGCTCAATAGATTTTCATCATTGATCTACTGGGTGCATGATATGGTACTGTGTAAGCCATAGCCAAGGGTTGAAAGACCAAAAAATATAGCCCAACCTCAATTTTGCTTTTTCTGTACTATTTTTCATCCTCCACTCCCCTCCACCCACTGTCATGGTATATTTTTCTTATTTTTGAGATCTGTGCAGATTAATTTTCAGGTGGATTTTAGCTGCTCAACAGATTTTCATGAGTGGCCTACTGAATTGTAATTTATGGTGCATGGTATGGTACTGTGTAAGCCATAGCCAAGAGTTGAAAAATCAAAAAATATGGCCAGCTTTGTACTGCTGACTGCAGTTACAGTAAAAATGTAGGACTATATAGGTGTGGATCTAAATGTAACTTTGATGATTTGGATTAGAATGAAATTTGAATGAGGGCAGTTTAACTTTGATGATTAAGATAAAATGTGTGTGTCAAAACTGGGATTGAACATATCAACTGGGAGGTCCAGGGGGCTTGCCCTGACATGCTGGCCAAGTGCAGCCAGTGCTGCTGCAGTGTATTTTTGAAAAGTTAAATAAAGTCTAAGTACCAAAACAGGGATTAGTGTAACTTTGAGAAACATGTACACCACAGTTATCAGATTTTTATGAGATAGCCCAAGGGTCTTCCCTTTGGCAGGCTGGCCAAGTGCAGTGAGTGCCAAACCATAGGTGCAGGTCAGAGCATAATTTAAAAAATTTAAATTTAATAAGATGTAAGTATCAAAACAGAGATTGAAAATGTGCACAGGAACTGGAATAAACATATGTACTGGGGGGACAGCTTGCCTCTGGAAGGCATGGCCAAGTGAAGTGAGTGCTGTGTCCAGCTCTAAGCCTAACATTGATGATTCAGATGATAGGTATACACCAGATCTGGGATAAAGAATGTGTATCAGAATGGAGATTGAATACCAGAAGTGGGATTAAACATATGCACTGGAACTGGGATAAAAGATGTGTACCAAAACTGGAATTAAACATGTGTACTGGGGGTCCACACCATAGGTGCAGAAAGTGTAACTTTGAGCAACATATACACCACAACTGTTAAATTTGTATCAGATAGTCCAAGGGCTTGCCTCTGGCAAGCTGACCAAGCACAATGAGTACCACTGCAGGTTAAAGTGTATCTTTGAAAATTCAAATGAAGTGAAATAAAGAGTAAGTATCAAAACAGGGATTAAAGATGTGTACCAGAACTGGAAACAAACACATGTGCTGGGGGGTGGCAAGGTATGACTGAGCAAAGTGAGTGCTGTAGTATAAGTTCAGGTTTAAGTCTAACTATGTGTACCAAAAGTGGGATTAATTATATGTACCAGAAGTGGGATTAAACATGAACTGGGATAAAAAATGTGTACCAAAACTGGGATTAAACATGTGTACCAGGGGGAGGAGGAGCCACGAGCCGAAGGCGAGTGGCAACAAAGACTTGGGTTGGAAGAGCTGCTTGGTGAAGCAAAGAACAACAGGTGCTGTTGGGTAACAGCACATCCCTGTTTCACTTTTATAAGCTCTTCAGGTTCTTTGCATAGCATTCAAATGTGTGTAGCCATGGCATTGGACATCATTCTAACTCAACATGAACTGGGATAAAAAATGTGTACTGAAACTGGGATAAAAAATGTGTAATGAAACTGGGATAAAAAATGTGTACCAAAACTGGGATTAAACATGTGTACTGGTGCGCTCGACCGTTGCTTCGACACTGGTCACAGCTTGTCCATAACAACTCCACTCCCCCAAGTTCTACCTACTAGCTGACTAATCAACAGCTCACGTGCTTCTCTGGGGCCAAATAAAAATGTCGGAAATTTCCCTGGCGCCTAATAAGGGTTATTAGGCACCCAAGGCACCCCTAACCTAATAATGGCTTACAACGTTGCAGTTATTTTATTAAGTTTTAGGCTAACTTAATAAGATCAAATTATCAGGCCTGATAAGGTTATCCAAATTATAAATAGTCACAGTCTAGACTTAACAATGTTACGTGGCAAATTAAAATGCAACAAGCAAGGATTGAACCAAAAACCTCGGGGCTTGTGCGATCCTCAAGCAAAGACTACAAATTTGTAGTCACAACATACCACTACACTACAAGGGCATATAAGAAACTTCCCAAGGTCGTCCATATATCTAGTCTTCAAGCCTACCTTACAACAGCATTATCTTTACTCTCTGCATGGAATGTGGTATCATTTTAAGGTGAAAATGATCAAAATGATACAGGTAACCTGATAAGACACACAAAAAATCAATAATTGGTTCATAGCCTTGACCTGTCCATAGAGGCAATTGGAGCCTATGTTACGAGGCTGGACTAATCTTATCAGACCCGATTTGCCTTATCACACCTTACCCGAGATCATCAAGCTTGTAACATGGAAATAATCATTACATCAGACGTCTGGTCACCTTGTAAGGCAACCGCCCCCCGGATTTTCCCGGCGTCATCTCATCAGGTTTGCCATGAAATGCAGAGCTTCGCATCCACTGGGGTAGACCGTTCTATGTAGACTGATGGTGGACAGTGGTGGACTCGGCCTTTTCCGACTTTCCATCAACCTCATATAAACAGCTCATCGATCCCTGACCATGTTATCTGGACACGTCCCTGAACCCGCCCACTTTTACCCTGGTCCGCCTTTTGCCATCCATCCTCGTAATAGGATGCTACTGGCAGACCTAACAGGGCCATTCAAAAATGAGCACACTGGCTTGAAGCTCGAGGTGTAGCAAGAGCCATCAGCTTATATAACATAGATTTAACATTTTAAGTGTCCGCTCAGGGCGATTTCTTCATGGTTGTTCGCTACTCGCCATTTCCAACGATGAGCTCGAGTAAATCTTTTCTTTGTGGCTTTAATTTGACACACTCTTCAGTAACTCATAGCTAGAACTCAAATATAATGTTTCCTCAATTTCTTTTAATGGTGAAAGCTTTGTAATTGACTTAAAGATGCCCTACTAGTTTGGGGCCGACGACGCCAAAACATCGTTTGGCGTCGTGGCGTACAACGCAGGAGAATACCGGAGAATTTCGGGGTGTGTCAAATCAGGGTTTAGTTAACATGAGAGAGCTGGACCCTGGTGCCTGTGCCTTCTCTGTGGACTCTGTAGACTGGTCTACCCCAGTGGCTGACATGCCCTCGTGAAATGGCAAGGGCTTGCAAGCAGCGTTGTGCCAGTTGCGCAACTGTTCTGAAAGTCGCCGACTGTCACTGACTGTGACATTTCGCAACCAAACACAACCGCGACTTTGCGGGGTGCCAGGGGTGTCCTCATATATTATGTAATGTAATTTTAGGTGTAGACACTTCTGAGATTTCGAGGTGGATTTGACTTTCTCACGATCTACAGTTGACTGTGAGTCTGTGACTTAAGGTCGGTGACACAGAACAACTGTCACAGGTAGCACGCAAAATGGATTGTGGTAGATACGGAACATGATATAGAGGAATCTAGAACAGTGGTAGATACAGAATATGATGTAGGAATAACTGTACAGCATTAGAAGACCGCGCAGTGCGATATAGCACACGCCCAGAGGTAGGACCCCATGGCACTGCGCAAAGTTGCGAACGTTTGACCGTTGACGACCTTTGGTGACTCTCTCACGATTTACGGTCGGTGACTGTGACCTCAGGTCGCCGACCCGCACAACGCTGCTTGCAAGGGTTGGATTCACTTTGGCAAGGCCTGATTATGTCGGCGATCAACATTACAAGGCCGGAGCCTTATCAGGCGCCTGGGAAATTTCCGACATCAACGGACAGAACAGTTCTAAACACTGATCATTGTTACATACATCACAAACTACAGCTAGGAATACATGTCCAACATTAGCTCCGGGAACGCTCTAAACTTTGTCAACGGCATGGTCACCACTACTAGTTAGAAAATATTGACGCAAAAACTTCAAGAGGATACACACTGTCCTTGCACTGTCCACAACTGCATCCTAAGCACAGCTGGGAATGACTCGGATGTTGGCGAAGGAGTCATACATGGTGACATCCAAAGTCTCGGAGAACACAGAGAAATTTGTGTTGTACTTGTACAAGACGGCGGCACCATTCTTATGGAACCTCTTGACGTAGTAATGAATGGTCTTGTAGTCGATCAGGACCTGGAAGCGATCGCCGTGGTCGTAGACAGTGATAGTAGTGTGGAGTCCATTGAGGAACAGCCCTTCAAGTGTTACTCTCTCTTCAGGACCCCAACTGCGATTGGCACGCTTGCTGTTAAAGACGATGGCTTTCTGCGCGCGACGGAAGCTGATGTTGATGTGGAGAAGGTAGTCGTCGGCGGCACTCATGATATTGACGGAGGTGTTATCAATACCCGGACCAAAGCTGGGAGTCAAGTCCAGTTTCGTGGACCGGAAGACGATAATGTTCTCAACCTTGAATTCTTTTTTCAAGGCGACAGTCTGGTGAACGGGAAGGTGGTAAGACATGATTGGATTTGCTGGGTTGGTTGTAGATCTATGAATGCAAGGTGAGCACATTGTGAAATGGTAGCTTGTCTTCTTCCCACCTCAAAATTTTTTGGATCGGCAAAAACACCGAATCGCTGCCAGCGTGACCAGGGGGTAGGGAAAGGTTGAACAAAAAGTCAAGGTAACCATCCCGTGTGATAATGCCAACGTCACTAATACTGACACCTTTCCGACGATAAGATAGAGGCAACCGAGAAGGTGGCTGAGGCGGGACGCCGAGATGGCGCTCATACCGAGCGTTTGGAGCCTCCCTTTCATCAGTCGAAGAGGCTTCGGAAGTAACAGACTATAAGATAGTGATGAGCGTTAGAGTGATTGAAATTGATGTCATCGACGATTAACTATACATGGTGTGGTTGCGCGCCTTGGGAAATAATCCCTTCGTCAGTTGGGCGCCATGCCATACATCAGGAAAACTACACTTCACTTGTTGGGCTTACATCGCTTGTGATCTCACTTGAATCACTTCGGCACTTGATGTTACAGCCACAACTTCCTTTCAAACTCGAAGTGAGTCCAAGTGGGGATTCAAGTCACTCACGTCAGTAAGTCGTAAGTGCCCGCGCTCACAAAAGCCATCGGGATGCTCAAACACGCTACTTAGAAATTATTCCTGAGTGCATTCGAAGTCCGACGACATGTGACAATGTTGAAATTTTCACCATCGGTTTTTCTTTTCAACGTTTATCATAACTGAGCGGTGTCCAACCTGCCCTCGCCAAATCCCAATGCAGTCTGTGCCTGCTCGCTCGCTCGCCGACATGGAAAACGAACCGTAGTCATCACGCGCTCGACATTTGCTGGTGCAGGACTGAGTCCGCTGTCCAGCAGGACGTTTTGGGTACGTCTTTCCTCCTCTTCGCTTTGTATTTTGATAGGGCAAGCTAACATGCATATCCTATCTTACAGACAAATGCAAAACATATTGACGGTCTCACAGAACACGATGACGAACCTTAGCCATCACACGCTCGACCTTCGCTAGTGCAGGATGGTTTTCTTGTACTTCTAGAGGGGAGGAAGTTGATGTTGGGATACAGCGGAGAATACGACAACCTTGGTCATCTGGTCTGTTCCCTTCTCCCCTCCCCGCCTGTCCCCTTTTCACAACTTCACCCTACCCAGGTACCACCTCCTCGACTACGTCTACACCGCCTTCCGCCACCCTCATATGGAGATCCCCACCGAGCCAAAAACAATCTGGTTTGTTCCCTTCTTCTCCGCCTGTCCCCTCCTCATGACTTTACCCTACCCAGGTACCTCGACTACATCTACACCATCTTCCGCCATGCTCATATGGAGACTCCCACTGCTGTCTTCACCGTGCCCAGATTCCGAGCTCATTCGCATTAGATGGAGGTGGCGGCAATCCCATCGCCGTTTTCGCCGTGCCTACATATTCGACATTTGGGTATGTCTCCTTTTCCCTTCCCTTCCACGTGATCTTATTTTCATGCAGGCTGAGCGCGCGTTCAAGTTCTGGATCACGGGGGTCTCTACTGCCGGCATTCCGGATCGTAAGGAAGAAGCAAAATTCTCGGAGGACAACTGGGGCGCCAGCACCGTGGGCTACATCGATTCTATCAACAAATTGTCACGAAGACAATTCGCGCATCGAGGGGATAGGCATTGGCACTGTGAACAAGTGAAACGGGTCATTTTGGTTTCTCCATGAGCGAGACTGAAGGGTGGGATGTTGGGTTGCGGGATGTTTGGCTTTCTACGCATTTCAGAGGTTCCTTGAGCCGCTACATTGTAGGTAGACATTGGTACCATTTAATATACTCTTTTACCCTACTAAATATACCATTCTGTTTGAAATTGGGAACAGTTCGAGACTGCTATTTCGTCACTTGGTCACTTTTGAGATCAACTTGACATACGACTTACCCACTTGAGTCTTCACTTGCATCAAGAGGAATCACTTGGCCAAGGCAGCAACCTACTTAGCCAAGTGAGTTTCCTTTGGCCACTTGAGTTCACTTTCGTCACTTGGCCACTTGTCAAAGTGACCTAAGTGACATAAGTGGACGTGTAGTTTTCCTGATGTACGGTGTTAGTAGAAACGCCCACCTGTTCCCGAATCGCCCGACGATGCCAATAGGTTCAATTGGCTGCCAGCCAATGTCTTAGAGAGAAAATGATTTAGGTCAATGACTCTCAACCAATCCATAACAAGGACCTTCTAACCGATTCGTTGCCTGGGTTTAACTTCCCTCCCTGATCTGTTCAATCAAGATTTCAATCAGCGCTGTATCGTTGTAGCTTTTGAAAGGTCATACATATATTGAAGACGAGCTTATTGAGGTCTCCTGCAGAATTGTTGAACTCTCCCCCGGATATCTTTGTCGATTGAGACTGATAGAAAAAAGATGGAGAGCTGGCCGCACTGTTGAAGCTTGAGGCAAGGTTTGGTCAAGCCTCGAGTTTTGCTCACCTCGAGGGCCCCTCAACATTCGCCATAACTCCAATGATCAACGATGGCCACTGACTGAAAGTTCAACTCGTTGTTGACAGGCAGATGCAAGCTTGTAGCATGCTGAATAGGCGCTGAACAGCATTTGTGAACCAGAGTTGGCCGAGGTGCATCCCAGTGAAAAGTTAAAACCGGCTCTGTAAGCCTCCGCGGGGATCGGTTGCAAAAGAGACAAATTGGCGATGCTCCGCTGCGGGCCGCAATCGCCTCGACGCGACTATATATCTCAGAGCTCTATCGGGTTGCCTGCATTCCTTCATTCTTCCCGCCCCACCATCTCCCACAACCCGTCTCGCCGCACTTCACACTATTCCGCCCAACCCTCTCGCTAACATACGCGAACATACTTATTCTTCATACAAAATCGTCAACCTGCAGGCTGTGCGTATCAGAGTTTGAGTGACCGTAGCCTCACCGGGTACAAGGAAGCATGTCCTCTCACTAATACCTCGGCATGTATTCCATGATTGAGGATGTGCTCATAAGTGGTGAGTGCGTTGGTTGTCCATCTGTGGTTTGATGGGCGCGACTCAGAATTTATCTGTACTCCCCCCTCTACGACCCCCCACAATGCTCTTCAACCTCCCGCGGAATCCGCTCGGAGGTCCAACTGCTTTGAGATTTTTCTATGCTCCTCCGAAAGCCGCCACAGTTCTTGTCGGCCTGGCTCGATTTCGCGTTTGTCAGAGTCGGAAGGTTCAGGCCGAGGATAGTTACCAGGGTCCTCGCACTCCAATCCACCTAGACAATGGAGTTCGCATTCTACATTCATCATTCGTTCATCGATATCTTCAAAGGAGTCCCTTCACGTTATATGATGCGGGGCAGTGAACCTTTGTCCACAGTGGTGCTCAAGGAAGCCAACCATGTGTGTGCCTCGTTTCGCTGCTTCGTCAGAGTCTTCAATGCCTCCGGAGCTATGGCTGCCTCAGCTTCAATTTCGCCCGTGGTGTGCGATGATGCCTTCTAGTTGTGCTCGGCCTTCTTCGGTGAGGGTATCATTCACCCCCATGGGACCAAGGAAGTGGTTCACATTCATGCTCGGCAGCGTAGAATTCAATTGTTATGTAAATGAACGTAGCTTATCGCGGCTGGTGGTTAAAAGGGGGGGAAATACGACAGTGGATGGTGACGTCGATGCCTGTTACAACCACATTCCGCATCTCATCCATATCAAACCTCATCCTATCAATCGTCTCCTTCAACAACATATTCTCATGCTTCTGCTCATTCAACTGCTCATGCGCCTGTTGCGCGATCGATAAATCAGCTTCGAGCTGCAAGATCCTCGCTTCGTAGTTCTCGTGCTCTTTCATGTATTTGAGCGCTTTGACTTCTTGCAAGGCGGCGGATTCGCGGAGGGTGCGTATTTGTTCTTCACGTTGACGGAGTTCATCTCTGTATTTCTCGGATGTGACTATCAGAGAAGGGGAGGGTGAGTACGGAAGAGGGGGAGCGGCGGAGGGAAGGAGGGGAGACATACTGCATTGGTCTTGGTACTGCTTGTTTAAACTGATGTACGTCGAGCGAGTACGGTCTAGTAGCTTGTTAAGCCTCGATGTCTCTTGTTCCAGCCTTGATATCTCTTGTTCAATGCTACTCATCTGCGTCGTGTTCAAGCGCTGCAATAAGCCCCATGAGCCACCAATGAATCACCCCCCTCAAAAAACATAATTCTTTGGCCTCAACGTTCAACATTCAACTCCCGGGCCTTCTCCCTCTTCGTATGCGCCAGCTCACTTCTAACCCCCTCGAGCCGACTCTGCGTCTCCTCAAACTCAAGCCCATGCTCCGAAAGTTTATGCTGCAACGTCCGTTCAGCTTCCACACACTTCCTGTTCAAAGTTGGTTCAAATCCACATTCGCCCTCTGCAACGCGTCGAGTCAGAGTCTATACAAAGTCTCCAACGACGCCGTCGAGCTTGTCGCCGAGCGGTCCATCACCAAACCACCCTCTGAAACTCATCAACGAATCAAACGGTCCACCGGTATACAATCTCCAACTCCACAATCTCCGCACCATACTCCTCAAACGCCATATTCGCTACCTCAGTCAACACCTCAGCCCCATACCCCTTCCCTCGCCTCCTTCGACGTCATCACAATTCCGAGATCCTCGTACTTCACCCCGTTGTTGATGAGCAACCCTGACGGGATATTGAATTGGCTTGTTGTTCTCGTCTAGGAGGGGTGCTGTGTCTGTCGGCGTGACGGACGAACACCAACTGGGGCAGCATGTTCGCCTTTATTTGCGGAAGCTATGAATGCTTTTTTTGTGTTCTTCGCGTCGCGTCGATGATGCATAGGTGATCACTTGCATTTACGGGTTCGCACGCGAAATTTGGGAGAGCGAGGCATGAAGGTGCAACGGAGACTCACGGAGTGCCGAGGACCAGGCGACGAGTTACTTTACACACTAGGTACGATATGCGGTTGGAGAAGAGGTGCGATCAAGGGAGGGGACATGCATGCTTTTTCTCCTCTTCCACGAATCTGTATTCCGAGCTGGATTAGGGTGGCTTTCAACAGCTTACGCTGGCTAACTTCCAACGAATCCACCTCGGATGGCGTGCTTTGGGCCAAGAACGACAATGATGGCTCTGATGGATGTTCGATATTGGGACTCCATAACGCGACCTTGCCCCCGATAACATCGATAGCGACACCAGCTGCGCTACCATCTTGATCTGCATAATGAGGTACCGCAACGACCCACTTCGCATACTGGAACTCGCCGATACCAGCGTCGGACACTCGTTCCAAGGCCTGCCATCAGGTATTGAAGCTGCGCGAGCCCCAGGTCTTGATTGGGCTTCGCTGCGTCTTTTACCCCCTTTTCCTCCGTCGCTCCTGGGAGCTTAACAAGCTGGTCCTTTGAATTCCGACATGATGGCTATGGCGACAAGAAATTAGTCAAACGGCGCGGTTGGGCATCAATGTCGAATTTCACTGGTAAACTCAACCTGCATTGCTGCCCATTCCTGGCTTTCGAGTGGCTTCGGTGTGCTTTACCTTCGTCGAGTCGTCGAGTCGTCGACTGCGTACCTTCCTCTTCCCCTTACTCTTTCTTCATTTGAATCACTCTGGAAAAGCCAAAAACGAACGAATCGTACGGGGACAGCGATCGACCTCGTATTTTAGCCGTCCGTTCCGTCCAGGGAGAAGCGTTTTCTCTTGCAACCAACTGTGTACGGTATGCCAAGGCTGGTACCCACATCTTCGGAACGAAGAGAGTTCAAGGACGTACATGTATTATTCTCCAACAGGGCTTCTCAACCGCAAGAACATGAGACTACGAAATCCAAAATAGAAAGAGAAGACGGAAAACACTGTTTCCGTTCCACCATTCTCACCTCCAACACACTGGACCCTGTTTGGATGCTGCGTAGCCCCTCGTCTGCTCGTCACCTTCGTCAAGGTCGCTCCCAGTCCGCCATCGACGACCCCCCCAATCGTCGTCTTCCTTTTCTTTCTTAAACCCACTTCCAATAGTCGAAGAATCCTCATGAAAACAGCGCGGGCCACATATAGCCTCAACACCTTGCTCATCAGCAGGATCCACAGAAGGAACAGCTGAAGTCGACGCAAACAGCCTCAGAAAAGTCTCCAGCCGTACTCGACGAGGCCCTTGGCAGGAAGGGCCGCTCTTGCAGAATTCCTCCAGCCCCAACGTTCATCTCATGCTTGTTCAAATCCTGATCAACAGAAGTAACGTTGATGACCTCTGCAAAACTCGACGGAATGGTCGCCCCAGCCCCAGCTTGAAGAGTGCCGCGCAGCTGTGAGCCTCCCATCGTCGTCCTGTTCGATAACATCGTAGGGCTTCCTCGTGATGTGATCAGCCTGGGTACCTGCGCCCACTGTCCGCGAAATCGTCGTCATAGGAGATGGAAGGCGCAAGTTGCTCGACCGCAGGATCAGCAATGCCCACCAGAGAAGGTCCGTGTGGGCTCGAAGAATACTTGTTGGATCGCCAATGCGAAATGGAGGTGAGAGAAACCAGCGAAACGAGCTTGCAGGAGGTCAGCAGTCGTTGGGCTTGATCTGGAGGATGATTCGCTGCTTCGTCGTAGGTTTTAACGCCTCCAGGGCTATAGTCCCTCAGCTTCAATTTCGACGACGATTTGCGGGTGGTGTGCGATGATGCCTTCCTGTCGTGTTTGGTCATTTTCTAGTGAGAGCGCCATTTGCCACCATAGGACCCAGGAATTGGTTCATGCTCATGCTAGGAAGGGCTGGCTTTATGCCAGGCATTATGCATTGTCCCCAACCCATTTCGGAGAACTCAAACAGCGGTCGTCAACACGTGCATAATTGAAGGGGTCGCGAACGCTCTACCTACTAGGTCACGAAATGCAGCTATGAGCGCGGCATCTTGTTGGTTGTGCCCGAAAAGTGGTGTAATGTCTGGTGGGTTCCTTTCTAGCCTTTGCTGTATCCTTATTTCGACATTGTCTGACGAAAAGTTACAAAGATCGAAGTTTGTCACTGAAGACGGGAAGAACTCTGAGATTGAGGATGTACACCGTCCGAAGGGGAGAAACGTTTGGAGGGTTTATGTGAGCCCAGATGTCTTCTGATTGACTTGGTGGTTGTCGTTTTGTGGGACTGTTCGTGGGTTTAGATGCCTTTTCAATGAAATTCTTGACTCAATGATATATAGGTTTCTGGGTGGAGGTTCACCCGCCAGGATTAAAGCACTCATTACGACGATGAAGACGTACAACCGGCTACAGGACTACTAGCATACCATGCCTCCCAACACTCCAACATCGAATTCGGTCGAAGAAAAAGTCCGAAACCACATATTCAACACCATAAACGATCACTAGGGAATCAGCCATTTCCTCAGAAACAGCCTCCCCCTCCCCATCTCCCACATCCACTTCATTGCCCACCCAAACGAGGACAACTCGGGTAGCGACGGGCAACAACCCACCAACCACTAGACCATGTACCTCGAAACATCACCGAGCTCCTCGGTCCACGTTGACGTCGCTCCAGACGATAACGATGTTGCGATGGTCATGCTTGACAATGAACAGGTCAATTACGATGCCTACAACGTCTTTCACAAGTCGCTTCCTGTGATTGGTGAGGGCTGTAGTGTTGCGACGGTTCTAGATGTCTCGATTACGAAGAATAGGGATGTGTATAGGTTCGCTCCGGTGGGTGAAGGATGTCGGTACTGGCTCTCCATCTTTGTACTGGACCCGTGGACCTCAGAGAGCGAGAGATCATTCAAAGCTGGTAGCGTGAGCTTGTCAAAGAGAATTCCGAGGTCGCCTGCCGTGCTTAGATGGAGGCGTTGTAGATTCTTATGAACAATTGAGCCAGAGCCGTTTGTGATAGCTACTTGGACGGGAAGAATGAGCGTTAGCTCTAGAGATGTGAGCTGAGGGCATGATGTGATGATGCGGAGACCCTCAGTCATCGAAATGATGTGACCCAGCCAAAAGTGCGTGAGCTGCGCCCAGGGGAAGGTGAGCGTCGTGAACGGTTTCTGGCTCAGCCAACTGACGGAATGAAGCCATGGTGCGGATATCATCGTGGATGTGATGCGATCCACGTCGTCTTGTTCCAACCAGTAACTTTTCTCCAAATATAGTTCTTCGAGCAAGGGGAATGAGGTATCCTTGGGCAGTGAAGCGAACCCGGTTTTCTCGTACCATATCGTATACGGACTTTCTGCCATCGGGCGTGATGGGGGATGAAGACCTCAAACATGGACGAAACTACTGAATCAATTGGATCCTCAGATTCTGATTCGGTGGTAAGTATGGTGGGAAGAGTGTAGTCGATCCCAGCGTGACTACTGCGGAGGAATGGATCGAAGACCATAACTCGGGTGTGCCCATTGCGATGTTCTTCCAGGCGATACAAACGCTGGTAAGAACATTCGGAGACACATAAGTTGCTGTTCGACGGCGAGGCCTGTCGGCGTCCCAAAAGAGGAATATGAGACGAATGATCTCTGGAGGAACCTTGCGTATCGGCGAGAGTTGGCCCCGGAGGGCCAACTTCTTTGAGACATTTTGATAATCATCCAAAAGCCGCCGCAGTTCTCGTCGGTTTTGCTCGATTCCATGTTTGACATCATCGGAAGGTTCAGGAAGTGGATTGTTACCAGGATATGTGACGTCCTCGTGCTCCAATCCACCTAGACAATGGAGTTCGCCTTCTACATTCATCATCCGTTCATCAATATCTCCAAGAAGAGCCTCTTCATGTTTTATGACTTGGGGCAGCGAACCTTTGTCGACAGTGGTGCTCAAGGAAGCCAACCATGCGTGTGCCTCGTTTTGCTGCTTCGTCAGAGTTTTCAACGCCTCCAAAGCTATAGCTGCCTCAGCTTCGATTTCGACGACAATCCGCTGGTGGTGTGCGATGATGCCTTCTAGTTGTGCTCGGCCTTCTTCGGTGAGGGCACATTCACCCCCATGGGACCCAGGAAATGGCTCACGTTCATGATCGGCAGCGCAGATTTCAACTGGTAAATGATAAAATGATCGCAATTGGTTCTTGAGGTATTCCCGCTACGTTAGTAACTAGCGCGGTGCCTCACTGCGCTCGGCGCCTTGCACAGCTTAAGTAATTACTAATTGTCAATTACAAATTTGTATTTACTATTTGCTACATGTTTTCGGTGTGAGGTCGCTTTGCAGGAGCTTCTTCCAAATCACTCTGAGTCTCTTCTTCTTTTTCCTTGTCAATGTCACCCTCTTCAGTATCTGTGATTTTTCGTTTCAGGGAAGGTTGGGATGATTCAACCTTTTGTTTTGAGGTAGAAGTTTTATGGGCTTATAGTCAAATCGAGCATGGGAACGGGTGTCGTGGCTAGCTTGAGATGGTCCTGATTGTGGTTCGGCGCAGTTGGTAATATATGCGATATTAGTGATGTTGATGTCAAAGGAGTTAATGGATTTGTCATTGTTGCGATGAATGCTGTGAAGAAAACCCCCAACAAATACTCCAGAACCAATTGCAGGGAGTGGTTTTTTCTTACTCCATCTCTTTGAGTTTGTAATGAGAAGATGGGCTGGAAATTGGTAGGAGGCATGGAGTAAATTGCAGTATTGCGAAGGGTGCATGCTGAAAGACGATTTGTCGCAGTCAAGGGGGTGGCAGAACATGGATCCCGTATATAGGGTTAAGGGGGTTGAATTTTTTTTTGGGACCTACACTTAGAAAGCCCTTCCAATAAGCCCAAATGCTCACAAAGAAGTTCAGATGCATTGCAAATACCTAATTTGCACCTAATTTGCATCTCACATCAGAAGCCATTGGAATGGGCAGAGGTGCTTAGGGAATGTCACGGGTTTACAAACCCGTACGGGTTGAGGTCGCGGGTGGGTACAGGTACGGGTACGGGTTGGCATTTTCGTACCCCAGCAAAACCCGTACCCGTGACACGGGTGTGATGGGTGTGACATGTCAATCACGAACGCGTCACCTTCACTAGGGCTGCTCACCGTGTCCGTCTTAGACGGATAGACGGGTCCGTCAGACGGGCACCGTCACCGTACCGTCTGGGCCTGTCGCAAGTCTCCTGACGTACGGTAGACGTACGGGGAAAGGCCGTCTGTTTCCGTTGAGTGACGGGCGTTAACGGCGTTGACGGGCGTCACTGCATATGCGGAGTTTGAAATGAGAATTGCACCAAGGCCGCTATCGCCTTCCAACCCCCACGTACCCCGTGAACTTTTTTTCTGAAACCGGCGATCTGTCCTTCAAATATTTCTTCATGTACGTGCAGCCCCTGTTGCTTTTTCAATTTTCGGATACTTAATTTATTATTATTATCTAATTATCACTAGTTGATCACTAGGAATGAAACCTTTCAGCAAAAGCACTCATCAAGACCGAAAGATCGATCTCATCGTGGACCGTAGTAGGTAGGTATTGAGTAAATTTCTGCTTTGTATGTACTTTGCAATCAGTACTCATCTGTTTATTACATTGTGCTACTAGTAGTTTCCATCCTGTGTGATGAAGTTCGCTAAGAGACGACACGTGCACAGACAAATGCCGCCCTAGTACGAGCTAGTACGCTGCTAGATAGTAACTTTTAATACCTTTGTAATATCATTTATTCCATGTATCACTAAAATTTGTCAACGTCAATACAATTGACGTCCGTCTACATCCGTTGACGGCCGTTTTATATCAGTCCGTCTCTGTTTGCTTCTGCTTGGGTGACCCAGACGGACGGTTGCTGGTTGAACCGCCCCTGTCGACGCCCGTCGATTAGACGACCGTGTCCGTCAGACGGACGGTGCGCAGCCCTAACCTTCACCACGACACTCAACCACCACCACCATACCCTCCAGCACGGTTACCAGACAGCATGGCACGGCAACAACAATGCAAAAGACTCGGATATGTTGGTCAGTAGTAGTGACACACAGACCACAGCAACCACAACAACGAGTCAAACACGATGGAATATGGGGGGGATAGACACAAACAGAGGGCGGGCTTACAAGGTGCGCCCGTGAAGTTCTCTTTTCTTTTTGTTTCCTGACTATTACAACAGCATCACGACGACGGCACCTGCCAATGGACCCCACCTCACAGATCAACGCCAACATGGTCACATGCAGTTGCTCACCACCAACCACACAACACGATACCATCAAAACACTGGCGCATGCCCAGTGCCCCAGTTACCAACAACGATGAGTCAAACACGATGGAATATGGGGGGGATAGACACAACCAGAGGGCAGGCTTACAAGGTGCGCCCGTGAAGTTTTCTTTTCTTTTCGTCTACTGACTATCACAACAGCACAACGACGACAACACCTGCCAATGGACCCCACCTCGCAGGTCAACACCAACACAGTCACATGCAGTTGCTCACCACCACACAACACGATGCCGTCAAAACACTGGTGCATGCCCTGTGCCCCAGTTACCATTTCCTGACTTTCCGATCCTCGCAGGGTTGCACAGCAGTATCAATTGACACTTGCACTGCCTTTGCGAGGTTCATTGGTCATTTCTGGAGGGATACCCGCACATGGGTTGGGAACCCCTGGGTTTTTGTAAACCCTCGACCCGTACCCGTGAAAACCCACACCCGTGGATGCGGGTACGGGTTTTGACGGGTACGGGTGCGGGTTACTCTGGAAAACCCCAGGGTAGCCTGTGACATTCCCTAGAGGTGCTTCCCCAGTGTATAGCTAGCTGGGTAGATGGTGGTATTGTGGTGTCTATCTACTACATGTGATGCATATATATAGTGTGCATGTAACCACACTCTGGATCCTGGAATCCCTATTCCATCTGCCCCCTTCCCATAAGGCAATGTCCCTGCCGCCATCTGCTGAAAAAGAAAAAGGAAGCTAAGAGGATTCAGAAAATTGTAGGGTAGAAATCCAAAATTAAGCAAGGCAATGAAAGAAGATGTGATGGACAAAGTAGGAACATAAAGAAAGATCACTGATGAATCCAACCAAGTGCCTTCAGAGCTTGACTCAAATCTGAGAGGTGTGGATCAGATTCCCAATCAAGAGCCATAGGAATCTTCAATGGGGTTGATGGCAATGGTGGTGCAGTCGGGTTCAAAACCAGAATGAAGTGTTGACAAGGAACAGTTTGGGAGACAGGGAAGAATGGTGGAGTTTGATGTGGCTGAATATGGTGGTCAGGGATGAGAAACCTCACGATTTTCCAAAGGCAATCGAGAACAGCAGTTCTGATGTGCTAACGAGCTGAAGGGGTTGGGGTTGGTGGTGCGAAGAGCTGAAAGGTCGCAGCAAGGCTGATTTTTTGGGAATATAGGGACAATAGGTATGGAGGCAGCATCGTCAAACCAATCAAAGGCTGGGGGGGTCCAAGGTATGAGCAATGGTAGCAGCAGGGGGCGAATCCACAAGTAGTGTTCGCAGGTCTGGTTCAGTCCGGTTTTTTGCCCCGAAAACAGGCAACCGCAGACCACAACCAGTCTAGGACCGACCCAGATATTGAGGGAACCGAACCGGACCACCTAGGACCAGTCTTTTGCAGTCCATGGACTGCGTTCAAACCGATTCAGACCGGTCTTTTTGTGTAAAATTTGTCATACCAATATAAACCATGTGTATCTCAATTATTATTACTCTAAAAAATAAACTGGTTATATATCATAGTATAACATATAAATACCCATCATTCCATCAATTCTTAAGAAATTTAATGAAGGTTTGACATAGCTATGACTGAAACCGAATTACATCTCCTAAAGACTCAGGCAAAATGTAATGTGGCAACTGTAAATTATTTGATGCATACCATATATTGACAGATGGTGAGTATATTTTCATACTTAAAATGTCAATATCCAAAAATTGAATCAAGCAAAATGATGAAAGTTTGAGTGAGTTAGAATTAAAGTCATTCTGGTACAAGTTGCACAAACAAGTATTTGTGCCAAAATGGATTTAGTTATATCTTTCTCAGTTCTTAACCGTTTTTGATGAACTAAAAACCCAATTAAAGGTAATAGACGTGGTTACAAGGCTACGTAACGCACGTGACCGTTTAACCGGTTGCAACCGATTTAAACCGGTCTTTGAACAGTTTTAAAAGATTTTTGAAATGAGGCAACCGGCAACCGGACCAACCCCAAATTTGGGCAACTGCAACCGAAAAAAAGACCAGTCCATGGTCTGGTTCAGTTCGGTCCACCGGGTTTTTTTGGTCCTATGGACTGGACCTGTAAACACTATCCACAAGCAGGGCTTGAGCTTCGGCATTGACAAGAAGAGGTGGAGTGGTCTGGGATGAGGAAGTGTGGTGTGAGGGAGAAACCTGAATGGCAGCATCAAGAGAAGGTGGTCGAGCCTCAACAAAATCCACCTGAACCATAGCATCAACCTTGTTGGCAGTGCAGGTATGCCTGTCAGGAAGTCCTACATCGCAGGAGAAACAATCTGTTTTCATGTTGAAACACCAGAAGCCATGGCCTGCTGCCTCCCATTCCTTCCTCTCATTCAGTATTCCCATTATCTGACCTTCATCTGCACCATCACAAAATGCCTGCTTCACATCCTTGTCCTTGAAAAGCTCTGTCCCCCTCTGAAATCCATCCCTCAACCCTTCCCGAAAGGCGTGTGCCCAAATGATCCCTAATGGCAAGTCCAGTGATGACGTGGCAAGAGTGATAAGCTTCGCAAGGCTCTCTTCAGATACTGGCAGTGGTGGTGAGGATGCTGCTGCTGGTTTTGATGCAGATATGGATGCTGGCACTGGCAGCATTACCACAGGTGGTGCCTGATTGACAGGCTTCTTCTTTGATGTGGTCTTCTTTTCTGGCATGGTGACATAGGGCGGAATGCAGTGATGTCAGAAGGCACAATGGATGTGGAGATGAAGACAGTAGGACAATAGGATGATAGGATGGTAATCGGATGATAGGATGGTAATAGGATGATAGGATGGTAATAGGACAATAGGATAGTAATAGGATGGTAAGACATATGGCATAGGATGGGGGACAATGCAGGACATGACAATGTTGATGAGGTGGCAGTAGAGACAGCAGGAATGAGACAAAGCACAAAAAGTAGCTGAGAGAGAGAAGCTAGCATGTTAAAGCACAAAAAACACTCTCATCACCAGGTGGAACAGGCAGAGGTGCTTCCCCAGCATATAGCTAGCTGGGTAGATGGTGGTATTGTGGTGTCTATCTACTACATGTGATGTATATATATAGTGTGCATGTGACCACACTCTGGATCCTGGAATCCCTATTCCACTGCATGGTTGCCACAAGGTGTACACCAACTTCCCTCACTATCCAGATCATGTTGTGCAACATTTGCGCATAGCTGACTGTTGCTTCTGCCAGAAGTGGAATGGGTCATTTTTCATCAAGATAACCCTCCAAACCCTTGGTCTTCACTACCAACCTGGCCATTCTGGGGCACCCTGCCCTTGTCCTCAAGCTGGCCCAAAGAACTTCATTATCTTCAATAGCTCCAGCCCTCAACATCTCGCAATTGACTACTGTCAATGCAGTGATGAACCCTTATCAAATTGGGCCCAGCTACTATGTGAACAATGGTTTCCCACCATTCTTTCATGCCTGCAATCAGTTTTCACCTTTGAATGTCTCAAAACATTCCATGAGCTCACTTTTCAAGGAAAGACAAACTTGTACAACTATTACCACACCCTTCTTCAACTGTCCAACAACGCAAACTTGTCGACATCCATTGTAAGTGTATACCTGCTTTGTCTCATTACTAGCTCTAATGTCAAGTGCCAATAGTACCAATACAATGAAATGCACTAGTGTTTGAAAGTCTGGTTCGGTCCAGTTTTTTGATGCCCAGGGGCGTTAACCATAACCGTAACCGGTCTGCCTTTTCCCCAGAAGTCAAAAGACCAGACCGGACTGCAAAAAGACTGCAGACTGCAGTTTTTTGCAGTCTATAGACTGGTTTCGGTCTGCATCGGTTTTAACCGGTTTATGACCGGTCTTTAGGCCAATATTTTAAATTTGTGAATCGGTAAATTTATTAACATCTCTATTAGCTTCAAAACGAGCCCAAGAACGTCAAATTCCGTTAGGAATTGGTGTTTCTATAAAATAAGTCTGGTACATCTATTATTCCCAAAAGTAATTTACATTTTAATTCATATCTCTCTCGTTTTTTTACCAAATCGTACGTTCTTGGGTGCGTTTTAAAGGGTATTTAAGGGGTTACAAAAGACCGGTCCAAACCGGTCAAGACCGGTTCATGTTAACCGGTTTTTTTGCAGTCTTTACATCTCAAAAATAAAAGACCGTAACCGCAGGTCCGGTCTTTTGCGGTCTTGGTCCAGTCTGGTTACGGTCTTTTTCCGGTCACGAGACCGGACTTCCAAACACTAAAATGCACCAAGTTTTCAGAATGTGGAGGAACCTAATGTCCCTCAAATGAGCAGGTTGTGGGCATGATCCTCAAGGCATTGCTGGGACCTCTCAAGGGGAGTTGATGGTCAAGTGCCCAGCTTGTCCTCATCCTGGATGCAATCTCCCTGACAACTGGGAAAAAGCAGGGCCTTTACTGTGAGTTTTATCTATTGTTCTTGTTCTGTTGTCTCGGCACTCATGCTCAAACAGATTCTTGTATGCCCTCTTCATCACTGTCAATGGAAACTTCAAACTCAAAGGCAAAGAACGGCATCTTAAAGATGTGGAGCTGATGCTGGGATGGGGGTAGTGTTTAAAAGTTTGGTTCAGTCTGGTTTTTTGCCCCAAAAATGCACAACTGTGGACTGCAACCGGTCCAGGACCAACCCAAATATTGAGAGAACCAAACTGAATTACATCTTCTAAAGACTCAGGCAAAATTTAATGTGGTAACTGTAAACTATTTGCTGCATACCATACATTGATACATGGTGAGCATATTTTCATACTTATAGTCTCAATATCCAAAATTTGAATCAAGCAAAATCATCAAAATTTGAGTGAATTAGAATTAAAGTCATTCTTCACAAACAAATATTTATTCCAAAATGGATTTGGTTATATCTTTCTCAGTTCTTAACCATTTTTGATGAAACAGAAACCCAATTAAAGGTAATAAATGTGGTTACAAGGCTATGTAACGTACATGACTGTTTAACCAGTTGCAACCGATTAAAACCTTTCAAAGAATGGTTTTAATAGATTTTTGAAATGAGGCAACTGGCAACCAGACCAACCCCAAATTTGGGCAACTGCAACTGAAAAAAAAGACTGGACCATGGTCCAGTTCAGTCCAGTCCACTGGTTTTTTGTGGTCCTATGGACTGAACCTTTAAACACTAGCTGGGACATCAACAAGTGAATGGACATCACATAGCAAAGTCTCAAATCTTCCATGTCCAAAGCCAAGGAGGCCCTGAATGAAAGGTGGGGAAGCAGACTTTCTGTCTCTCATATAAAGTAACAGACCAATAAGGTTCAAGGAACATTTCATGTCACTTGTCAAGTTCAGAATCTCTCGATATAGCACATCAAGCTCTGCAAAGGGTGACTTACTGTGTGGAGTAATCCCAAGAATGATTTTGAGCCTTGGGGGAGGGAAATGTTGAGTGTCTTCAATGAACTTTAAGACTGTTGAGGCAAAAATATAACTCCCTGAAGCCTTCTTAACAAGAGTCCCTATGTCTTTTTCTGATGGCCATCTTGTAGGGAGCCACTGATCCCTGTGAATGCATGCAAGGCTAATCTTAAGAAAGGTTGACACATCCTCATGATTGTTATAGTAATCAGAAAGTGGGATATGTCAAGATACTTCATGGAGAGTGTAGTGGTTGAAGAAATCTTGGATATAGGGATCCAGTCAGCTGACAACTGGGAAGTGGAAGGGGATAATATGGCTGCAGAAGGTTGCTTTGTAGTTGGCATCTAGAATGCCACATTGCTTGGCATAGCTGTTGCACTCGTCCAATGCATCAACAATGATGAGCGTTCAAGGATCAGAATCCTTCAAAACTTGCAGAAGCAGGTCAATGACAAGTTTTGCAAACTGTACAGTCGCAGACAAACAAAAACAACAATTTTGGTGATTGTGAGATGGGGACTCTGCACAACCCTCAATATTACTTTTTATTGCAGAAACATGAAGATTAGGACCCAATGCTTTGATTTACACAAGCTGATTTTTCGAAATCAATGAAATGGGAAATTTTAGCCCAAAAATATTGGCCAGACCCTGAATGAACCCTTAAAATTATTTAAAAAATAGCACAATCGACTCCTTTTTCAATTCTGTATCTGATCCTGAAGTTTGGGAAAAATCTGACAAGCTGTTCTTGTGGAAAAAATTAAATCACCAAAAATGGCAACTCAGGGTCTTCCCACCCCCACAGACCCTCAATGAACCCTGGCCTGTTGATCCCCTTCCCCTCCCCATCTTCAACACATGCATATTATTAACTTCTGATCAGAATTACAATGTTTAGCAAGTGCCATTCAATTTTTAAATGACCACTGGCATTGGGAACCTGCCAGGCAGGGTCCCAAGACCTGTTGAAGACCTCTACAAAACAACAAAAATTCAATCCCTTGTGGGAAAAACTCTGGAGGGGTGTTTTTGGATGTAGTTTCACATCCTGAGTTTGAATCTGAAGTCAGATTGTCAAAATATTCATTTCTTCCCAAGCTACTGAAATTGTTGTCTTTGTTTGTCCGTGACTGTCACCTTAAACAAAGGATGATCGGGCAGTTAAGCGAAGTCTTTGACAGATTCTAGGACAAATTAATCATTTTTGCACCTGTTATGTGATTAAAACAGACCTATGGGAATTTTTTTATTTTGATAGTGTGTTTGCCTATTGTGTGAAGGCGACGTCCAAATGTAAAAAAATTGTTGTTACTATTTTAAAAATGTGTTGTAAGGTACATCCAGAGGACAAAAGGCTGTTAAGAATTAAAATTTGTCAATGGAATGGATTTCAGGAACAATTCAGTTTGTCTCTTCGGCATGAGGCAAAACTTTAATTTTTAACAAAAGCTTCGCCTAGGGAACAGAGTTGTGGACAAATTTAAACAATAAGCCTATTAATTGTTTTTATTGTGTCAACCCCCTTGAACAATTGGCAAATATACTGTCAAAATAAAAATTGTCGCATTTATCTGACCTAATTACATACAAGGTGCAAAAATGATAAATTTGTCAGGGAATCTGTCCAACGCTTCGCTTCACTGCCCGATTGTCCCTTGTTTGAGGTGTGTACGTTGACGGCACGCGAGAAGATCGACGGATCATCTTTGACAATTTTCTCGATAATTGGCCTGGTTTCTGGGATGTTTACCATGAGTTGGTATGAAATGGAGGCCACAAAATGTTCATCAGAATTTCGATCAGAAGTTCTCCGAGAGAAGAAAAAACTCGAGGCTAATTAATCTTGCACCCCTATAACGGCATTCCTGCACGATAGTCTGAGCAATTACAGACTTCCCAGATCCTGCAGGACCAGAGAGCCAAAGAATCGGTGCAGACACATCATTAGTTTTTTTTTTTTTTTTTTTTTGTGTCAAATTATAGTCTATTGGGGCAGAGCCCCATGTCAGACTTTACAACTTGTAGACTACCTAAGGCCCCTAATGCCATATTCCTGACCCCTGTGACTGTCCCCTGCACTGGTGAAGGCACGCCCGTGGCGACCAATCCCCCACACAGCCCGGCACGAAAACGCCGTTTGGGAACCCATCTCTATGGTAAGCGGGGTAGTCTCGTCTCTCCGCTTATCAATGCAGTCTGTCCGTAGCACGTTTCTTCTTCCAAGTACCCGATCGCAATGCAATAGGTACAGCTTAACGGGACGAGCGCGTTCAGGAAATGAAATTGTTTTGAGTCGTGTTGCTGTTTGCTTAAGTGTCCATGTAGCGTGTTTTCCTAGCGAAATATGGTTCAGTGTGCTTGATGTCCGCAAGCTGAGATGCGGGTATAGAAAAGGTGGAGTTTTTTGAGGGCGAACCCGTCGACTGGGCATTGACTGTGCATCTGATGTCCTTGCTCCTCGACTGAGCTCGCCTGTAAATGAAGTGCTATCTGTCAGGCTTCCTCGGATTCCAGATTGGACACGTCACCTATTGTGTCGCCTAACGACGCCTTGAGTCTCTCAGTCCTCCCCACATACTTGAGGAACTCCTTAATCCTCGACATGCTCCCCAAAATTCCCTTGAGGTCCCTTGGGTGTCGGCCTTGCGCTCTGTCCATATCGAAGCGCTCTGCTGCATACGCCTGGCATTCAAACAGAAAGTGTATCACCGTCTCCGTGATCTCACCCCTCCCTGCACTCCAGCGCGAATCACATCATCTATTCCGAGCCATCTTGATGCGGTGCAAGTAGCTGTTGAGCGGTATGTGTCCCGTGCGTATCTGTGTTAGTAGGCTCGCCTGCGGTCTTGACAACTCGTTGCTGATCTTCCGAAACTTGTTGAATGGGAAATCCGTGTCGACGTGTTGGAACCTTGCGTAAACATCATTAGTTATCCATGACTTTAAATCGCTCAAGACTGCCTGTTGAGTACCGGAGGCGCATTGCGGAGGGGGCGGATCGCGATGTGCGCTTGCGGCGATGGCTTTGGTAAGAATCCTATACCGTATACTGGGCGTGTTTGAAGGTTCAAGCGCTAGTGGGCCACTGCCTGATTGGCCTCTACGCAAGATACCAGCATTACCGTCCGTGTTGTAGTCACGAGATTCCATGTCCAGGGGGTTCAATAGGACGGCTCCCTCTCCTTGATCATGAGAAGTTTGCGTTGGGGACGTGGCTAAAGAAAAGCTTGGTCCAACGGCAACTAGGGTTGGGGGGGTAGGAACCTCCGATCCCAACAAAAACAGTTGAGGGGCAGCGCGTTCTTCAAGTGCGAGTCTGTGAACAAAACCCTCATCGTCTGAACCGATACCCTCCTCACTAAACACCGTATTTGGAGGCCCTTCGGATTGCTTGCCCCATGCTAGCAAAATAATGGTCAGAGATTCCAACATCAAGCGAGATAAGAAAGCTCCTACCAGTACTGCTGCCAGAGAATATTTCGTCCTCGTTACGTGTATTCCCAGTGCCGTCAGACAAAATCCCTCCAGCGTAAACAGGACGCTCTGGAGTAAAAATTGAACAAGACTGTAGGTGTGGCTTTGTTTCAGAAGCATGATTTTGGGAGATGTAGACCGTTCCTGTGTAGTAATATATCAGTCAATCTTTCAGAACTCCAGAAAACATACCGTCGTCGTCGATATGGGACGAGAAGATTTTTCGCATCCGACCAAGGAGTTCGGGGGCGTCTGGCATTGTGGTTTCGTCCTGTGTAGGCCTTGAACAGCAAATTATCCACTTTAGCCGAATATCCCACCTCTCTGATGACAGAACACCAGTCATTATCGTGACTAATGGCCACCTTCGCGTTTGGATACTGGTTTGATGTTAGTGAGCAAAACGCAAAACATTCTTCCACACTCACCTGACTCAGAAGCATCTGATTGATAACCATTGCCGGATAGTTCTGGAACGTTTTGATAAGGGTTAAAAACGGCCTATAGACAAGGACTCGAAGGGGCGCCAACCGTTGACGTGTCAGAATCACTCCCGAAGCTGTCGTTTCTTATGTTGACCCTTCTTTCATGATCTTTCATAGATTGAGGCTTCCGGTCTCCAAAGTCATTCAAAAGTAACTTACTGAAACCCAAGTTGTTGTTGTTGTCTGATAAATCTTGAGTAAGATTCGATGGCATGGTCTTCCAAACATCCTCGGCAAGTGTAAGGGTAAACGAGCGGAGGAAGGTGCATTGGTTGTGAACACTTTGCGGGTATTCTCGATTGCCTGTTGAATCCAATGACTCCTCGAATTTGGGCCCGGCCTTGGCTTGGACACGTCCCTCATAATCCCATGTATACTCCACGGCTGGCTGCGTGCTGTTGGCAGTTAGTGAGATTGCGACAGGTCCTTGAAGATCGGAATAAGTAGCGATCCCCCATGAGTTGGTCTTATCGCAACCCGTAACAAGTCGGAGTTGCCCGTTTTTGATATTCCTACCACAAGTTTCAATGGCGAACCTATACCATTCCTCAGCATTCTGTGAGGCGACCGCCTTGAAGTCCTGAAAGTTAAGCAAATCCTCGTGGTAAGCCCCATTGGGCATTATCAAAATCGACCCTTCAGGTCCGTTACATTTGTAAGTCAAGCCTCTAAAAAGCACCGTCAGGCCAAATGTTGCAAACGGCCACGATTCATTCAAACTCGCCTTGACTTTTCGATGGAAGGGGTTAAGAGGCAGCTTCCCGAGTCGTGTTCACGCAACTCGCAGATGTCGGTAGGCAAGAGGTTGACTGGTGAAAAGCCAACTGGTAAGACTTCCGGATTACTGGGGTGACCGCGCGGCAGGCAGATATTGAAGAGAAAATCAAAGCTGCCTTGCGGCGTAATAACTCCAATGTCGCCAACACTAATGCCCTTCTGTCGATAAGAGAGAGGGAGTCGACGATGTGGCTGAGGTGACCAAAGCGGGGAGCCATGCCTTTCGACCAGTAGATGGCGCTGGTATCGAGCTATTGGAGATTCCCTCTCTTCAGTCGAAGCTTGGACTCCGTTATTGACATACTATGATAAACCAGGCTCAATGCGACTGTAGTTCTCGTCAACAAAAATCAGGCTTACACAAGTCCGTTGTATGCTACCTCGAGAGAAGGGATCTCTTGATGAGATGGAACTGCCATTCGGTGATAATAATGTACACCCACCTGAGACTACTAATCAATGATCCAAGATACGAGAGCAGGGGCCTCCAAACTGATTCGTTGTCGAGGCCTGGTTGCATTCTGCGAGTAAGGATTCGCTCAGTACCAGTGGTGTTGAGCGTGTCGTTGTAGGGGGGCCTAACATGAAGCCCCATACCTGAACCTGGATAATGTTTGGTGAGTTGGGTGCGCGATCTGATGCTGCGTGCACCCACCTGGATTTGATGGATAGGCTGGCTGAGGACCCCATCCCAAATCGGCAGACGGTGCCAACCGGTTTGAGCTGCCAGTTGATGGGTCAAAATATTGCAAGGGCCTCCAGAGCGCCGATTCGTAGCTTGGGTTCGTTTGCGTTCCCGTGACTGTGCAGGAAGTTCAAAGTTGGTCAGTGCATAGCGTCGAGTATAATCATAGCAGTTCGGGTCTGAGATGGGAACCTACAAATGTTGACGACAGAGCTGTTCCGATTATGATCTCTTGCAGAGCTGCTGAACCCTCCCCCGGATATCGTTGTCGATCGGGATCCATGAAAAAGATGAGAAGATGAGCTGGCGGAGCGTTAGAGCAAGTCAAATCAAGTCGCGCTGATGCTCACTGAGTGATATTCTCCATAACTCGGTGTCGATGATTCAAAGGTCAGTCAGTCTCCCGTGGGCAAACTATCGAATTGGTGTCTTTTTGAGTGGATGAGGATGGCACTGCCTCGACGTTGATAGGCGCGGTGATGTTAACTGCTGTTACATAGCACTCTAACCGAGTTTGGAAGGGCTGAAGTTGAGATGTCCCAGGGCCTGCTCAGCAATGACATTCATTGCATTCCTAATCATCGACCTGAGAGCCAGCATCTATTGTTACAGTTCAATCAAGAAATGGATATGCATCACATGTCGTAATACAGAGTAAAGACCTTTCCGCCACCAAAGGTTAAGATCGTTATAGTCCACGACCCTGGTCAAGGCTGACGCGGGCGTCTTGTACTCTCCTCAAGTTGAGGTCACTCGTTGTTGAGAAGATGCAGAAGGTGGACGTCATTGGAGAAAACCAATTCAGAACATCCCCTCGCGGAAGGATGGTCGCCATGAAAGTTCTTGATTTGAGGACGGGGTCGAGCAGTCTTGTTCAGTGTTCACAGCTCCGATGAGCGTCGACGTCGTTAATCCGCCCAGGGTTCGGATATCTTTCAGAGGTAAAAGAAGATTTCTGCATGCTGAATTGATCCGGTAAAGGCAAGTAAGGCTCTGCACGCCTTTAAGAATATATAGAAACGTGTCACATAAAAACAGAACTCACCAAGCGAAAAGCGTGTAACATCGTGCACAGCCAACGATGTTCAACAGCAAACCCTCGGATAAGGAGTCAAGCAAGACGACCCCATCTCCTCGAGCGCGAAAAGTCTGCGTTAATCTGGTACTTGGTCAGACGGCGGCTGTGGACGCGGTGATCGAAACCACCTATCTCGGGCTCAGGCAGAAAGGTTGAGCGGGAGTATGCTCTTCAAGTGCGAAGTTGCGGAAATCGCCATCTACATTGGTGCCCTCACGAAACGTCGTGTTTCTAGTGAGCCCTCTCGTCGTTTGCCTTGAGCTAGCGAGTGAAGGTCGAGATTTGCAGAGAGCTTCCCATCATGCGTGCCACGACCATAATGTAACAAAGGTGCCTTGAGCGCACTCGTAATACGCTGGAATGGAGTTGAGGCCATCAGATATCGAGTTCAACGGTATGCCGTCCGACACTCACCTGGACCTGAATATCCTGACAATGTTAAGAGACTCGATCGATGGCCGTCGGAAAAGCACTTAGGTTGATGAGCCAATAGATGACAAGAGCCTCCTAATTGATTCGTTGCCCAGAAAGTTAGAATTGCCACTCGGAATGGTCCAGCTCAAGTCATACCGCGACATATATCGAGGAAAAGCCCATCGTGATTCAAGGAAGAACTGCCGCCGATCCCTCCATCAGGTGTCATTGTCGATCGGGAACCGTGAAAAAGAGACGGGCACAAGCTGGTGGCAGCATTAGAGCTGAAACCAAGCTGAAACGCAGAGTTGAGACTCATCGAGTACTTTTGACTCACCATTTAGGGTTCTCGTAGTTATTCCAATGATAAACCACCCCCACCAACCACAAGCTCAATGACCTCGACGTTAGTGGGCAAACTTGAAGCGCTGAGTACCATTTCTGAACATGAGGGGTTGGAGGATGTCAAGGATTTATTCCCGCGCTCGAGTCAGCAATACGCAAGCTTCCCTTGGGAGGAATGCTTTTTCAATGCTTGTCTACTAAGTATACAGCGCAGACACATATCTAAGCATCGAAATATGCTACCAATCTTACTACAACTACACTAAATACTTTGCTCTAACGCAGGGAGGCTCTGTCCGAATTCGACGTGAAAGTGAGATAAAGAAAGGATGGACGCGAGCGTGTGTCGTCTAATGGGGGAGTGGAGAGAATATATACCAAAGGATGGAGTGGTGGTTTGAGCAGAAGAAACGAAACCGAATGAGGTGTGTGTGTGAGGAATGGGATGGGATGGTATCGAATGCAGATGTGTATTGTGTTGAGAAGAAACCTAATGCAACCAGTCCAAAGTCCGTGAAATGGGTTGATGCCCTCCAGAAGGCATATAGATAATTAGAGAGAACATAAGAGGAGAGGTTTAATGAGGGCTGTGCTTTCTTGGTGAAAATGTTACAACGTTTTCTTGACTACGGTCGCCGTCGTCCGACCCCGCCATCGCCAAGATCGTCGTCACCTTCGTCAAGGTCCGCAATGGACCCCCAATCGTCGTCTTCCTCCTCTTTATCGAACCCACTTCCAATAGTCGAAGAATCCTCATCAAAGCAAGACGGGCCATATATATCCTCCACGCCTTGCTCATCAGCAGGATCCACAGCAGGAACAGCCAAGGTCGACGCAACAGCCTCAGAAAAGTCTCCAGCCGTGCTCGACGAGGCCCTTGGCACAAAGGGCCGCCCTTGCAGAATTCCTCCAGCCTCAACGTCCATCTCCATGTAAAGGGAGTACAAAACACATTTGGTGAAGCTTAGGACCTGATCCAGCATTGGTTGTGAATGGTCTCTGGGCGCCATATAGTCGTACCGCCATTCTCGCTTGCACAGCACTTCCACAAAGAGCAGCATTTTCACTCAGAAAAGCAAGCAAACCACCTGGAATTTGTCTATGAAACTACAATGATCCGTTACCATTCATCCCACTTACCTCATTTCAACAACAAGCTACAGAGATATCCGCCTTCCCCACGCTTTTCGCTGGAAGTCGAGAATTATAGGTACAAAATCAAAGAGGCCAAAGTCCGGCCAGAAAGTTGAAGAGATCTGGATTTGAGTATCTTCACAACACTAACGACACTATCGTCAGGTATTCTAATCAATTGAGGAAAAAGTCGAGCGTACCTGCCACAATAAGAAATCACTCAGCCGTTTGACCCCGCTCGTTCGGACGAGGATGTCGAGTGGGGGACTGCAGCCTAATGATGTCATTAGTTGAGCGTCGATGTCCTTTTCGGTGATTTGCCTGAGTGAGTTAACTACGCGATGAGAAGGGAGAAACAGTAGGGGTGAAAGAGAAATGAACGCACGGGTTTGAGGGGTCAGCGTTTCGGACACATGATTCAACGGCGGTTGTTATTTCGTCGCGCGATGTATACGGCATGCAGAGATTGAGGATAGCGCTATTTATTGCGGTTCAGAGTTGGTGGAGCGGAGCGGGGGTGAGACACACCGTGTATTGTGTCGAGTCATAGATTCCGCCTTTTGAACTGCGAGTTGGACTTTCTCTGGCAGGAGACTCGTTCTACCCAAAACATTGAGTCTGACACCGTATTCATCAAGAATGTCCCTGTTAGGTGGCCGGGAGACTGTGAGGCGCCGAAATGAAGGAAGGCAGGATGAGGAACGCACCCATGTTCACAAAGCTCCAGCAGCTTTTCTTCCGCTAGCTTCATCAACGCCTCCACTTCATCTTCGGAGCGTTTGAAGTTCTCAATTGAAAACGCGTACGCGCTGACACACTGGACATTCAAACGCAGACAAACCTCCAACATCTGTTCTCTTCTCGTTAGTCATGATTCCTCCGTAATAAAAAAAAACTCACCCGCCGTAAAGCAACATATCCGTCCACATGCCCCTCTTGTACCTGCTTCTGCTGCCTTCTAGCGTATCTGCGGTTTCCATCCATAACGAAAGCGACATGTCTGGGCACCGGGCCCGCTGCGAGGACTCTGAGGAAGAGTCGCTCAGCTTGGTTGACAATTGAATCGCGCAGCCAGGCGAGGCCACGTAGGATGGCGGTCATCAAGCGGTCATGGAGATATTGTCGTGAGAAGTTTTTGCTTCATTCGGCAAGGGCACCGGCTACCATGATCCGATCCCCGGTCCGGTCCTGCAATTGCCAGACCTTTATTTGCAATGCCATCATCAACACTACTCCCCTTGTCACCTCAAATTTTTTGTTCAATGCCTTTTCAATGCTTGTCTACTAAGTATACAGCGCAGACACATATCTAAGTAGCGAAATATGCTACCAATCTTACTACAACTACACTAAATACTCTGCTCTAACGCAAGGAGGCTCTGTCCGAATTCGGCGTGAAAATCAGATAAAGAAGGGTGGACGCGAGCGTGTGTCGTCTAATGGGGGAGTGGAGAGAATATATACCAAAGGATGGAGTGGTGGTTTGAGTGAGGAACGAATATGAAATGAGGGTGTGTGTGAGGAATGGATGAGATGGTATCGAATGCAGATGTGTATTGTGTTGAGAAGAAACCTAATGCAACAAGTCCAAAGTCCGTGAAATGGGTTGATGATGCCCTCCAGAAGGCAGATAGATAATCAGAGAGAAAATAGAGAGGAGAGGGTTTAATCTTGGTCGTCGAAGTTAGGGCTGCGCTTCCTTGGTGAAAATGTCACAACGTTGTCTTGACTATCGTCGTCGTCCCCAAGATCGTCGTCATCTTCATCACCTTCATCAAGGTCGCTCCCAGTCCGCCATCGACCCCGATCATCATCTTCCTCGTCATTATCGAACCCACTTCCAATAGTCGAAGAATCCTCATCAAAGCAAGGCGGGCCATATATATCCTCCACACCTTGCTCATCAGCAGGATCCACAGGAGGAACAGCCGAAGTCGACGGGGCAGCTTCAAAAAAGTCTCCAGCTGTCCTCGACGAAGCCCTTGGCACAAAGGGCCGCTCTTGCAAAATCCCTCCAGCCCCAACATTCATCTCTTGCTCGTTCAAATCCTGATCAACAGAAGTAACGCTGACAACCTCTGCAAACTCGACAGAATGGTCGCCCTGACCCCAGCTGGAAGCGCGCCTTGCAGCCGTGAGCCTTCCCCCATCTTCATCGTCGTCAATAGGCTGCTCTGTCCGATAATACCGCAAGGCCTCCTCACTCCTCCTCGTGACGTGATCAGCCTGCGTACGCGCGCCCGTCGTCCGCGATATCGTCGTTATAGGAGTCGGAAGCCGCAAGTTGCTCGACGAAGGATCAGCCATGCCCACCCGAGAAGGTCCATGTGGGCTCGAAGAATACTTGTTCGGCCGCCAATGCGAAATGGAGGTGAGAAAGCCAGCGAAACGAGCTCGCGGGCGTTCAGCGGTCGTTGGGCTTGATTGGGAGGATTCACCTTCAATCTTGTTGGTCTGAACGAGGATGGTCTCAGATCCACGACGAGCTTTGGGAGCAGAACCTTGTATCCCAAGAGGGCTAGGCGCCCCTCGGGAAGGTCCAGACGGCCATCGTTCAATTGATCTTGACCGTAAGCTTTTTGACCCAGACTTGGACGCAGCGTGTCTTGAAGGGCGAGGGTCAACCCTTTTCTTGCCCTTGTCGATCTTCGCCCCGACTTTGTCGCTGATGGCAGGTGAAGAGGCAACATGATACACGGTGGGCGTCGATGACGTGAATGATTTATCGCCAATATTTCGGGCAATCTTGAGATGGGGATCGGAACGAACGGGTCCACGATCAGAGTGCTCGAATTTGGATGAAGGCTGGCGGACACGTTGCCCTTTTGGCATGCGGAAGAGCGAGGAGATGCGGCGAGTGATTTGAGCGCCCCACCTCCATCTAAAGTGAACAGTAGACATAGCGTCGGACGTTTCGTCACTGGACACGTGGATTCGTCCTGCAGGAGAGGTCACCTGCAACCATCGTTGAGGTTCGGGTAGGTCGTTGAGAATCCAAGAGTTACTCTGTGCATCACCGATTATGAGCTAATACGCAGAAAATAATTTATCGGGCTGTATGGGTGAGCGGGGATTTGAGTACACACCTTGGCAGCTTCGAGGTTGATGCGGCTTTTCTGATCCTTTTGGAGTAAGCGATTGAGAAGGTGGATAGCTCCAGCTCCCTCTGTACCCGGCTGCGGATGGCGCCCCCCTGTCGGTACCTGGTCAGCACCCATGGTGTCATCCACCATCCAATCATCATTGCAGATGGAGTTATAGAGGCTCCACTCAGAACTGTGCGACTTGGGGTTGGCCACAAATGGTGTTCTCCCGAAGAGGAGGCAGTACAGCGTGACCCCAAGAGCCCAAATATCGATAGCCTTCGTTATTGGAGGACGGTTAGGAGTCGAAGATGCTGGCGATTGAGGTGTTTGAATCGTCGAGGAAGTCGCCCCCGAAGAAAACTGGGAAGTTGAAGCGCCAGGAGAATCATACTCGTTGGTATGTTCGAATACGATCTCCGGAGCCAAAAAAGCTGGCGTGCCAGCTCTTCTCGTCAGATCGGAATCGTCGAGAAGAATCGGGTCATGAGGATCACCCTGCGCGCCTTCCGCGCCCGCAGCAGCCAGCCGTTGGGCGTAGGAAAAGTGAGACACGCCAAAGTCGCCAATCTTGACCATGCGACGATCGTCTGTCCACAATAAGTTTGCGGGCTTGATGTCCCGATGTATGATTCCTTGGTAATGTACTGTGGCCTCGTGAAAAGAAGAAATAACATGATTGGGGCGACCACTTACGATATTCGAGGCCAAGGACAGCATCACGGATAATTCGACGTGTTTGAACAACCGTCAAGACAGGTTGGTCGTCCGAATTCCTCCATTTTACCTCTCCACCACCAAGGTACTCCATAACTAGAAAAAGTTAACCGCAGTCGTTAATACCCCTGAGTATCATGGCGCCGAGGCCTAGATTAAGTCGAGGACCCACCCATGTAGATTTTATCCTTCATTCGATCATCTATAACCTCATACAACCGAACAACATGAGGGTGCCTTAACTTCTTCATAATAGCGATCTCCTTCCGAATTTTTGCTTCTGTCGTGTTGAGCTTGTCCGCCATGGAGGTGTGGTTGGTGGTAGGAAGCCGTTGCTGGCGCAGTTTCTTCATCTGCTCCGCTCGAGGGTTATCGCGCTTGACGGATTTCATGGCCTTTTCAATAGCGTCGGTTAAACTCGTATGACGCGTCGATGGACGAAAGTGAGACTCACGACAGGCAGACGACGCTCTGGGTCGTCTTGGGCGAGACGCGGGTTGACTTTATAGCAAAGATAGACCTCGCCATGTTGGCCACCCCCAACTTTCGCGTGGCGTATGTAGTTGTTGAGCATGGGCCGCCCCATATCCATGATAGCCTTGAGGCGATTGGTGGTGACGACCTCGCCTGGGTCGAACAGCAGGGAGGTCGAGCTCGTCGATTCTGGGGATTTTTCAGGCATTATAGAAGTAGAATCATGGGAGAGAAGAGAGCGTAGGGGTAGGCTGTGGATAGTCCAGAGCAAGTTATAAAGCCTGTAAGGGTTTGAATTCAGGATCTAGTCAAACAATTCAAAGTCTTTTGAAGATCATGAGGCACATTCCATATTCAGTAACTACGGACCCCGGAAACTCTTCCATCAATGATTCATTTTACTATCAACGCGCGCAAGTACATCTGTCTTCTTCCTTCACATTCCCCATAACCTAAAAAAACAAGTCAGATCTCGGTTCTCACAGTTCCTACCAGCACCCTGTCACCAACAGCACACGCAAGTCAGGAAATATTTTCCCATGACATATCTTGGTGGCGGTTCTGATGAAGGGTGCCGATCTCGATCCTTCACCCGTACAGAGAGGTAGGGAAAGGTGCTTACAGCTTCGACATGCAAACCGCAACCCTGTAAAAAATGGGGGGACAATGGTTGTCAGTAATCTTATTGACAGCTAGCGCTGGAGCACCCAAATTAAATGAACTCGGGGAGGCTCCTTCCGATTGTGGCTAGAGAGAAGGGATGTGGAAATCTTTAAGGAAACCACATACCGCCCAAGTCGTCTTCCCACACTTTTCGCACTTCACTGCGCGACAGCCATCCGCCGGAGTAGATTCAACAACAATGGTCATCTCGAGTAGTTGGTTCTATGAAAGATTGATCAATCGGCGGTAAATTGATCGATGCACAATGAGAACGGCGTATTAGGTAGGACGTACATTAGAACTGGGGTGCCAAGCAAGAACAATGACGTTCAGCGTTTTTACCGTAGTCTAGAATCAGGGAGGAGCAACCCACAGTCTTGAGATGAAACGGGTGAGGTGGTGGAGAAGTCAAGCGATAGATATGTCACATCCTGTCACTCTCCGGAAACTTATCGGCCCCAGCGCCCAGGAAACACTTTATTGCTCTACGTCGACTTGTAAAAATAACAAGACATCGTCGCAGCCGAGTGAATAGGCAGCTCGGTACCCTGCCTTAAAGGAATTAAGATCCCACTTAAAAACCTTAGATTGACCAAACATCGGATTTGTGAAACAGAAATGAATCATCCACCCGTCAACTCTATTGATGAAACGTTCATTCCATCTATCCAGGTTCTCGTCACCCTCGGATTCTTTAATCTCCACAGAAAGCGTGTCAACATCTCTTACTATGGGTAGGCAATTTAAATAGGCCCTCACATATTTGTTTCAGTCGACTACGACGACACACTCAACGCCGCCGCCGCGCGCGAATCTATAATAGCGAGACGTATCCTCTGAACTGCCTCATTCACGTCCTCCTCACCTGCCAAGCTGAACGACGCCCGAACATAGGCAGTTTTTCTACCGTTCGGCAAGAAGACAGTGCCGGGAAGCGCGAGGACGCCTCGCTCAAACGCTCGGGTTTTGATGGCAGCCTCAGAATCCCCCGTTTCATCGGGGTCCGGTTTGTCATTTAATAACAACTTGAACCTGAAATATCAGAACGGGCAGGTGTTAATAAATTAAGAGGGAAAGCGGGATACCGTAACAAAAAAAAATTCAGCACGCACCAGAAAAACATGCCAGCTTCTGGTGTATTCCATTCCGCTAGACCAGAAAGATGTTTTTTCATGGCAGCCTCGAAAACATCGCGTTTCTCGCGATAGAAGTTTGCGACGTTTTCTGTATGTTTAATGAACCCATCGTAACCCCAAGAATCGAGCAGCGTAAATGTGATAGCTTGTGTGAGAGATGAAACTTGCAGGTTCGCTGTCGCTGTCTATCTCGAACATTTTAGCCGCCAGAAAAAAAAAACACGGGAATGCACGGGTAGCGTGTAAGACATACATGACGGTCCATAGCGTCCAGGAGGGCCTCAGGCCCTGACGCAAAGCCAATCCGAATACCAGCCGACAGGATCTTGGAAAGACTATCAAACCGAAGGACCCGGCCCACCTCTGGCTCTTGCCTCTCAAGAGCAAAGTACGATGGGTATCTTGGCGCGTCTCCATAGTACAAATAGAAATAGGGATCGTCTGTCTTTCGAGATCAGATTCTCGATCAATTGAATGGGAAAGAAAAAAGCACATGCCTTCCAGAATGATGAAATCATGTTCTCGAGCTAGGCGAAGGACTTCTTTCCGGCGCTTCAGAGTCGCAGTCATGCCGGTCGGATTGCAGCCGTACTACCGATGTGAATAAATTAGTGGTTGAGCGCTGGTGTTGCGTCGTGGAGTGGTGCGAAAATAGCTTACGGGAACGGTGTATAGGACCTTGGGCTTGGGTTTCCCAACAGGCCAATTTTCTAGGATGGACCTGAGGGAGTCTGAACTTATTCCTTCAGCATCAGTTTCGACCTCTGCAAGGTATCTCAGCAACGGAAGGAACAGGAGAGAGAAGACGACCAACCTATCTGATCACAGTGAAGACTTTGGAATAGGGGAATAACGCCACTGAACGAGGATGGTTGTATCAGTAACAGCACGCGGTGGAGAAGAAGGGAGACATTCACGCGTAGACCGGAGATTCCACGAGGACTGAGTCCCCTCGATTGACTATAGCCGTTATAGCCTTGCAAAACATAGTTTTAGACTTTCATCTTGACCCCAAAAACACATAATGAGATCATAGGTACCTTATAGAGTAGATCCTGTGAGCCAGATCCGACCGAAATACGCCATCCTTCGTCCTCTTTCCTTCCATGGTTGAGAGTCTGAAGTCCGACGAACCAGTCGCGCAGTTTCTTCAGACCCGCAGTATCACCATATTGTAATCCTTGCTGTAGATCAGCCTCGTCCAAATTTAACGAGAGTTCCTTGTTTGGGTCAGTGGGCGAGCGCGCCGTAAATTTCATCGATGTAAATGGGAAGGTCGCGGCGTTAGGCTTGCCGGCAAGCAATGAGATAAGCCCTGGGGTTTTTTCCAAAGGGAACAAGCTCCTAACTGGATTAATTATCGGGTCAGTAAGTTTTTTTTTCCGTAAAAGATCAAGGGAACGCACTTGGGCTAGGTTTACGCTCCTTCGCCGCGTCGGACAAGAATTTGGTATAGTAGCTTGGGGATACACGCTTCACCTGCAGCTGTGTTGTCACCTTCGCATCACCATCGACATCAGCGACGTCGGGAAGAACACTGGAATGAGGTATGATTCTATCGCCGATCCCATTGATCTGTGAGGAGGCATGTGAGCATCAGGGTTTGAGTGCTTCTCGATCATACACGCACGTCTTTGCCATTCGCGGGTATCTGGGGCTGGTTGGCTGGGGTCTCGCTGACTTGGGACATCGCAGCTGGAGATGTGAGGGAGGGGTCGGGAATAAAGAGCTGCTCGGCTATTTCGAAAATTGCCGATCAGAACACGGGTGAACATTTTGAAGCGCGAGTTGCTTTGACTCATTACAGCTCATGGCTCTCGTTCCTGACTACTTATCATTCTCGTGAGACTCGAATCTGGCTTGTGGAATCATGAATGGACTTGAAGTGGACTTGGTGCGTTGCCGCCTATCATTGACAATTAGCATGAAGCCAGCGGTTGATCGAACTTCACCGATCATTTATGCGTACAGTTATCTCAGGCATTGTCTGTCAGATCAGAATTGCTCAGGCCTTCTTGAACCGCCGTTACTGCTTGGAGAATGCTTTGCCGACCTCCATTTGGGTCCGTCAAAACTTCGCAAAAAAATTCGAACTTTGAAGCTGTACTCACTTGATTCCTTGGTTCCTCCGACGACAAAGACGTAAAATTGAGCGCACACGAGCTCAAGCCTCAAAGCCATTCCGAGTCGGTCGATGGTCCTTCAGGAAGGTGGCACCCTTATGTACCATTTGTCCGAAGTCGGGTTATTCTGGGAAAGTAGCTCACACAGCCAGATGCGCGGTCGGCAAGAAGTAGAAGAAAGGTGAACGGCGGAGATAATGGTATATTCGTATAGTATGTGGACATGACATACGTACATTCCCTTTCACTAACACCATACCCCTAATTATGTCCTCGGTTCACATTCTCTGTATAAGTACAAAGTACTTTCCACACACGGCTCAAGAAGCGATAACAAGTGAATAAAAAGCGGAAATTTCCTTCAGAGCGATTGACGGTGGCGTCAAAAGATCCTGAATGGCTTTCAAGTCGGCCATCAGAATACGAGCAGCTCACGGACCCCATCAATTCAGGGCGCTGTGAAATTGCCCATATATATGGACTGAACAAGGATAAATGAAGCTTGTTGAAAACCTGAAGGTCCAGGTCGTCAGAAAAAGTCGGAGCCAGACGTGGAAGAAATTCCGAATCTGGTGTATCATTATTCTTTTGAAGCTGTTGTACTTGAAGGGTTAGACCAAACAGCGACAAGCACAACCAGATAGTTGCGCGAATTGTGCGCGAATTTCAATTCGAGGCAACGCTTTGAGTGTGATTTTTCTAACTATGATTTCTGAATATCTTGGTTGGATTCTCTATCGTTTGAACAACTTTTCAACTCAATCAATATCGATATCAACTGATACAGAAGACTGATGAAGTAGCCAGCAGTCGGAGTCACATGCCAGCTAATACCTGTTGCCGGATCTTTTGAATATATCTTCTTTCTTTCTAGACTGCGACAATCTCTTTACCTCATTTTGCGATGGCTGCCAAGCAGGGAATTCCGATTTACACGAATCTCAGTGATCTGTTTGGAAGCCTGGGTGTATCGCTCAAGCATGTTAAACGGTGGAACGATCTCGCAATAGAGTTTGGGAAGAGGTTCGGAAAAAAACCTACGTATATCTCGAGAGCTCCGGGACGAGTGAAGCAAGCCTATATTCCTTTCACAAATGCTTGGGAACATTGCTGACCGTTAAACAGCCTGATAGGTCTGAAATTCTCTGTTGAGAATGATGTCATCTCCTGTTCACGCCGATCCCACAGGTGAACACATCGACTACGCCTTATTCGGTGTCTTGCCTACTGCTATCGAGCGCGATATTTTGATCGCTTGCGCGCCCAGGGATGCAGCATCATTGGATCACTCTCCAGGAAGCGTCATCGCAGACAATATGCACACGAAATACACGCGTCAAACATTCGCGCCCAGCCAAGTGTCCGATGCAAACGATTCCCATGCGGAGGCATGGCGTTTAGATATCGACACGAAGGAGTTGAGGTGGGAAAGTTATGTGAAAGCTGGCTACTATGTGCGCTCCAGCTTTCCCTTTCCTCCGCCGATGCTTCTAATTCTAACAAGGGTGTCCTCAACCATCATTTCGCACCTGCGAATCCCTGTGATAACGATGAGGTCCAGAAACCCGTGGCGGTAGACCTCCTTGTCACCGGGTCTGTTCCTGCTGGATCTGGCTTATCATCAAGCGCTGCCATGGTGGTAGCTAGTACATTGGCTTTCTTGGCAGTGAATGGGAAGGTAAAGTTTTTGGGAACTTGATTGCTTTTTCTTTTATCATACCGACGATTGCTAGCTTGAGGATGCAGCCACTGCCTCGGGAAAGGCTCTATTAAACAAGGGTGACCTCGTTAGAATTTCTATGGAAAATGAAAAACGAGTTGGTGAGTGGTACGGTGATGTTCAATCCTCCTTGTTAAACGGTCACTCTTTCCAGGCGTCAACAGCGGAGGGTAAAACATATCTCTCAGGTTCGGGAAGTCCTCATTAATAATGGATTTCAGAATGGATCAAGCGGCGTCTGTCATGTCCGACCCTTCATCGGCCCTTTACATTTCATTTCACCCCGAGCTTAAAGCCGAACCTGTGCGACTTCCCCCTGGTGCTGTTTTTATCGTCGCCAATTCTCTCGTCGTGTCAGATAAAGCTGTCACTGCTAAGCGACGGTACAATCTCCGTGTGGTCGAAACCCTTGTCGCGGCTCGTATACTCGCACGTTCGCTCCGACTTGATGTTGGTGAGAAAGAGAAGGTCACGCTCAGGCAAGTAGTTGGACTTTCGGCGGGGGAGAAAGAAGGAGAGGATATCGGTGTGGTGTCACTGATGGGTGCCCTGAAGCGAATTCAGCAAGAGTTGGACGTTTTGAAGCCAAAGAAGCAAAATAACGAAGACGAATTAGGAGTGACCATGGAAGAGATGATTGGAATGACTGGTCTTGCCCCTGATGTTTTTTATGATGTCTATCTTTCTTGGGTCGAAAGTGAGTTGCCATCTCATCATTATGGCACCTTTGACTTGATCTTCTCCCGCCAGTCGAGGCGACTCATTTCCAATTATACCAGCGAGCGGCGCACGTATTCGGGGAAGCTCTTCGCGTCCTTGAATTCCGTGACGCTTGCCTTGAAGTTGATAACCTGTCGAAGCTTGGCCAGCTCATGAATGAATCGCATTTCAGTTGCTCGACGCTCTTCGATTGTTCTTGTCCAGAACTGGACCAGCTTACTCATCTCGCTAGAACAGCTGGAGCCTATGGATCCCGACTAACTGGTGCGGAAATTTACTTCGTAACGACGTCAGCCGCTAGGTGTCATATGCTAATTGACAGATAAATTTCGGTAGGTGCCGGCTGGGGAGGGTGCACGGTTTCTCTCGTTGCAGAGAGCGAGGTGGACACGTTCATCAGAAAAATCAGAGAGACCTACCCGCCTTATAAGGACCTCGACGGCGAGGCTCTCAACGAAGTCGTCTTTGCTACTAAACCGAGTAGTGGCGCGTGCGGTGAGTTCTACCTATTCATTATGTGGGGAATTTTTGTTGGTCTGAACGTAGTTCTTCTCGTCAGTTTACAAAGTCCAATAAGCAAGACAAGTGGAACCATTCATCCCTACATCTCTACCTTGCCTCCTTCGGAACGATAGCTCGCTGAGTTTATGTTCGTATAAGAATGCCCGTTTTCCATCCTTTCCATCAGACAATTCCACTTTGGGAGCTGCTAGATCGATCATTGAAATCACTGACGGAAGCAAAGATTTAATGGGAGAACACCGGACTCTCTATGCTTCTTTCAACCTGGCCTTCATAATATTTCATCAGAGTGATTGGGGGACAACCAGAGCATGGAAAGGGACCATCAGGAACGGAGGAAGTATACGCTCCAAATATTCGGGTAAACTAAGAAAAAAACGTTTCGCGGGAGTGCTTTGAGATCTATAACAAGAGAACTCATGGATACGATTGATGCCAAAGTATGGACATATGGGGGAAGACGGGGGGAAGATAGCGTACACTTCTTTGAAGTTCTTTCTAGTACGCACCGCGAAATCAACGTGGCGTGGACTGCTACATGATACATTCATCACCTCAGCAGATATCACGACGAGGGCGATGGGACAAGCTATGTACAAGCAGAAAAAGGGAAGACAGGATGATTTGACAATGGCAAGATACACAGGAAGGACGGAAATGAGGATTGAAGATCGTACAAGAGTAATCGATTTGGTGATGGTACAAGAAAGAAAGGGAATAAATAGGTACCAAAAGCAGAACAAGACACAGGGATGGTGAGGAGGGAAAGAAAGCATGATACGAAAGCAGTCAACAAATTGATACGATAAGGGAGATGATGCAAAAGCAAGGGATCAAAAAGAAACAACCCACTCAACTCAATGGAGGTACTTTTCGTTGAGGGCATGAACCTCTTTTGCAAGATACGGCCAAATCAACGTCCTTGCCAGCTCCCTTTTCAGCTTGCGCGTGTCAGATTTCGCGCGTTCTTTCGCGAGCTTGATCTCCCATCCACAAAGGTTATAAAGAAGACGCATGTTAGGCTGGATGAGGACTGACAGCCGTCGGGACCGAACAATGAGGTACGCATCCACCAATGGTAAGCCAAGGTGTTTCATCACATATGCAATCTAGATGATCATGGTTACCATAAAGCACATTAAAGGAATGTACAAGGTAAAACTACTCACGGTAACAGTTGCACTGCGCGATACGCCAACACGGCAATGGACTAAGACTTGACCGCCCTCCTGACGCGCCTGGTCAATCCAATCACACACAGGCTCAAGCTGTGGTTCCAAGGTGTCGATACCGTCGTCACACACGCCTTTGATATCCAGAACCTTGATACGACCCTCTCTCTCTTCATGCCACAGCGAGCCATGTCCCCCAGGTCCTTTCCCCGCAACGAAATGCGATCCAGGAGCCGGTCGATGATACCCCCCAGCCGTATTGTACGCAGCATGAGGAGCCAAATGATGTGGAGGCGGTACCAGCGCACACTCGCCTACAGAAACAACGTGCGTGATACCGAGAGCATGAAGCATGTACACGTTCGACGCATGATTCCTATCGATGAGTTAGATACGGACTCAGTGGCAAAAGAAAAGGAAAACTCACAAATTCCCCAGATACAAAAACGGCAGCACTCGACTCGGGAAACTCCCATCGAACCGTGGATCATTGAACCACGATTGATGGTCCCCACCAAACAAGCTCGGCAACCAAGGACTGGTATTCGCCCGTGGACGGCCCTTCACCGCGCTTTGCACTTCGACAGTCGATGCTGTGTTTAAGATGGGTACGACCGTACCCTCAAGTCTGAGCGGTATACCTGCTGCGCTGGTCTGTAACGGGAGACTAGTCCCGTACGTCGCAGTCGGCGAAGCCACCACCCTATTTTGCTGCTGCGACGGAACAACAATGGGTGGAGACGGAGGAGGGGGCGCTATAACCGGCGCATGTGCAAAAGAAACGGACTTTGCAGCCGGTCGTCCTATAATAGGCTGCGAGTGGGACGGGGGTGGTCTAACAGGGAAATAAGTCGAAGTCGAAGTCGTGAAACCAATATGGGTGGTATTGGAGTTCGCATTCCCATAATAGCCTCCCGTCACACCCGGACTGGACCAGTAACTGCCCACCCTACCCGGGTTCGGAGCAGTCCTTTTCCCATTTGCATTGATCCCACCAACCCCTACCCCACCTACATTCATAATCATCATCCTCTCCCTCTCGCGTTCCCTCTCCCTTTCCCTCTCCCTCTCGCGTTCCCTCTCCTCCTTCATCCTCGCTTCCACCCGTCTAAGAATCCCCAAATCACCTTGATACACAAAAAAGCTACGGCGCTTGGCTACCTGGAGCTCAAGGTACGCCTCTGGCAACGCAAGCCCCTTTATCGCCATGAGGAGACACAAAGCAGGAACAGACGATTCCGTATACCCATCAGAAGAGTAAATGAGCACCTTTAAAGGTCGAGAACGGCCACGGGCGGGTGTACTAGGAGGAGGCGCAGGTCTAAGTGCAGGTGAGGGGTTCGTATACGAGCGGGTACGACCTTGGGGTAGGGGAGCCGTGGAAGGTAAAGTAGCAGGAGAAGGCGAAGGCGAAGTCCTCCCCGTTCCAAGAGGGTTGAAAGACGGGAAGGAAGGCATCAAAGACGTAACAGACGACCATCTCCTCGCATTAGAAGCTGCACCAGGCCCAGGTGCACTCGAGGGTCCTTCAGCACCACCAACAGGCGGCGTATTCGGTCTCGTAGGGATCAGCACTGGTGGAGTCGCAGGTCTAGCCGGAGGAGGAGGTGGTGGTGTCGGCACAGGCTTCAACCATTTCTCCAAAAACCTCACAACAGGCATGAGAGCCGACATCGTCGCCTGCGAGTTCGACGGAGAGCTCGGGAAAGGCAAGTGGATCACCGCATTCGCATGGGGTGGAGGACGAGGTGGTGGTGGACCCACTTCCCCTCCTCCTCCTTCACGTTGGCGTTTCTGCTGCCGTGCAATCCACCGATCATTCCACATAACATCCAACATCCCAAGGTGCTCCTCTGCCGCCCGCAGATGTGCAGCGCTCGGGAACGGCGCAAGATCATGGCACTCCACGCAAATATCATACCCGTACCCCATCTTGGGATCATTCGTAGCGCGATAATTGAACGGATCATCAAGAGGCAGCTGTTCTTCTTCTTTATCGCCCAAGACCTGTATAGAAGAAGAAGCAGCAGCGTGCTTGAAAACATTAGGAACGTCCGGCGTCAAAGGAACATCCCCCGAATTGCCAAGGAACACCTGGCCGACTCTAGGATCGAAGAACGACGAAGTGGTTGATATATCAACCGTTGAATCTGGGTGAAGATGCGCATATGCAGGAAGTGCAGATGGGAAAGACCGGAAGACCTGTTGTTGTTGTTGCTGTGGCAAGAAAATCGGTCGTTGGTGCTGCAAGAAATGGTGGTGTCGTTGTTGTTGTTGATGATGCTGCTGCTGCTGCTCGTTGCCCTGCCCCTGCCCAACCTGCTCAACAAGCGGGAAAAGACTAATAATCTCCGAAGCCTTCGTCAAATCGCGCATCTCCTCCTTCTCCCTCAACGCAAAATCCACAGTATTCGGAAAAGCATCGCCGCCTTCCTCGTCAGAGTCTTCGTGATAATGCTCTTCTTCTCGCATATCAACGTCGTCGCTCCCCCTATCGTCCACTATACCCCTCCCACCTACACCACCCAGGTTTTCTTCGTTCTGATTCTGGTTCTGGTTCTGGTTCTGATCCCCACCACCCAAATCCATATCACCAACCATATCAACATCCATACCAACCCCCTCCCCCCTAACCCTCTTCCTTTCCCTCTCCCTCTCCCTCCTCTCGTCCAAATCCCTCTGCTCCTCCCCCCACTGTTCAATCAAATGCCCATCCGGCCCATCCGTGTGTGCACCAATAGAAGCGTCCATGCACGCTCCCAGTTCCCCAACCCCAAATTCCTCAACAGGCGACGCACACATCCCCTGCTCCCCAGTCCCTTCGTTGCTCAACACCAAACCCCCCGGAACACCAGCCCCACAAATCCGCATCATAAGATGCGGCATCTCCTTCCTCATCTCTTCACACGTCGCATTCAGCACGAAAACGTTGTATTGCAACAACTGGGTTTCCAGATCGCCTTGCTCTTCCTCCTCCTCTTTACGCGCCTCTTCCACAGCCGCTGGCTTCTCTTCTTCCTGGTTGTCGATTTGAGCGGTATGCTCGATGTGTGCAGGGGCGCTCTTACTCTCTCCCATTCCCACTCCCACTTGCACTTTATCGGGTTTAGAGGAAGAGGAAGAAGTAGAAGTGGCAGTGGTGGAATGGCGTAACCCCGGCCTCCTAGCCTCAATCCTTTCCTTCCGCTTCTTCTGTATCGCTTCTCGGAACTTTTCAGCTAGCGCGATGGCTGCTGGTGTAGCGCCTTTGGGTGAGTAAATGACGATGTCGGAGAGGGTTGCGTATATTGGCTGGAGAGTGGGATAGACAAAGAGTTAGCATTTTGTTTGTGGATTTGGATGTTGGATAAGATGAGGAATGGAATCGGTGCATCCCATTGGAAAGTTGAAAGACACAAGATAGAGCAACTCAAGATCCTCGAGAGGAGTTTTTAAAGAGTGAGGTCAAGAGCAAAGTCATCACGCAAACACCAATCCAAAATATGGAATACAAAACCATCAACCCAATCCAATCATACCCGCAAAAGAAAACGAAACAAAACAGACGAAGAGAATCAAGATTCCCACTCGGGAGTTGGAGGACACGAAATAGATAAGCTCAAGATCCTCGAGGAGCAGAAGATGAGGAAGAAAAGAAAGAAAAAAAAGAGGTCAAGAGCGAAGTCATCACGCAAATGCCAAACCATCAACCCAACCCAATCCTCCCCACAAAAGAAAACGAAACAAAACAGATGAGGATGGAAGAGGAATAGAATCAAGATAAGCTCAAGGTCCTCGAGGAACAAAAGATGGAAGAAAAAAGTGAGCTCCCCCCACAAAAAAAAAAACGAAACAAGACAAAAAAGGATAAGAAAGACAAAGAAACTCACAACTTGAATCCCAAAATTCCTCAACGAAATCCCATCAGGGACTCGTGTAGGCACGAATTCCCATTTTTCCTTTGGGCCCTTTTCCTTTTCTTTGTTGTTGGGGTCGCCTTTGTCTTTAGCGTCTTTAGAGGGCTTGGTCTCAACCAAAGGGGTGGAAGACGGAGAAGAGGGGGGAGGGGAGGTAGAAGTGTCAGACGCAGGAGAAAGAGTAGTAGAAAAGGCGGCCAAAGCAGGATCAGGACCAGCAGTAGGAGAGTCAGAAGTGGAACCAGAAGTGGGAGAAGAAGGCGCAGGAGGAGGAGGCGGTGGAGGCACCACAGCCGAACTCCTCCTTACCCTCCTCAACAATTCTTTAGGCCTAAATGTGGACGTCAACAAAGGTGGAGCAGCAGGGTCTGTCGTTGCTGGTTTTCTCTTCGTTGGCTGTGGTGGGACTTCCTCCTTCATTGGAGGTGGGTTTGATTTCTGTGTTGATCTATCATAGCATTGGCGAGTTAAGAAGAAAAGATAACGAGAAGATAAAAGCAGACTCACTCATTTTCCTCAGCATCACCCAAACTGACAGGCTCAGTACCCGTACTAGCCGACGAAGACGAAACGCTCGACTCGGGCGTATGTACGCCGCCCACTACATGCTGCTGGGGGATATGGATAGGTATCCCCGGGCGGTGATGTACAACCGGATGCATATGTTTCTGTTCCTCCTCCCCTCCCTGGTGCTGTTGTTGTTGTTGTTTCGCCTTTATCTCTTCAGAATCCACGACCATAATCCCAGGCTCCTGTAAAATCTCTTCTTCGCCCATCGCCACACCCACATGATGCACCACACCCTCAACATCCATCGGAGAGTCAACGAACGGAACAACGTCCGCCTCGTCCTCACACTCAAACTCATCGTCGTCGTCGCCATACGAAGACTCCGAAGACTCGGACGACGAAACGCCAGACGAAGACTCGTCGCCCTGGCTAGACTCGGAGGACGAACACACCGACGAAAGCTCATCAACAGGCTTGCGTTTGAGGACACCAAGCGCCGCAACATCATCTACATCCTCCTCGCACACGACCCACACCAACCCTCTATACTCCGGCACTTTCGGGCGTATCTGCTTATGCTCGGGCGGGACATGACGAGCATGATGTATCGCCGTCCCCGAAGACGAGAAGAACGTATTCTGAGCATGATTATCGCCTTCCAAGCCATGCAAAAAGGGGAAGAGGACGTGGTCGGGCGGGTGGGAGAGCGTATGCGATAAGTGTAAATCTGCGAATGTTCGTGAGGGGAGGAGAGGAATGTCGTTTATGGTGTCGAGAGAGGCGAGGAGGTCGTTTGGGTATTGTAAGCCATAGCACATCTTTGGTGGAGGTGAACGACAAAGGGCCGCACTGGCACCCCTCAGTTGTGTTGACAAAAACACAAGGGAAACTGAATGGATGATGGATGACTGAGATCTCGATCTTATCATATGACCCGCTTACTCCTCCCACGATCGATCAAACGGACTTTAGCTCAGCCACCCCCAATGTCCCCCATTTCAATACGGTAAACTCTCCTCTTCGTCATGTTAATTCAAATGAATTCGTTTATTAACTGGGTGTCGTGCGCAGCGGAGAGCTCAGTCAGCGCACGGCATCGACGTTTAGGAGCAGGCGCTGGCAGGTAGACGTACGAATACATCCGAGAGGACCTGTCAATACCCGTCAGGCCGTCAGGTTCAAACCGACCACTTGACCCATCAATAGGATTTAAGCACTACGCCACCCGGAAAAAGATAACTCGTGGCCATGGGGCCAAGGGTACTTTCTGGAAGAGTATAGTACCGCTCCGGTGTATTTGTCAAATACTAGTTCAATCGACCTGCAATAAAGATGTAGGAAAGGAAAAACAAATGTCGCTCGTTGTTTCAACAAGGCACTGCCAGGAATCGAACCTGGTTTTCAAGAATTCACCACTGTTCCTACATTCGATAAGAATCTTGAGCTTGAGTGATGATGGATGACCGGCTACACTACAGCACCATATCGCTCTTAGTTTCCAAGCTCAACAAGTCGCTTATACGGCGAAAAATATGGAACTCAAACATTGAAGGCGCTGCCAGGAATCGAACCTGGGTTCCAAGAATTCAATCATCCTAGTAATCAGAATCTTGAGTGATAACCGCTACACTACAGCGCCCTGCCTCCTATGAGTTTCCAAGCTCACAATGTCGCTCCTGTATCACAACTGAATAAAACCCACGAAACCCAACTTGACTCTTGCAAAAGCCAGCTCCGCGCAACACATTCATGCACGCGCCCATTGCTCATTTCTAAGACGCACACACCGTCCTAAAAAAACAGGGGCACGGAACGAGTCCTGATACAATGTTAACGTTGTGCTCACCGTAAGACATCAACAAAACGATCAGCTGAGTCGTTCAAGTTCTCGATGGACGCGATTCGACGAACTTTACGGCGTTTAACGTCTAGAATCTACGCGAGAGTCCCTCCGATAATTACCCACAATTGCCAATCTGAACACTCCGGGAACCAAATGTCAAAAGGGGAACGAGCGTAAATGGGCGCATTGTAACGCCGACACGATAAACTCAGGTTCTAACCCTCTTGGACGAATGCCTGCCAGTGTGGCAGATTCGAGCCCTGCGGCCAAAGCAACCAGACAACGTTAACCCTAAATCCTCACCCCACTTCCCATTATAGAATGCAATTCCAATTCGACACGCTCCACAGGGGGCTGGCTTCTCGGGGGCCATGGGACATGGCCATCAGAAACGCTAAAATCAAATACGCAATCGCGTCATAAGTGGGGTCGGCGACTTACAAGACGGCGTCGATACATTATTATTTCACCGGCCACGGCGACTCGCGTTTTTCCAATTTGAATTTACTGTACTCACAATCAAAAGTTAAAACACCCCCGAAGTGTAGAAGAGTAATGCCGGCGGCCGAAAAAGTAAACGAGGGTGGAGATTGGTATCATAAAATCGAGATCAAGTATTATTCAGGTGTTACGTTGTGAAATTTGAAGTGCGTCAATGGTGACGGGTAGGTCGACGCGCGACTTCGTCATGATTTTTGGCGGAAAAAAAAATAAAAAAACACAACAAAAATCTAAAGGTGTCCAAGAGGCACTACCAGGACTCGAACCTGGAATTCAAGAATATTCCACGCCAACAATTACCCCGATGAGGATATTGAGTGTACCGTTACACTTTAGTGCCTTCCTCATCATGGGGATTGCATGGAATGTTGGATAAATATCGACCGACGCGTGGGTTTCTTATGATTTTTGGTGGAAGTAAAAAACGCAGCGACGAAGGAACAGGCACTATCAGGACTCAAACCTGGAATTCAAGAATATTCTGTATTTTCTACCAGGAGAACTACCAAACACGAAGATCTTGAGTGTACCGTTACACTTTAGTGCCTGCGTCATCATGGGCATTACTCGGATAAATTCAAAACTGTTGGAAACCGACGCGCAATTTTATCGTGATTCCTGGCGGAAGTAAAAATGATGGACTTCGACAAAGAGGCACTACCAGGACTCGAACCTGGAATTCAAGAATATTCTGTATTTTTTACCAAGCGTACCAGGCACAAAGATCTTGAGTGTACCGCTACACTTTAGTGCCTTGGTTATCATGGTCATTTAACAGATAAATTCAATACTGTTGGAAACCGACACACAAGTTTATCATGATTCCTCGCAGAAGTAAAAGTGAACTCCGCTTCAGAGGCACTACCAGGACTCAAACCTGGAATTCAAGAATATTTCATTTTTGATCACAATATCGCGATACAAGAATCTTGAGTGTACCACTACACTTTAGTGCCTTGTTATCATAGGCATTATATGAATTTTTGAATACAGACCAACGCACGGGTTTATCATGATTCTTGGTGAAAGTAAAAAGGGTGCAAGGAAGCCTGAGGTAGGGGCACTACCAGGACTCGAACCTGGAATTCAAGAATATTCTCTATTTTTTGTCAAGTTTTCCAGATACAAAGATCTTGAGTGTACTGCTACACTTTAGTTCCTTGATTATCATAGGCATTGAACAGAGTGTTGAATAAGTACCAACCGATGTGCAGGTTTATTATGATTCCTGGCAGAAGTAAAAATCACAGGACTCAAACCTGGAATTCAAGAATATTCCATTTTTGCATCACATTGTCGTACAAGGATCTTGAGTGTACCATTACACTTGAGTGCCTTCACTATCATGGGCATTGCACAGATAAATTCAATACTGTTGGATACCGACTGACGCGGCACGGTGTGAGTTTATCATGATTTTTGGTGGAAGTAAAAATCAGAACTTCACTTTACTAGAGGCACTACCAGGGCTTGAACCTGGAATTCAAGAAGATTCTGCTCTATCGAGATACAAGGATCTTGAGTGTACCACTACACTTTAGTGCCTTGGTTATCATAGGCATTCATGGATAAATTCAATACTGTTGGAAACTGACTGATGTGTTGCGGTGCAAGTTTATAATGATTCTTGGTGGAAGTAAAAATCACTACCGAATGGAAAGAGGCACTACCAGGACTTGAACCTGTAATTCAAGAATATTCCATAGTTCTTCAAGTTATCCAGCTACAAAGATCTTGAGTGTACCATTACACTTTAGTGCCTTGGTTATCATAGGCATTGCACAGATTGTTGAATACCAACTGGCACGCAGGTTTCTTATGATTCTTGGCGGATTTAAAAGTTAAAAATCACAAGGCTGTGAAACTAGTAGTAGAGGCACTACCAGGACTTGAACCTGAAATTCAAGAATATTCTGTTTTCCCTTCGAAATACAAGGATCTTGAGTGTACCACTACACTTTAGCACCTTGGTTATCATAGGCATTGCATGGATTGTGGATAAGTACTGACTGACACACAGGTTTATTATGATTCCTGGCAGAAGTAAAAATCACAACTAGCTAAGGCACTACCAGGACTTGAACCTGGAATTCAAGAATATTTCATTCCTATACACACTAACAAGGATCTTGAGTGTACCACTACACTTTAGTGCCTTGGTTATCATAGGCATTGTATGGACTGTTGAATATTGGCTGACGCGTGGGTTCATCATGATTCCTGGTGGAAGTAAAAATCAGAACTTCGATTTAGAGGCACTACCAGAACTCGAACCTGGAAATCATGAATATTCTGTATTATTGATTGAGTTTCAAGGACCTTGACTCTTGAGTGTACCACTACACTTTAGTGCCTTGATTATCATAGGCATTGCACAGATTGTTGAATACTGACTGACACATAGGGGTTTATTATAATTCCTGGTAGAAGTAAAAATCATGACGCAATGAAGCTATAGGACTTGAACCTGGAATTCAAGAATATTTCATCATTCCGATTTAGCCACAAAGATCTTGAGTGTACCACTACACTTTAGTGCCTTGGACATCACAGGCATTGCACAGATAAATTTAATACTGTTGAATACCGACCGACGCGCACGTTTATTATGATTCCTGGCGAAAGTAAAAATCAACAAACACCAGGTAATCAGAGGCACTACCAGGACTCGAACCTGTAATTCAATAATGTTGTATTCTTATACTTATATGCAATTACAAGGATATTTAGTGTACCGCTACACTTTAGTGCCTTGGTTATACATGTATGAGAAACATAAAAAAGGAAACAAGTACTTGAAGGTGGGTACATTGTAGCGCCGACCTCAAATGTTGACGAAAAAATTCATATAGGTTAATGCTCTTAAATGCATGCTTGCCAGTGTCAGTAGATTTCAAGTCCTACGGCCGCAGCGTTTACAGCCAACACAACCAACCTCCTAAATCCAGACATCCATTATAGTACTGAAAATCCAATTCGACACGTTCCACAGGAGCTCGGCACCAGAAACTCTAAATCAAGTTGGCAAAATCCGAGTCGTCATAGACGATACGGCGACTTGCACGTCAATAAATTTTTATTTCACCGGCCCCACGGCGACTCGCGAGATTAAATTGAAGGAAGTTTGTAAATTGCCAATTTGATTCACTCACAAATAGAACGCCCCCTGGACTGCAGTGTAAATGTAATGCCGGCTGAAAAAAATAAAGGAGGGTGGAGATTGGTATCCGAGTCATAACATCGAGATTATATGTATTATTCATGTTTCCAGTGTTCAATTTTTGAACGGGTAGGTTGAACCAACGCGCCAGTTTATTCTTGGCAGAAATAAAAATCATGGTGAAACGAAGAGGGCTATTAGCTAGCAAAATATCCGTACTTCACCACTGCACACTGTACCCTTTTAAGGAACGCGCAAGCATTTCGCGAAGCGGCTCCCAAGACAGGTTGCATACATATTGAATATTTTCAAGTCGAATTGAAGAATCTCCGAGTCATCTGGCCTTCAGGATCCCGACTTATTCCTATAATCATAAAAAATCACTTCAGCTAGATGTACACACTGGTACGGCACTGCCAGGAATTGAACCTAGTTTTCAAGGAAGGAACTTTGATCAGAATCTTTCTTTATGTACTTACCTGTACACTTCAGCGCCATACTGTGCTGTGCGTAAGATATGGATATAACAATCCTGAAATTTCTAGGTTCATGATCTAGCAGCAACACCTTGGCAACACCACAAGAAAACGGCCAAAATATACTAGACGCACTGCCAGGTATTGAACTTGAATTTCAAAAATATCTTGCTCGCAACATTCACCACAAGAATCTCGAGAGTATGTACTTCAGTTTTTCAGTTGAAAAGAGATCCCACGTTATAAAGCGAACCGAAATTCGCGATGCGAGATAAATTTATCTTTGCTAAAAAGGAAAATAGAGGGAGGAGTGAACTGTAAGTCCGTAAAACCCTAAATCTAAAATCAACAAAGTGTTCATTCCATGATCATAATCGAGGTGCTGCTCACCTCCAAAGAGAGATGCCCCAAATTTCTAAGGCTGATCATCATTCAAGCAACACCTCCAGCATCCCGGACTAGTCTCCACTTCATGCGAGATGGAGTTGCAATCCGGCACCATGGGACGATAGTAGCACAGACGATAGCACCGGAACTCTGGGGGAGTATCGCGTGGCTTGGGTGAAATAGTCGCGGCGGCGGTGATCGTGATAAGGAGGTTGATGATTGTAAGGAATTTCATCATCATTCAATATTGGCCTAGTATAACGGTGAGTCGAGTCTGGATGGAGTACGACAGTGCTTTCCTTGTCAGAGGAGGAAGGATCGGTGTGGTCCAACTTGAAGCAGCTGGACCCTCGCTTGAGCTTCTTATAGGACTATTCGCACTCCGTAAAAGGGGGGTAGTTTAGGCTGTGAAGCTTAGAAGACGCAGAACAGTAATTACGTCGAAAAGGGGATGCATGGCCGCACATATCACCTGGATGCTCGGGCGTAGAAGAAGATGAACGGGGCAAGAATTACAGCGAGGATCGTTCGGTTAAATCATTGTTCATGAATCATCAAGTGACTTCTCATGGCCTTGAGATTTTGGAATGAGGTACGCACAACCCCATTGCAAAAGCAGAATTCTAGCGGAGGATGGGCTGCCACGAAGCTAGGGGAAGGTACGTCGATGTTGGAAAACCATGGGCCAAACGGCGCCTCGGAGTCGCCGATGTCAAAATAGGACCAACTAAATGACCTCGAGGAGACCGTCCGAAGGAAAAAATGATTGCCCTTACGGGAAGATCTAATTCTTCCTTGTAAGATGCTGCGCAATATCCAACCTTCCAGATCAGAGGAAAATAATCCCGAGGCACTTCAACTTCAGAATATCCAAATAAACTCCTCGCCGTTTCTCCAGGATAGATATCTGCAGGTCTTCGTCCAAAAAACTCAAACGCGAAGTAATTTCCGGGAATTTCAACTTGAGGCAAAGAGTTTCGCTGTCACCGTCAGACAAAACTATCGAGACAGCGCCGGGAGTCGTTCCTGCTGTGAACGTTCAAAAGAGTGGGAGCTCGAAATGGAGAATGGTTCCATGGGGGATGAGACGTAGACAGTCAATAAAGTCTTTCCTCGTAAAATGCTGAGGCCCTGTTGTGAACTTGTGAATTGCTTCGCCTAATTTTCTGAGAAGCGTAAATAACCAGGGTCTCTTGGTAGAGTCAAATGCGGTGTCGGTATCGCTATGGTATTCGATTTCGTGTAAGACAGGAAGATCCAGGCAATCGAACATGGTTGTCTCAAATATTGAGAGGGATTCGAGGTGGGCAGCGTCAACACGGCAAATTGGGTTGGCGTTACCTCAGCATTTCGGATTTCCAATTTGCAACGGATGATGAAACGTGGGCATCGCGACAGCAAGTCCACCGCCTGATGTAAAGACAAGATTGCCGATGTCCATAAATTTCCTCCTATAGTCAGGTCTGTAAGGGACGCCCAGTTGACAGGAAGCTGAAGGCAGTCGTCTTGGGGCTGCACTCCCCATGCGCGAAGCCTCGCAAAAGTGAAGTCAAAGGACACCGGGAACGGAAGTCCGTGGGGCGGGTGGGTGAGAAAACACACCATGCTGCACCCGCTACGTACGGGTGTTATTCCTCCAAACTTGGGAAACAGAAAGAATGATGTCAATGACAGGCTGCAACTCCCGAGAAATTCGTGTCGGAGTCTCGACACATCGCCTTAACGATGTCAACTGTAAGTGATCCAGAACGCTTCAACCACTCCCGGGCCTGTGATGCTTGTGTGCGCTCGTGTCGGGAAATTCTGAAGCGTAAAGTTTGGTGGACGGGTTGGGCATCGGAACGTGAACCGTTGTCCATACTGGACGGGGACTCGACAGCAAAATCGACCTCCAGCTGCTACAGATGCGCCGAGATTGGGGCATTTCGGTTTGGCGGAAGGCAATTGCTAGATATCTCTTGGAGAATTTCATAAGGGATCCGTCGAATAGGTGAACAAGTTTGTATTTCCTTTCCCTAATCGTGGGCGTCGAGACCGAACCTCGTCCGAGCATTTCCTCGGTTAGACAGAGTAATCCTAGTAATGGGGCTAGGAGCGGAGCCAAACCCATGATCTCCATATAGCACTCGCGGAGGAGTATGCATTGTGAGTCGTTATTCTGAAGATTGGAAGGCAATTTGAATTTAATTTGAGGGTGAAAGTTGGTCATGTGACTTGACGATACGATCTGATCACCGTCACGCGGTCGATTGCAATTTGCTCGCCAACAACAATGTCCGAAGCACCAACGGTGCCTGCGAATGGGAATGGCAACCACCAGACCCAGCAGCAAGAGCCCGCCCAACAGCAATCGATACTCACGCGGTCGTGGCATGCCATTTTCTCGCCATTCTCGCCCTCCGCGCTAGCAACCTTGCCCAATCTCCAACGTCCAGCAAGGTACTTACGACTGGACGACATTCCCGAGACCTCCACCGATGGCGAGGGCCAGCAACCGACCGTGCGCGACTACCACGCCATCAACTCGGTGCCCCCCCAGGTCCGTGTACCGAAGAAGATACCTACTTCAATCAAGGTCGAGAGCAAGGTCTGGTTTGCGAATGAACGGAGTGAGTTTTTATGTTTCTTTTCCATTCATGCGGTTATGAATGTTTGATCACTTGCTTTCAGCGTGGGTTTCGTGGTTGAACATCTCCGTCCTACTCGCTGCTCTTGCTCTTGGGTTGTTCAATGCCTCCAAGGACGACATCGCGCGCAGAATGGCCTACGTTTACGCTGTGATAAGCATTTGTGTTCTGGTTCGTTCCTCCCCGCATCTGGTTTCTCGACATCCGATTGTTTCCATCTTAAGATCTATGGGTACACCTTGTACCAACATCGCATTACCATGATCCGCCGTCGTGATCCAGGTCACTTTGGTATTCACCTTTTCCCATCCTATCCACTCCGCACAACGTAACTGATTCAATGTACCATAGACGCTCTTGCAGGCCCCATCTTACTCAGCATTGCCCTCTTTGTTGCTGTCCTTGCGAATTTCATTATCAGGGGTCTGTACCTTTCTTCCTTTTCTGGTCATTTGCTTCCGCTCACATACCACGTTCGTCTTGATCAAATTCATTATCCGGCCGCTTCTCGATACCTTCGTTCATATACATTTCACCGTGCCAGTCCGCGAGATGTAAGCTTCCACGTCGCTCTGATCTCGCTTACCAACTTATCTTTATCTTACAAACAGGCAAAGAAAGCAAATCCCCTTCCCAGGAGATGACCTCCTCGCTTTTTTGGCACCCAAAATTGCAAACGTCACTCCACCATCATACTCTTCCCAGCAACACTTCTAAGACACGATGAACCAACTAGAATGTCCTTGCGCTCACCACCTTATTTAAGATAGTTATGATCATGTATCCTTGGCCTTAAAATGGTTATAAAATGCAGAAGACGCGTACGTTCGTGAATGCCACGCATCTGGGTTTGATGGACTCTCAATTTCTCTTCAAGGCCAACGACGCCAGCGCCTGCTACAGTTTATGCTTTCGTCGGGTGTCATTATGTGGCAAACTGAGCCATTCGCTCAGTGTACTACACGGGCACCTTGGTGTGCAAGTGCATTCGAGCTGGGCGTGTAGTGTGTAAGATCCGAGATTCTGGTTTCACTGGAAGGAGAGCTGTGTCCAGGTTTTCACAGCTTCCAACCACGTACTTTTTTGAAGTTGTGAATCGGTTGTAAACTTTTATCTCAAGCATCGAAAGAAGGGACGGCAAGAAACTCTTTGTGCATGATATGAAGACTTTGATTTTGCTTTGATTGTAATTGTGCAGTGAAATTGTGTTTATGCTAGAGCTCTTCTCATTATATGATGCTGAGGTGTGTGTTCGGAGGAGCTCCTTGACCATGTACAAAAGTTGAGAGCAGGGAGATTTGTCAAGCGGCACGCGGCACGGCTCTCCTACTGTACTTACATAATTGAAGCCGAACATAACAATTCACAATAACCTGTTGCCCTCTCCGACGGTGAACGAGTTGTGAAGAATTGCGGTAGGCATGCCAACCATCTATTGCTTATGTTTTCTTACATTTTAGTAGAAGATAACCAACAGTCATGGCATTACTACCCCTCGAGCAACGTCTCAACACCAATTATGCTCCATCAGATGAAGAGTTGCAGCAAATTCCCCGGATCCTCGTGGAACCCAAGGCGCGCCTTGCAAGAATGAATGACGAGATTGAGCGAGCACAGGCAACTTTGGACGAATTGAAACGTCAGCGCGACGAGCTAGTCCGGCTTATCAATCAGTATCACGCGTTGACCTCACCTATTCGGCGGATCCCTCAAGAAATCCTCCAGGAGATATTCATCAATTGCCTTCCCGCAGACCGCCCCGCCGTGATGTCGGAACGTGAAGCCCCCTTGCTTATTGGGCGCGTTTGTAGTAGCTGGAGGTCGATTTCACGATCAACCGCAGAGCTATGGACATCGGTTCGCGTTTCTATACCGAGCACGACTTTTATCGCTTCAGAAACTTCAAGCGTTCATGGCGTGGTAGCCGATTGGATTGATTATGCAGCGGCATCAAACCGTATGGCAGAATTGCGAACGGCTGCGTTGCAAGAGTGGTTACAGCGCTCTGGATCACTTCCGGTCGACATCTCCTTTAGCCAATGGCAAGATTGGACGCGTGTGCCGTTCTACTCGAATGTTATTCACGAACCCCATCCTGTTGTTGACACAATTCTTTCCGTTTCTCGACGTTGGAGAAAGCTTACTGTCGCAGCACCTAGTTCCAGTATCCTGTGTCTCTCGCGCCCTCATGATCTTCCGCTACTAGAGACTCTAGACCTCAGATTTCCAAACATGGGAGAATCAATTCGCTTTGGGATTCTGAAATCAAAGTACAACATTTTTCGGACACCCTCACTACGAAGACTGTCTTTGGCACAAAGCTCAGGCGATTGCCTCGACTATCCTGTCAACTGGGCGAACCTTACAGACCTCGCCATAGAAGGACATCTATGGGAGAAACTGAGTTTGCGCCAGGCGTTTTTCCTGCTCTCGCATTGCTCTCAACTCGTCCGTTGCAGTCTGGAGATCTGGATGTCGGAAAGGCCGCCTCTTCCATATTCCCCACTTACGCATTGCAACCTCAAATACCTCTCCATCTTCGAGGGAGTTGATGTCACTAGCATATTTGATTGTCTCGATCTTCCAGCCCTGCTTGAGGTTGAATATCATACTTCCTTCACACCCAACCCTCACAAGAAGCCCTCCTTGCTTACACTTCTCAGGAAGTCGAACAGATCAATTCAGAAACTTACAACAGATCCTAAACGGCTTGTCATGGAAGATCTCATTGAATGTCTACATTTTATCCCAGACGCAACCACACTCACTCTGAAGCCATCCCGCATTGATAAGGACAATGGGCAGCGGTTTGACCGGACATTTCTGGATAAGGAATTTCTCAGTTTCTTCCTCCCACCTGCCAGCGATACCCTTTGCCCCAAGTTGAAGTTCCTGGAGATCAATTGCCCTTTAAACTTTTCGAGTGGAGATCTCTTAGGATTTATTCTCGAGAAACAGTCCAACGCTCTTTCTGAAACCTCAAAGTTGGAGCGCATCAAGATTGTTTTCCCCCATTCTCTTAGGGAGGACATTATCCCACATCTTACGGAGTTTGTTCAAGAGGGTTTGGATATTCAGTTAATTTATACTGAACCACCCGTGATAGCAACGTTTCCGCCGTCGCGAGGTCTACACACCGCGATTTGGTCATAAAATAAACTTCGTTTCGGCGCTTTTCAAATGTCCAGGAACACCATACTTCGCTCACATTCAACTTAGCATAGCAATCCGGTAGGCTTGAGTAAATTGGGTACAACAGCCTTGTATTGAGAATCCAGCATCAATATCTTTGCTGACTCGGAAATCGGGCTGAGTATTACATGGGGTACCAGGTAGTGATGACTAGAACTCCCTCGACCTCCTTAATCCGATAAAAACCTACAAGTCCCCTCGTCTTACAGAATGGCTAGGAATCGACAAGAATGCTTTGGAAGAGGGAAGGCGTACAGGTTTCGTGACTTGGAGGGTAGGCTTACGGTGGGCTCAAATCCGAAAATGACAGAACACAAAATTCCATATACTAGTTATTGTCCCTCATGCTGCACGAGAGAAATGTATACAGTCCATGCTCATTCATGATATGAGGAGAGGGGTGAGTAAGTCCTACTTGGTGGGTAGAATGTCGACAACCAAACTTGGAAGCGTTGATTGAAAACTCAAGTACCATTACGGATTATCATAGTGTAGATGCAATGCTTGACAGCAGACGGGCGTTGGCGAGTGGTGACTAGTTTCATGGCTCGGGGATTCGGTATCTGAAGGATACCGCCGTGATATGGGAAGGATAAAGTTTGACCTGGCAGCAAAGAGGCTAAGTAACCACAGAGGTGATTTGACAACCACAGCGGTTTGGCGGAGGTATGTGGAATTAGCTGCGGTGTAGTACATGGGTTCATTTCAAGTAAACGGGAACTCGACATCGGGAATGTCAACCATCTCCGATGGTGAAAACAATGTCTCCATGGATCGTTCAGCGTAACACAACCGAAGGTCGAAGCCTTTCATCACCTTAAGATGTGGCACGACGTCCATCCCCCGGGGCCGTAGAAAATGTATATGGAGGCGCTTCAAAGGCAGAACGTTTGATGCAAGTCCGCTTTGTTTCTCCAGAATGAAATCCAACAAATCTTCATCCGATATGTCGAGATGGGAGCTAACGTGCAGGGCTTGCAATTTGGGACAAAGGGGATGCCCGCCTGTCGTAGATTGGAGAAAAGACTCAAGAAGGTCCTTGTGCGAAATTGTTGGGTTCCGACCATAGGCTCCGATTGCACGTCTGTGACGGGCGGTGTGGTTGTCCAGAGTAAGAGTAGTGGCGTGGGGGATGAGACGTAGACACTCGATGAGCTCTTCCCTCGTAAATTGCTGAGGATTTACTGTAAATTCACGAATCGATCCATTTGACTTGCTGAGGAGGGTAATTAACGAGGACCTCTGGGACAAGTGGGGTGCAACGCAGGTATAATATGTAACCTGACGCAATGCAGGAAGGTCCAGGCAATTGAACATACTGGTAGCATCAGACACCTCAAATACAGTCAAGCATTCGAGATAGGGAAGTGCAAATGCTGAAAGATGAACCAGAGCCTGTGCTTGATAACTTCTGCCCACCGCCAATTTGCAGCGGACAAGGTGTCGGCATTGTGACAGCAACTCCGCCGCTTGATTTAAAGACAGCTGTCCACTGACCTCCCGTTGAAATGTCAAGCTGAGATCTGTAAGATGTTCCCAGTTTACGGGAAGCCGCAGGGGGTTGCCTTGGAATTGGTCAAAAGATAACTTTCGGAGTGAGGGTGCTGTGCAGATGTTGTACTCCGGATACCGGTTGTTTAAACCTGGCTGCCACCGCCATACAAAAATAAATTTCAAGGACTGTAGGAAAGGAAGATTGTGGGGAGGGTGCGAAAGGAAAGACTCCATCGTGTCAGCTGGTGCTGCCACGGTAATGTTCCTCCAACGATGCGCCACGGAAAGGATTACGTCCACGATAGGCTGCGCCGAATTTGCGTAGTTGGCTGCTACCAATTCTGCCCATTGGTTGAGTGAAATGTCGACAGGAAGTGATCCGGAGCGGTTTAACCACTCTTGCAACGCCCGCGTTCGCAATCCAATCATACGTTTTGAAGCTACCATATGCTCAGCTTTCGTAATCACCTGCTCGGGGTGCATCTCCGCTGGCGCTGGCACAGGGACGTGAATCGTCGTCCACAGCTTTGGAGCTGAGAGCGAAATCGATCTCCACCTGCTACAGATACGCCCAAGAAGCAAGGGAGCTTCGTGCGATGACATGAAAGCATTGTGGTCTTTGGGAAGACAATGGACGAATATCTCCAACAGGATTTCTTGAGGGAGCAGCCGAATAGATGATGTCAATGCGCGGTACTGATCAATGTGCTGGCTTAGCTCGTCCCGCTGGCGTTTCATTTCTTCGAGTGTCTCCCGCATTCGCTCAATCTCGTCATTAATCTTTGAAAGTCGTGTTTGAGGTTCTTCGAGAATACGGAAGATTTCCCGTCGCTCTATATCTGATGGGACATAATTGGTGTTGAGATGCCTTTTGAGGAGGGATGCCATGGATGGTGGCTCAAGGACCTTCAAAGAGCCTAGAATATAAAGACAGTTCAGCAGTTCAGCAGCTGCGACGCAACTCTCTTGCTCGAAATACGTACTAAAAGATGCGAAAAAACGAGAGAAAGATTATCATTGTCGGAAACGTGAATGTGATTAACACGTGACTTGTCTCTTTGAGACATACAAAAAGTTTGTAGTCTCCGTATTCCCGAAGTCTCCCCCATCGCTGGTTGAAAGGGAGGCGACTTAATGACGATGGAGCGAGGAACTCGTGGCCTTCATTCGCCCTGGGATCCCTCAAGTTGTACAATCGATCACAAAATGCCACACCATAGTTATACCCCTACACAAAAAAAAAACGAAACAAAGTGTCCACAGTCCATACGATACGTACGTACGCAATACAAGGATAACGGCCAAGAGCAAAAGAGAGGGGAGAGTAGTAGGTAGCACTAGTTGAACGGTCGGAAAACATTTTTGAATGACGATTGAGCCCCAGAAGAAGAAAAATATTGGGGGGGGATGGGGGTTAGAATCATGCGATGCAGAAGGGGGTTGGAATGCAACGGAGAAGATTGAAAGCCGGAAGAGCTGTGAATATGGACAAGTGTATGGTGGGGGAGACGCAGAGAGCATAAGAACGGTGAAGAACGATAACACGCTAGGTTGTACAAGGACTTTTGAAAGGAGCAAGATCGAAGAATGGATGTGCATGCGTGTGTGTGTCACAGAAGCCTGGATGAGAGAGGGATGGAGGGATGGAGTTGTGATGAGATGAAACGCGGAGGCCAGCCAATTTTTTGAGACCAAAGAGAAACCAAGAGACGTGAAAGGGAGACGTTCGCACCTACCGCCACCCATCTCCAAACCACCAACACTTATCCGCCCCCCTGATACCCCACTCCACCACCGCCTCCGTAGACGCAACATATATCCGTCCCCCATAAGGATCAAAGCACACCCCAGCAAGGTCAAGGTCATCAGAGGGGTACACCATCTCTCCCGCAGAACTCCCCTTCGCCTGGTGGTCCCCAGAACTCATAGGCGACGACGAAGAAGTGTGTCTGCGAACAGATCGTTCTCGACGAGTAGAAGACGGGGTGGGTGAAGAGCTTCGCGAGGGTGTACGGGAGATACATTCCCCAGCAGAAGAATTCCCATCAATCTCATCAACCTCCATCAAATGTTGCGCTTGTGTCTGTGGCAGCTGCAAATCCCCACCACTCCTCGTCCTATTCGTTCTATTCCTCCTCCTAGCCCCAGCACTCCCCCCACCACCAATACGGTACTCATAATCCGCATGCGTACTCCCCGAATTCGTATCCCGATCATCATCCTCATCCTCCGCGAAATCATCCTCCAGATCCTCATCATCATTAACCACCCCCGGGTGCCTCGTAGCCCTCTGCAGCCCCGCATGTCCCTCCAACAACGCGTGCACCTCGCTCTCCACGTCCCTATCACCCAAAGGCGGGATCAAAAGCAGGTCTTGTTGCTCGCTCTGTCCTGCACCTCTTGCTCCACTGGCGCTTGACCGGTGCGCAAGCCCGCTGAGTGTCCGCCAGGTCGAATCGGATATCGATGACGGGGCCGAATACGCCGACGTTGGGATCCGAAACGCGTCTCCGAGCGCTTGGACGATGGATAGATCACGATGAGCGATCGTAGGCGGTCTCCGGGGACTGGACGGTCCAGAAACAAGGAAGCTGGGTGGAGATCCGATGCGTGAGGAGCTGGTACTGCTTGTAAAGAAATGTCGTTGTTGTTGCTGTTGTTGTTGTGGGGGTGGGTGCACAGGCCGTAGTTGCTGCGGTCTCGACGCAGGTGGGGGTTGTGAGCGCCTGGGCACCGTAGGCACACGAATGACTTCGTCCGTCTCAAACGTCCGCGCGTCTACAAGGTGGATCAAAGACGTGTGCTCCGTAAACGCCATGATCTCCTTGCCAAAATTGCCGGTGTTAAATTTAACATTGCGGACGCTCCATCCTGGGGCCTTTGAGCTCCCTCGCGTCCATTCCCATGGATCGTCTGAGAGCCATCCGGATGCACCTCCATTCCCTGAAGGTACCCGCGTTTTGTCAGTTTGAAACACCTTGAGAGGTTTGCAGCTCCGCACGTCCCACACAGCCACAACCCCTTCTTGCGATGCCACGGCAAACTTCATGCCATCTGACGAAAAGGCGGTGGAGAAGGATGCTGCGAGCGATGAGGATAGATAGGGTGACGTATCAGGAGCGGGGATGGTGAGGGTCTTTATAGGAGAAAACGTGAGGCGAGCGCCCCCTGAGATGTGGTGAAAATAGACATTGGAAGAGTCCCCGACAGAGAGAAGTGTACGCCCATCGGGCGATATTGAAGAATGGTTGATCGGTACATCCAATCGCAACGAACCCGCTTCTTTGATTGTGCGTTTCTGGCTCTGTGCTCGAATAGGGATATCGTAGAATTTGACGGTGCAATCGTTGTTGCTGATGGCCACACGGGGCTCGACACTGCTTTCGTGTGAGCGAGTGAGGTTGAGGGACGTGAGTACGACAGAGTTGTTTATGGATCCGCTCAATTGACGTTCGTATTGCCATACGCAATTTGTGCGGCGCTGGCGGGATGAGGTCGGCGCGTGGTAGGAAAGGTGGATCTCTGCGTCCTGACCACCTGCAGCTAAGAGCGTGTCGTGTTCGCCTATCCGGAGGGAGGTGAGGGTGTTGGGTGTGAAGGGCAGCTCTGCAAGTGTTCGGGTCGGCTGAAAGACGTCAGCGGCCTGAAGTGAGTCATAAACGCAAAGTTAGACGTACCGAGTCAGTGTCATGCAGGTTTTGCTCGACAATCGACTGGCGTTGAACGTAGTTGACGACCCCCGTCTCGCGAGGGCAGATTAGGAGATCTCGTAGCTGCCTGGTGAGGAGATCGGTTGTCGATAGTGAGTTTGGTAGAGTTGGCACTTACACATGGCCTATATGGATTTGAGCGGGCACGATGGACAAAGGGGCCGTCGATGACAGCAGAAACGGATCTCTGGCCATCGTGTGGAACGTTGAGCAGAGGTGGTCGTCGTGGTTGTTAGTGAAGGATTGCTTTGTCCATTTACAGCCCGGTTCTAATCAAGTCACCGTTGCGAACAAGCACGTGCTGTCTAATTCGTCAGCTCGCACAAGTTCCTTCTCCACACCATACTACCGTCCTCGCAGGTTTTTCGGCGATGTCGTATCTTATCACAATTGACAAACGAACGGCGTGCTACCTGCCCTTTACGCGTATCACCAGATACCTAACCGTAGTTCCCAACACTCGTCAGAACCGCAGTGTGTATTCCTCAGCGTGATAGGCGGCTTTGGCTTCCCATGAAAGTTACGATGCTTCTCATGACGATGATGATCCGATCTTTTGCTACGTATGTTCTTTTTCTGACCATCCCATGAACTGAACAATTTTTATGTGAAGTCACCAATAGTTCTTAGCCATTCAATCGCTTGCGATTCATTTATTCCCCAGCTGCGACGAAAGCTCGGGCTCTGACGTTGTCCGGTCAACGCACATGCATGTTGCGAACCACTCCTGATCCATACCTCGCGGACAGTTCGTGTAAAGGTTATGGTCATGAGGTGCGACAAATGAAGCAAGAAGGGTTTGACTGTGACTGTAAGTTCATATCTCTTATCTTAATCATGTACCGATCATCACAGTACCATGCATAACCGTCCTTTTGCACCTCAGAATGTTATCGGTACCGGGAAAGTGGTCAAATAAGCGCCGATAGACAACGATGTCGTGATTTTGGGTGAGAATTGGCTTTGACCGTAGGCGCTGACTAGAATACTAAATAGCAAAAGCCACTCCTGTCCGCATATTTTTTCAAAAGACCCAAACAACAAACTTACAAAACCTATCACACTTGGTGACTCAAACCCAATGGCCGCTACTGATAAACCCTTGCTAGCAAGTGGTGCCTCAGTCTTCGAAGGTGTGTAGACGAGAGGCGCCCGTATAGCGCCGATTATGAAACGTTGCACTAGCAATTTCGGTGAGAATTAACTGCTGATTCTAATACTTACGACAATGTACTGACCAGGATACGTTAGAAACGTAGTGCATGGTTTCTATCGCTCATCATGACCACACCTTTTGTCGACCGCCCCACATTAGATCTCAAAGTCGTAAAAATGAGAATAGTATCACGAAACACAAGACAGAATTGCCACACTGGCTCGGGGCGGATGACGGGCTATTCTCCGCTTCCCCTCATCACGTTCCCCGCCGTTCCCCGATGATGAACAATTGAGGCGCTGGGCACACACAGTAAGGCATGTATCCCGCCCGGAGTCAGTCACCTGGTGCCTTTGGATGGAGGCGACAATCAGGCACTCACTGTCACCCTCCTGCCAGGATGCCAGGTTGAAAATGATGCGTCACGACACTACCAACTCATACCAGACGTCCGGGAACCTTAGTGAAGCGCCCCGCGCCCATTTGCATGGTGCATTTTTATTTTATATCTCTATGGCGATTAGACTGACTGCATTGTAAAGTTTTACATCGGAATTGATTCTGATTGAGTATTGACCGTCCGCCCCATAGATTGACAAATTTAAACCGCCGTTACACTTGCAGGAACCTATGTACATGTAGGCACCTCAGGTTTCAATTCATGTTGCCAGCTTAGCTGAGCTCGCACCGTGGCGGACGCCAAAACCTGTCAAAGAACGGACATATGTGTTTGCTCCGACCACCACGATTTTCAATGATTTCATAGGGGCGCTCCACAGTTTCCACCTCAACTCCACAATTTCTGGGATATTTTGTGAACATTCCCGCCTTACTGATTTATTGACTGTTGAGAAGGAACAGCAATACAAGTGGCGAAAAATGTTGGCTTTTCGTCAAGAATCAAGAAGGCGATGGGTGGGCGTCATTCCTCTGATATATCACGTACTAACAGGAACCACTACGTACAAAGTTGTTCTTGGCGTGTCCAGGCGGGTCCACAATATACATTTGTCGCCACGCATGCTTTACCTGACGCCATCCTTCACGTCATTGCGCCAGCGAGCGCTTACCTATAAAATCTGGGTACCCCACGCCATCTGGTCATCAAAAAATTAAAGGCCCATTATGAAGTTATCCATACTCGCAACCCTCGCTCTTGCCTTGTCCGCATCAGCTCAAGTATCGACAATCGTGAGCGTCAGCCAATCCGCTACCACCACTACCTCGTAAGTCGTCATCATCTAAACCACAGGAGCCTTGCTAAATAAATGTTTACCTTACAGAACGGACAGCGCAGCTCTATCATCACTAAAATCGTCAGCATCCGCCTCCGTATCTTCCCTCAGCGCATCGCTGTCCTCGAAAGTTAGCGCTGCAAGCTCGAAAGCTTCGGCAGTCGCTTCGTCCGCTGCTTCTGCTGTTTCGAGCGCGAAATCTGCAGCTAGTACGGCTGTCAATCCATCGCCTACCAAGTCTAGTGGAGCGATTGCAAACGGTGGTGTTAATGAAGTTGCGCTTGGAATGGTTGTAGGGATGGTTGCCGCACTTGTTTAAACGGTCCCCGCACGCGGCACGACTCGTGTTGACTTGCTCGTGGATACCCGCATGACGGAGATAGTAAATTGGGGTGGAGCGGAGTGTTCACTATGTTTTAGGGCAAGGGATTTTATGATTATCGGGCAAGTGATAGGATTTTGCTTTCGTCTACAATGATACCTGCTTCGTATACTTCTTTAACGTATATGCATGAATATTTCCTTTTTATAATACTTACATATCAACTGCTCAACTTTGACTTCTGTTGCACATTCCAATTTGAAGAAATTCGGCGTCTTGATCTATTTCGCTCCAACTGCTTTTCTACATTCTATGTCGTCGCTTGAACGGCAAGGTCACCAAATATCCGCTGGAAGCTCCGCATTCTTATTAATATTATTGTTTCCTACTCATGTCCACGCAGACGCACTCCACGTCACTCCTTGGCAAATTCCCGAAGTCAATTTGATTTAACATTTTTAGATTTTCAGAAGAATATTTCCTGCGTGCTTCGGTTTATTAATTATTATACTGAGATGCGTTGAATGTCTATAAAAAACCTGTAGAAAAACATTGTCTGCTTTTCAGTCTCGAGGTGTTCATTGCCTGGTGCATCAATTGTCATTCGGAATGACGCAATGCTATGATCATATCAAATAAATACCCATAAATAACCGGACCCACTCCTCAACGTCGTGGCATGCTCATGCTCTCATCGCACAGAAGGCCTATCTGACGCCATTTTGGACGTCATAGTGATGAGCTCTCAAGATCTTCAGTATAAAACGCTTGGACTCCATGCCTAGTAGTAATACCATTCCCTTTACACTTTCCTCTATACCGAAAGAAATCTACGATGAAGCTATCCATCTTCACAATCCTCACTCTTGCCTTATCCGCATCAGCTCAAGTATCCACAGTCGTGAGCGTTAGCCAATCTGCTACCACCACTACCTCGTAAGTTGTCTAGTCCCCCTTCGGTCGAGTTTGGCAATAGCCTCATTCAATAATCATAGGACGGACACTGCGGCCCTGTCGTCATCCACATCGGCGGCATCGGCCTCCATATCCTCTTTGAGCTCCTCGCTCGCGTCTGCGGTTTCTGCAGCCAGTTCGGCGGCTGCATCGTCAGTCAAGAGCGCCACATCTGCGGCCAGCCCTACGTCCTCCAAATCTGCTGCGGCAGGCTCATACGATGTCAATAACATCGCGCTTGGAATGGTTGTAGGAATGGTAGCCGCTTTCGTTTAAGGAGAGAACTGGCAGGTGATGATACGAGCCATCTCTTTACATGGATTTGAAATTAGATATGGATAACGACCTTGAACAACTTCATACCCTCTTTGATAGCTTGTATGTATGCACGTCGCTTACACGCTTCTGTAACAGACTTTTTCAGAGGAGCTAGCCTCAATTTGAGTCCACCAATTGTAAGGTTCAGACTCGATAAAGATGCTACGAGTTAAACGTGCTTCCCCAGTGGCAATTATTATTAACGTACACCGCTCCAAATCATCAGTATTTCTACAGTCCGCTTGTCACGACTTGTTTGGGCTTGTTTCAACCAGAATGTCGGACCGCCCGCTGACCTGGCCACGAGCCTCAGTGCTACAAGCCTGGACGCTCCCTCGGAAAACGCCGCTGATGCCCTCACGTGCGGCCATAGCTGAACGTGACGTAGTGAAGGGTCCGTCGCGTTAATGTATCATGTCGCGTCTCGTTTCCGAGCCTCTTGTAATTATCACACTGCTCGCAAACATTCAGTTCCACATATATGAAGAGTCATTGAATGCATTAGACACATATAACACATCATGCATCATGCTTAAGTTGGGTGCTGGACTTGTTACTTGCTAGTTTTGTGGTTATTGGTTGTTGATTGGTTGATGCTTAGCTTGACTTTGTAAGTTCTTCTTTATACCTTTCACTATCCATTTGTATTAGAACAATGTAAAGTTATTCCTCGTGGAATCCATTACCGTCGCCACAAAATGCGTATCATAAAGCGTATACAGCGCTAAGTTCTAACATTCTATTTGGTAACTGTTTGGTGGTGTTGATTCCGTCACTCCGTGTCATTTATAGAAAAAATTGAGGTATCTTTCACAACAGTCGTTTGAAATTTGAAAGTATCCCTGTTTTCGAAATTCATGGCATTTTTTTTTGAGATGTAGGTTGTCGCGACAAAAAATCTACGTAAGTTGCTGTGTAGACTTGTGTAGAGCGGAGTCTCTGATGAGCTGACGGGCTTTGCCGAATGATGCGGTGATCGTTCGGAAGTTCCCAGGCTACCAGCCTCAAGGCTAGTAGCCGACTCTTCGGGGGGTCAGACGGTCCCGTTTCAACTCGTACGAGTCCAAACGAGTCCAAACGAGCCGCAAGTCACAAGTTGACAAGTAGATCCAAAAATCCCACAAGTTGAGTCGCAAAATCATTTGACAAGTTCCAACAAGCCAACAAGTTGAGAAAAGCTGTAAATTGATTTTTGGTATTCAATAACAAAGGAGCAGTAGCTATACTAGGTTATTGTATAGTATTAGCAGGAAATACTTCAATAGCTATGAGGGAACGACAGTACACCAATTAGGGTCATATTGGGTATATATCGAGTGAATAGAAGATGTTGGGGATGATGGATGTGAAGTACGAGGAAGATACTGTGGAGGCAATGGTACTCCCCACAACGCCAGTGCATCCTGCCCAGCTGACGTATCGCTGAATTGCCGTGAAGTTGCGGTCATACCGGGGTGGTGCAAAGGTCGACGGTAGGCCTCTAAAGTAGAAATATCAGTAAAACATCGGCTGAAAAGTTCAATTTCGCCAATCGTGAACCAGGGACTGCTTACCTTCATCCTGGGCAAAGGGCGCAAGGGCGCTCATGTCCGCCACTATAGAGGTCATGACGCTACCAGGCGGAGATATGCTTGAGTGACGAGGAACGTACTTTTGACGTTGACTACCTGTGAGTGAGAAATGATCAACGTCTTCAACGGGTGGGCCAAAGGAAGGAAAAACGCACCATGTCGTGCCACCACTTAATACTTATCAACGTCGATATCCTTGACGAGACTTCATATACATATGCCGATCCCAGCATTGTTGGCGAGGATATCGACCTGGCAAAATGCATATTTCACTGCCTGTTCAAGGACGCTGACAGCCTCCGGCGAGGTTGTGTCAATACTCACCACCAGGACCTGGCCTTGCTGTTGATCTTCAGAGTTTCCACTTTTGTTTCCTCCTGCTTCTGCACATTCCACGCCCCTAGGACCAAGCCGGACACACCTGCCTTGGCAAAGGCTAATGCGATTCCCTTTACAACAGAAAAGGGAACGTTAGAGTCTGGAAAACTCAGATTTGACTGGAACATACCCTATGCCCTGACTCACTCCAGCGATAAGAACCGTTCTACCAACCTGTAAATCAGGAATGACAGCCTGTGGAGCAGGTTAGACATCTTGATGATGATGCGTTTCCGTGAATTGGCAGGGAGAGACGGGAAACATGGGAGGGAAAGCATCAGCCGTCATGCACATGCGTAACTTGGTTACTGCTTATTATATAAGCAAGTCGAACCACTTTTCGCAGTCTTCTCTCAGACACAATGTCCGCCAAATTTCTCTTGTGTTCCCCACTCTTGCCGACTATGCTTTTGCCACTCTAAGATGCCTTTCTACTCATGCAGCGACCGTCATAGTGGAATCCGCAACTTAATTGGTCCGACACAACACAACACGGCAATGCACATCAGGTCCAACACGACACGACAATACACCACCGTGGATGTATTCGCTCCAATCCCAATTGGCGTAACGTGTATGCGCGATACGATGCTGTGTTTGTAGAGACCGAATCGGAGCTTTCTGGCATGTGGGGCACGATGATTGGGTGCGTCCTCTTCTTTTCATTCAATTTTGGCAATCATTGTCACTCACTCGCTCTTGCAAGTGATAGTCCGGTTTTACGCCTCCCGTTCGAAAGAAACGGGCACCATAATCTACAAGTTATTGTTGGAATCCATTGCGTGTGCAGCCCCCTTTTTGGTTCATCTCCTCTCCCGGAGGATTTCCATTTTTCTCGATCATTGGATGCATTTTGTGCTATTTTCGTTAATCAGTACACTGATCAGCATCATACACATAAATTTTTACAAGAGTAACTGTACATAGTCATAGTAAGATATGTAACCGCAATCACAGTAACTTGTCAACTTGCAAGCTTTTCTAGGCTTGTGACTTGTCAACAAGCTGTCAGTCGCAAAAAGCCGGCAAGTAATCTGTAGGTTTGCTGATGATGACGGGTAGTAGCTTGCCCAACAGGGGCATGTGGCAGAAAAAAAAAGGCATGCAGTCGACTAGTCCCAAAAAGATCACCACATTTTTGAATGTTTCCCCCGAATTCTCCCCTTTACAGCAAGATGGTAGCTGATGGTACAGTAGACAGTCTGCAATTTCTCAGACTTCGCCTCGCTTTGTACAAACAACCGCATTTGGCGCTGAGCGCTTGAATTCCGCGTCATTGTGACTTTTACCGTGATGCCTTATCCTGAGGCAATCTTGACCATGGCCCACAATCTCATCGCTTCTGTGGGAAACGACCTGAACAACAGGCTCTGTATGCTATGGAACACTATTCTTTGTTACCACTTCACCTTTGACAAATTCTACGGCGTGGCTCCCAGTCAGACTTAGGGCTGCACACCATCCGTCATACAGGTGACGGTCGTCGACGGGTAATGATTAAATACTGCGTGCAGTGAATACTAGTAGCTACAGCTAGTGCCTAACAATTAATGACGAGAATTGCCTTGAACATGAGCAAGATGAAGTTTCTTCTTGACGAGCATGAGAATGTGTATCGTCTGAGGCTTTAGGCTAGCACGTCGAAGGGAAATTGTATCCTGACCGCCTGAGAAGACCCTCTCCATGGCAACTGCAGATCCTACGTTAAGGAAGATGTGATATGTAATGAAGAATCTGGTAACAGAGATTCAATTCACGTACCAGGTATGCATAAGACATCCCAGGCAAGGCGGAACAAGTTTGGGAACTTCTCTTGCTTTCCAAACCACCACGTAATTGGATTACAGCTTATGAAGTCCTCCGCGGGAAGGGCCCAGAACGCTTCTAATTCATCCGCCGAAGCTATCCTTACGGTTGGCGAGCAGGGTCAGGTCTGTTCGAAGCCCGATAGAGCCTGATCCGAGAAATTTTGACAGGTGCTTGGGGTCCTTGTCACCGCTTCCAACGTATTCACAATGAATATACCATTTAAGTGTCATAGTCAGGCTTAGCAATAGAATTTGAACAGTGGAAGTGGGGAAACTGGAAAACCAGGCGATTATTCCAGGAGCACACTCATCAGTAGGCCAGAAAGTACAATTGCGTTGCACATCAGTTTGGGTGTGCAAGGTCAGCAGCAAGGAGCATCAAAACCTTTCAACCGATTACCTTTCTTTGTGCGTTTGTCAACCTCGCAGCAATACGCAGCTGGTGTTACAGATGAAATTGCGACGAAAAATTGAAGCTGACTATCGATTTTGTGAACGTCAATATTGAGCAAGAGTTGTCCTCGGCAAATCAAATCCCCGAGAGGGGAGAGAAAGACAAGGCCAACAGCGTATCTTTGATTTTTGTAATTAGATCCAGACAGGTAGTCACGTCATGACACTGACCTTGCCTGGATAGTAGATGGCTGACCAGGCTGAAATACTGACCAGGGGATGTTCTGTGGGTGGCAATCCTCCTACAAGTGGCATCCTCGAGCAGCTGACTCTGGGGCTTGCTGTTCGAAGTGCAAAGGGGTAAGTCCGCTCCAACATTTGAGTGCTGTGTGATCTCACTATTAGTATTACTAATTACCTGAATATCCTTGCCCTCAACTTGAACCAATGGTCAGAGACCCAACGCTTGAGTAGCGGCACTAAAAACCTCTGTTTAGCATATGCAAACGCCGAAAAGTACAAGTACTCAGCGATTGTCTGCCCAATACAGGGAATAAATTGTTCTTATTAAAAAGAATTATATTAAATTGTGAGGATGAACGTCACAGCCTTTGATACATGGACCCCAGCGATAAAAATATAACTTCTTATAACTTCTGGACGTCAAAATAGACCTGACCCTGCTTGCCAACTGTATATCCTGCTGTTCTGGCTATACCGAGAAGTGAAGCATTTCTGAGGCGAGCCTGTGGCCAACGTAGTTTCAGCTTCAGTGGTTGTTTGTGACTGCGAGGCCTGGGTGTTGTGACCAGCATAATTTTCGTTGAAATAGTCCCTAAGATTTTCTTTCGAGACTTCGAGATAGCTTGTGAGTGTTTTGTCGTCGGCGTAGTCAGCCTTCAAACCTCTGTATGAGATTCGTGGATCAAGGACTGTCAAAAAAAAGTCAAGAAGTGGGTAAGTAAAAGATTAGGGTGTTACGTATGTGCAGCCCAAGTATAGAAGGGCGATTCATCAAATTTGTAGTAATAATCACTAAGCTTTCGATGAGCATCTGTAAGTCCCTTCTTGATGTTTGGTGAGACCGAATTAGGGAGGGCACGTAGGATATCTTTGAGGTTGCCTTGGAGCCCACGAAAGATTGCATGAACATGAGAAAGTGTTGGTATTTTTGTCAAGGACATCTGTGTTGTTGCCGAACGAAATGCCTTGAGCCAAGTCGTGACCATTTTGATTGATTCCCATTCGCTTTCACTGAGTCTGTATGGGTGTAGATCTTTGTTTCTCAGAACGAATGAGTTTATAGTCTTCTGATAATCAAGAGCTCGCCCTAGAATAACATCAGAGAAGATTTATGAACCATGGAAACAACAAATGGAGCATCTGGTGAGTCGACGACCATCGTGTCCTCACGTCGAGAATCAGCATGAGCTCGGCGCTAGAGTCATCTGAAATCCCGCTGTGGTTTATGAACTGTATTTCTCATGCCCAACTCTGGCGACGCTGGGGGCTTGAATGGACAGTCTTGACAATTTTTCAGAGCTGCGAAAAGAAAGGTTTTGAGATAAATGATTGATAGATACGAAGAACACTACCTTCTCAATCGACGTGAGGATTCCCGCAGCTGAATTGCCTTCGTCACCTTCATTGGACTGATCTTCGAGAGCTACTGCTTCATTGTCGTTCACCCGAGAAAGTGACGTGGAGACGATATCTTGGTAGTTTCCACTTCGCGTGGCAGCTTTGTTACTTTCAGTCTTTGAGATGGCGCCAATTGCTTCAAGAAGCTGGGGTCATAGATTATTTATCAAATTCCGATGTCTGCTGTAGTTGTAAATATTGAATTACCTTTATCGCAGCTAAATGGACAGTATGCGGCATACAGCCCATGCGAGCCTCCCGCGCTGAAAACCTAACACCTTCTTTCTGATGCCATTTCTCCAAAGACACCATGAGCGTGTCATTATTGCTCGCGTTGTCCATAACAATTGCAATAACCTGTTATTTATCGCATATAGTACCTCATTTTGATATAGAAACATGACACATACCTTCCCGACTAAACCATACAATACCATGGTTTGCCAGACAGCTTCTGCCATATTCTCACCTGAGTGTTCACCAACTAGTTCACGGAAATCAATAAGGAGTTCCTCTAGGACACAAAAAATTAGTACTAGAAGAAGGAAAAAGAATTTAATGACGAACCTAGCTGTCTGTCTTTTGTGACATAATGTGCGACGATGGCCAAAAATGCATGTTGGTTACTGGAGGTCCATGCATCGAGCGAGAGTGATATTTTCCTGTTGAGTTCCTGATTGTGAAAACTGGTCAGCAATTTCGAAGATCTGGGATAAAAAAGTCAAACCGAAAACATGTCACAGACCCCCTCAATCGTTTCATCTCCCATTTTCATAATGCGACGTTTGATACCATCACGTTTTATGAGTTTTAGAGACTCCCCAGAACGATGTGTCTACTCCATTAAATTAATAAACTCGGGCTTTTCTACCTTATCAAACGGCTGGTCGCATGCAACAACCCACTTGGTGAGGAGCCGTTCAAATTTATCTTGATCCCACAGACCCTGTAAGCTCATGTCAATTGAGAGCAAATGATAAAAGAAAAAGTTATGACCACTGCACGTGCCTTCTGATCTTCAAAGGCTTTCTTGATATTCCCTGATTTATCTTGAAGTTTCTTGAGATATTCCGCCTCAGTCTTACCATCCAATTGTGTTTTTCTGCATGCAATATTGACTTCCTCAGACGTTGGGGGCTCATCCCGACCCTTGAGTATCTCCCAGAGATTGTACATTGGCTTAACATGAACATGAAGGTGGTTGATAAGACCTGGAAAAAAAAAGAGAATTATACATGACGTCTACCATAAATTATAATGTGGAAGGAATATCAATACTCACAATTTAGATTACTGTTCATACCCTTTGTGATCGTGATGATCTTGTGTGAACCGTGGTAGCACCGGTAATGCTTATCCCCTGGGTTTCCCACCGAACCTTCTGCGTTGCTGGAAACAACTTCGAAAAACCAATAGATTGGGTTTTTTTTTATGCCCTTGCCCGTCTTTGAACTTGTCAAATTCATACTTGTGAGGACAATGGAAACAACACACCTTGCACTTGCCTTGATGACCCACTGCTGCTTCGGTGACAGGCGCCTTCCTCGCTGCAATATTCCTTGCACTGTCCTCATCCTCGACTTCCTCTATCTCGACAGGGGCATGTCTCGCCTTTTTCTTCGAAGGGCGTGATGCAGCTTGCTTGCCTTTTGCCTTCATGCGTAATTTACGCCCACTGGCCTCTGGGATCGTCTTGGAGCGCAGCATATCTGCCACCTAATTCTTCAAGTCAAAGAAGAGTAAGAGTGCGCTGATTTAATACATGTAAACATACCTCTACATTGCTGATAATGACCGGTTCGTCGTCACTTGTAGAGTCTTCAGAGCCTTCGCCCGACGCGGCGAAGTCACCATCGTCTGGGTCCGATTCCTCGTCGCAAGCATCGTTTCTCTTGCGCTTTGGCACTGCCTTGCATGCCTGGGGAGCGCGCTGTTGTTTTTGAGGTATCGGATCGCCATCTTCGTCCCGAAGTTCGGAGTCAATGGCTGCAGCTATGTGGGTTTTGTCGACTGTACGACTTGGATGCACATTATGTCCTGCAAAAGTTGTCAGACAATAATCAGCATCACATGAACACGTACTTTCACATTCAACATGATCTGCTGACATCGAAACATTGAAATTTGGTACAGGATTCAATATAGGCTTGAGCGTGCAGGGGAATAACAGTGAGATAATATGCTGGGGGATGGAGTCAAACTGTACAAGGTGGCGTATGCATTTGTACTTCATGGATTTGATTTGATTTTCTGGGATTCATACCCCTGGAGACTAATTTCAAAGATTGGAGCATGATCATTGAAGCCGTGAAACGACGCACACTGAGGGGTAAAATGAAATATGTGAAACAGGGCCACCATAAGAAAGTTTTCGTTGTCTGAATGGTCTGCGAGCTAGTGGTAGGTGAAAGGATAGGATGGTGATTCGCCTAGCTCGATGGGGGGCAGTGGGAGACGACACTGTCAACGTCAGCATCATTGTTGATGGCGTGGTAGCAAGAAGTTCAAAAACTTCCCACAGCATCGCCGTCCGTACCGTTCAGACGGCCGTCCAGGTGACAGGAATAGACGGGTGCTATCCGTCCTGTCAACCGTCCTGTCAGATCTCATCTCTAAACTGAAACGGTGACAGGTAAAGCACCCGTCTATACATCCTGTCCAACCGTCTAAGACAGGTACGGTGCGCAGCCCTAGTCAGACTTTGATGAAAGTTACCAGCACCGGCACAAAAGCAGAATACCTCGTCGTCAAGCTTGTTCATGAAGAAGAACACGTTGTCCTCATCGCCAACATCAAGAAGCCTTCGGAGGATACCGGAGTGGGTAAAGAGAAATTGATGACAGAGTTGGTCAAGTATATCGAGGAACAGTTTGATGAAACCATGTTCTCTAGCATATACAGTCTTGGAGGTATTGGCCTCGCCTGGACGGCCTTCTGAGTGGACAGGGCGGGCTCTCATCAACCCCAGATACTTGTTCCATGGCAATCCGATGTCACTTCCGAGTCTGGGGCGTTCGACACACTCACAGACATTGTCTCAGATATACATAAAATGACAAATCCTCATAAGGTATGGCCAGTGGCTAGTTTGTGCAAATCTGATGCTGACCAGTTAGGCAGAATGACTCACAATCATCTTTCGGAATGGTCACTTCTCCTTGTATCACTACATGAGATTTTTTTACCTTCACACTGGCATTACCGGTTGCTTGAATACCTGTTCCTGTTATTCTTATAGGTATAGTCGACCAGATTTTTGACCACTTTATGCATGAATTGTAAATAAATACAGTTTCCTCATTGCCCTACATGAGGACCGTTAGGATGGATGGAAAATTTCTACCCTTTTTGAGTGTACCAGTGGGAAATTTGAAGAATCTTATCTTACTGTTCTTGCTTCATTTGCAAATTCATTTGTGTCCTCACTTATTCTGAATTCATCATTAGAGCTACATTTAGTGCATATGTGTCCTCATCTCGAATTACATCTTCTCCCAATGCATCATATATCTTTCAGTTTTGTTCTCAGATCATCTATTTTTGCAAGTGCATCTACACATTTGTTTTTGGCCTTCACACAACAATTGATCATACATTTTGTTTTCATAATGATAGTGCGGTGCCTCACTGCACTCAGCCCCTTGCAGCTTTTGATCGTGGGTATTGTAAATAATAATAATAATACTAGAGGCTGACACTTAGCAGCGGCAGTGGTCACCTTGCTTGCTGACAATTCAGTTCCTGTATCTCTGGATGGGCTGGTGCTACCTATCAACAAAAACTTCTGCACTAAGAGTACTGTACAAATACGACTAACTCTTCATCAATTTGGGATTTTTTTCTTGCCAAGATGGCCGAAAAAAATACTTTTGATTTAAGGCGAATAAAAAAAAATACTTTTTTTCCCCGATGTGACGCGTGTCATGAAGACTTGGTCGTATTTGTACAGTATCTCCCTGCTTGTCACTGAACTGCTTTGCAGTTTGCTCCTCACAGGTCGACTTATTTTCTGCTTGAAAATTTACAGTGCTTTACCAAGGGGGGTCCAGGATTTGAAAATCCCATATCAGGATGAGTTAGTCCGGCCAACAGGCCATTAAAAAAAAATTCAACTCCTACATTTTTCTGTCCAAATGGCCTGAAACAGTCCAAAATGTCAATATTTTCAATGGAAAAGCATCTGGATCAAAGAACCAGTATGTGACATAGAAATATGAGACTGTGTGCCAAAAGATATTACAATTTACACAACTAATAAACTGAAGCTGACATCAGAGATGATCAGACAAGATGGGACTGTGATATGTCCTCATTGCAAGACAGTAGTTCAATTGCAAGGTTCAGTGGGACTTGCATACTACTTCAAAAGGTACAAACCCAGTAGAGCATGCAAGGAGAGTAAGGGAAAGAATGTGAAAAAAAGGTGAAGGACTGCCAAAGGATCACAGTCCCTGGGCTGAATATTGCTCACCTGCTCTCAGACTCCATCATGTCAAATCTCATGTCAGAAAGCTGCTGCATTGTTGACAGAGTTGCATGCATACATGTGATTCATGTAGGTATACATAGAGGTGACATTCTCAGATCTGCATTATGATGTAATATTTCCATAATTGGAAGTATATTCCCACACTTAGTCAGTTAGTCCAGCCATTGAGGCCTTAAAAAACAATTCAACCCTATATGGTTAAAAAAAAATCCTGGACCCCCTTGTACTTTACACTCCCACTGTTTGTCCAATGGAATCTGATGGACTTTCAACAGACCCTGCCATTTCTGATGGACATGACTGGATTCCGCTGCTAGTCCAGGCAAAGTCTGATGAAAGTCTGCTCAAGCCACTTAGACGCAAGAAATAGTTGGACTGGCTGGAATTCTGTGTCTGTCAGATGTCCAGTGGACCTCCATTGGATTTCCAATGGACAGAGGCAGAAACCAGTCATAATTGCTAAGTTCTCAGTCTGCTGGACTTCCACTGGACTTCTGCTGGACTTCTAATGGACTTCTAAGCAAAAAAGGTGCAAGAGGGTGCTAGGTGGTAATTGTTCCCACAGGCTCCTTCTGCTTTAGAATTTAGTACAAATCTAGCTATTGCTGATGGATTTGGCTATCTGTCACATGACTTTACAATGTGTGTGACCTCTATTCTATTGTGAGCTATTTACAACAGGAATGAATTGGAATAAAATGAGTGTCAATGTATATTGGTTTTAGGGGCCTTGAGTTATTGGTATTTTTTGCAATGACAGCATGCAGAATCAGCACTAAAAGAGCAGAAACGAAAATAGCAAAGTAGCATTTGTAGCTACAATCAGATGTCCATTCTTCCTTAGCTACTATATCCATGGCTACGTAATATAGGCTGAAATTTTGTGTCTGGGTAGTCACATGGACTTTTTACCACAAGCAAAGTTAGGTAAGTAAGTTACCCAACAACAAGCAAGCCTTCCTTTACTACTTAAGCAGCAGCACCTCTAGTGCAATGACAGTGAAGAGCCAAAATCAGTGACAAGTTAACCTTGCCTTCTATATTGACCCCTCCAATGCAGACTACTCTTGTGTTCTCCCATTGCACAATCAATGTGTAGATCACCCTTGGGGACTGGGGTCATCCCAGCCTAGATCAGCAGCCAGCTCATCCCAACCATCATATGCAGGTCCAAGTTCAAGCCAAGTGTCACCAAAGGGCTGAAAGAAGAAGGATCCCAATTAGTGTTTAAAAGTCTGGTTAGGTTAGGTTATTAGTGTTTGAAAGTCCGGTTCGGTCCGGTTTTTTGATGCCCAGGGGCATTAACCGTAACCGTAACCGGTCTGCCTTTTCCCCAGAAGTCAAAAGACCAGACCGGACTGCAAAAAGACCGCAGACCACGGTTTTTTGCGGTCTATAGACTGGTTTCGGTCTGCATCGGTTTTAACCGGTTTATGACCGGTCTTTAGGCCAATATTTTAAAATTATGAATCGGTAAATTTATTAACATCTCTAATAGCTTCAAAACGAGCCCAAGAACGTTAAATTCCGTTAGGAATTGGTGCTTCTATAAAATAAGTCTGGTACATCTATTATTCCCAAAAGTAATTTACATTTTAATTCATATCTCTCTCGTTTTTTTACCAAATCGTACGTTCTTGGGTGCGTTTTAAAGGGTATTTAAGGGGCTACAAAAGACCGGTCCAAACCGGTCAAGACCGGTTCACGTTAACCGGTTTTTTTGCGGTCTTTACATTTCAAAAATAAAAGACCGTAACCGCAGGTCTGGTCTTTTGCGGTCTTGGTCCAGTCACAAGACCGGACTTCCAAACACTATAGGTTATTGGGTGCCCAGAGGCTCTAACCAAGACTGAGACTGGTTAGGGTTCGTTCCCAGACCCAAAATAACCTAACTGGACTGAAGATAACTGACCAAAACCAGTTAGTCACAGTTACTAACCAGTTAGGACCGAAAAAATAGAAAATCAATTAAAACAGCATATATTTCTCATATTTCTTGCTGTAAACATTATTGCCATGTATCGTAGCTTTAAAATAAGCCCAAGAACGCTAGGTTCGGTGAAGAATTGACAATTTTATGATAATATTCTTGAAAGCCTACTCTTTTGGCCAATATTTTAGCAATTTGACCATAACTCTGTCAGATTTTTATCGTTTCTCATGCTTTTAGATGCGTTTTGAAGGGGTATAATAGGGTCGGTTTTAACCGGTCAGAACCAGTTTTTTAACAGTTATCTAACTGCAAAATAACTGGTTATTTCATTTCCAGAATTGACTAACCACTAACCACGGTCCAGTTTTTTTGCGGTTAGGTCCGGTCTGGTCTTGGTTATTTTCCGGTTAATTAACCGGACCTTCAAGCACTAATCCCAATGCTCCAGTTCCAGAGAAATGTGGCTTGAAACTCAAGCTGAAGTGCCCACAAAACATCTTGGATTGTGTTGAAAGAGTTAGGGAGCAAAGGTACATGATTTTGGATTTCAACACATAATTAAGCCCCTAGAGTATCTTTAGGTTCTTCATGATAGAAGGGAGAATGATGGGGAATTACATGAAGAATTTAGCATGTTGGGATCAACCAGTACTTTACACTCCCATTGTTTGTCCAATGGAATCTGACA